CAGTGAAAACAGGCATCGAGTCAAGATTGTCGGCTGGGAGAGGATCGCTGGGGGTAAGCCCGTCCTCCGCAGCCGCAAGTGCCCGCTGGAGAGTGGCGACGAGATCGGGGCGAGCTTCCAGGAGGTGAGGGATGCGGGTCAGAGCAGAGCAGAAGGCCTGCCATTCGGGAAGTCGGGATTCAAATCGGCCGAGAGCGGTGAGGCCAAAGCGGAACAGATTCGAGTCCGGATGACAACTGAGCGCATCGATGACGTAGCGCATAGCGATGAAAAGCGGGACTTGGTCGATCAGCCTTCGCTGAATCAAGGATCCAAAGAGATATCCAGTCATGGCCAGCTCGCGTGGCGGATAAGACTGGAAGAACTTGTACTCATCGAAGAGGAAATGAAGCATGCAGGAAAAGATTTCCTGTTCGCGCGGGTTTTTCGAGTCCTTGTATTCGGCGAGCATGACAATGAGATCGTCGATGGTCGTCTGCTCGTCGTACATCTGGCGATAGATGCTGTCAACCTCGGCCTCGATCTCGGGAGAGTACGAGACGACCGACAGGCCAGCCTCAGTTTCGGGATTCGGAAGCATGCTGGCCAGCCGGGGGTGTATCTGAAGACACGCATTCTTGACCTCCACGTAGTAACCGGCATCCGCCTCGCTCATCGAGCTTGCGCTGTTGCGGATGACACGCAAGATGATAGCAATGGTGGTCGGGCTCAGAGACATGGTCCGGTTTTCCACAGGAGGATCGGACAGTCGAGCCGTCTTCTCGCTGTCCATCTTTTGGTCGAGGAATAGGATGATAGAGTGCACGAATTCAGCGCCATGGTGGGCCACATTGTCAGCCAGCCACTTGTCGAGGTTCAGGTATTCCCGTCTCGAAGCCAGTGCGGCCACGTCAAGAGCAAACACGAACGGTCGCACTTCGAGGAGAGATTCGAGAATCTGTATGACATGAGGGGCGCGAACGTACGCAAATACACGTCAACGCACTTTGAGGTCCTGGGCAACGTCCAGAATGCGAGTGATGTTCAGCGGATTTTCCTCGTAGAAGTCGCGGAAAGCATCGGTCAAATAGGACGGCTCTATCTGCCAGATGCGCATGAACACCAGTTGGTGGTTCGGATGCCCCGCAAGGAACATCCCCAGCAGACGTCGTGAGTATTCTCGTCGGATCTCGTTCCAAGGAAGGTCCTGAAACGGTTCAAGAAGGAGAAAGTAGGATGTCCATGAGCACTCACCGGGACTTGCAGCAAACCCATATGAACAAGCTCTGCGCTGATTTTGATCGCCTTATCCAGCATTTCACGAACACAATTCCGGATCTCGATAGAGTCCGAATCCGCCAGGCGAACGAGAACCTCAAAGAGCTCCAAAGAGTTCCAGGTGTGACCTTGGACGTTCGCTGCGAGCGACTTGATGGTCGGACTCGCGATCGAGACATCTTCGACAGTGACAATGCGCCTCCCTGGAAGACTGACAAAATTGAAAGTGTCGCCCGGCAAGGACAACAGTGCATCCAGCAGACGAAGCTGGTATAGAGAATTCGACCACGTAGTCCAGAAACCAGTGACAGCGTGTGGGTCCGCTTCCCTAGGGCTATTGAGCAGGATGGCGATCAACAGCTTCAGGGTTGCAGTATCGACACCATGTCGATCAGGTCGGTCAAACGACTTGATGACACTGGCCCAATTGAGCTGGACATGCTGTGAATGGTAAATATTTGACCAAATTCAGATCAAAGAAACCTACAAAGCTACTCAAAGCACGAACAAGAGCGCCGACGTCACACAAAGTCGTTCCTTCCGAAGCTAAACGAGACAAAGCGGAGAATGTTTCCAGGATCATGGTGTCCTTTGGTGGATTTGCGTCAGAGATGTTGAAGCGTGCCAGGAGAGCCCGAACGACATCTGGATCGCTGGTAATATCCGGTCCCAGCTGTACAAGGGTCTGGACAAGAGTCGTGCCGGGCGGTAAACTAGGCGACGTCAATGACCCAGTCGAAAGACCCACGGTAGCACGAACCTCAAAGTAGGCATGATACGTGGCAACATCGGGAAAATGACGTCTTTGCCATACTTGGACTGCCCAGCGACTATGAGAGCCTGTCTTTGAGCGGCTTCAAGCACAGGTGATTCGAGGGGAGGATCGGAGAGGAGGTTGGCCATCAGTTTTGCGGCTTGGGTGGGAGACAAATCGGCCTGTTCAAATGCAGGGGTGTGGCAAAGGGAGACGACAGCAGAGTCGAATTCAGCACGGATGATCGCAGAAGCCTGGTTGGCAAGCTCCTTGCGGGTGGGGGAGGAGATGATGGAGGCGGCGAGGATGAGCTTCTCGAGAGGACGAAGGGTAACGCGATCCGTGAATCGTATGAGATCGAAATTCCGGAACAGCTCTCCCTCGCCTTTGTCGATGCTGTCTCGGAATCGACTGGCGAGAAGGGGGTCGCGTGCGAGCCGTTGCGTCTCTTGGATCAGGAGCCGGAAAGTCAAAGAATTGGCGAGTTCGAATGACGAGGGAGGTGTGGCGGAAGTTAGACGCGCTTGAGAGTGGACGATGAGGCGGCGAATGAAGTGGAGGTAGGTGTCTATTCCATGCTGCTCCGACAACTGGCGCGCGTTTGAAAAGAGCAAAATGAGTCCAACAATGTCTGCCCACGACAGTAAAAAGACATACGGAGCGGATTTCAAGCTGATTTCTCTCGAAGTTTTCCTCGGTGAGAGTGGAGAGCAGGAACACGATCTGAGCTTTGACAATGGTATGGATGTTGGTACTGGACGTCGGCGGATTGTCCATTGACCGTGAAGGGGTCACCGAACGTCGAGTGCTTCCCAATCCAGTCGCAATCGTGTTTCGAGTTCAACAGAGCTAAGAAGAGAGTTGGAAGAATGCACAGTACGCCAACCCAACCGCGCAACAGGCGCGCCAGACTCAACGCTTTCAGACTCCGCTCGTGTGACTGTGACCTTGGATAACGTTTTCGTCACTAGTTCTCGATTGGTAAGCGTGAGTAGTAGCGTGTTCCTCAAACCAGATTTTAAATGTACAGATTAAGCTACCGAGTGACCTAGTCCGAAGAAAGTGAAAAGTAATAAAGATACAAGAGATGCAGCTAGAGAGGGACGGAATTGGGACGGTGATGAGGACTGGGCAACGACAGAACCTCCAAAGGAATTGTCATGGAGAGCCGCGAGGGCATTCTGGCACAGACCGGTTTTCTTGACTACATCTGCTGTGCCTAGGACCACGGGGACCCCTCCTTTGGTGTACTCGACCCCAATGTAACCTTGAGAAGCTGCCACAAACTGCCGGCATGCAACGATGCTATGGTTCGATCAGCAAGTATACAAACAGAGGCTCGGGCGGCACAACACACTCGATTGCCACAGTTCCTGGAGGCCACGGAGATTTGAAGGCTATGTTCGTCTATCGAAGATGAAGATGGGCAATCCGAGGACGACGACAAGAGCAGATTTACCAGATTCTGAGAGGGGCTCCCGATATTCGTCAAAATCACAACAGCATGCCCTTTCTGGAAGGCGATGCCGTTGCTATCCGAGGCAAGCACATTCATCTTCTGAGTCGCCCAGTCTGAAGTGTTGACCAAGTAATTCCGCATCTGGAACTGTCTCAACTTGTCTCGGGAGGTGCGTGCCTAGACAGCCTACCTGATTGAGCGACGTAATAAGCTGCAGTGCCGTGGTATTGGTATAATTTGACGGCCACAACGGCTCGCGATTGTACTGAAAAGTTGATATTTGAAGATTGTCACATGCGTTGACCTTCACATACAGGATCTGAGTTGCCGTGAAAGCCTTGTTCTTGCCCATAGTAGACAATGGGGATGCTGTAGAAAGTGGGTCGTGTTTGGAAGTGTTGAGCTGACCACCTACCCATCGGAGAGGAACGTGTACGTCATTGCATTGCTAGTTGGTCGCGTGAGGGACTGGCCAGCAGTAGTCCAAACAAGACTCACTAGAGACTCTGAGGATCAACGGACAAGTTACCCCAGCGCGGGTTGTCTTGATTCTCTAGGAAATTTCCCAGTCTGGAACAGATCCTTTAGACATAAGAATCTCAGTTAGGGTTAGACTGACACTGTGGTGTCCTATGCCATCATCAGTGTGAATGTCTTTTCCAAGGGCAGAAAACAGCCTAACCGTGTATTGAGCATTGGATTGGTTGAGAATGTCCACTAGAGCGCTCATGTTCTGTGGGCCTGGCAGAGCAAATGCGGATACGAGAGCGTGATATGTTGGATAATTGAGTACCGAAGGCTGGAAACTGATCAGCTTCTCCGGGCAGTGTGCCCGATGCACTCAATCTCACAAGAGCATCAGTTCCTTGATACATCGACACGCTCCTGCACGAATGTGAATAGAGAAAAAGAATGCCTCGGCATATGAACGAACGGGACATCGACATCGTCAATTTCTCCCATCGCAAACACACCAGCACTCTTGACGAAAGCGGGCCAAAAGTCTTTACGAATGTGCCTAGAAACAGGTCAGTACTGCTTTAGCGCGTTCAGAATCCTCACTTGGCAGCATCTATCCGGAGGCCATCAATGGAATAGGTCTGTACGAGATTGGCAATCCAGCTTTGATATCGGGAGACCACGTCTGCGTTCTCGGTGTTGATATCGGGCAAGGGAACGACAGTATCTCCTAGCCAGCATTGTTGTTCGCTCGTCAGGTTGGACCAGTTAATGCCACAGTATGGATGGTAATGGGCCTGCTCGCGATTAAGAGATGTCCGATCACAGAGCTGGCGATGCTGACCGCGTCTTTGAATAAGTATGTGCTGAGGTCCGGTGTGATGGATGTTGCCCTGTTTCTATTCAACAATCGAAGCTCGAATTTGTCTCAGCGAACGCACATGACATTGTTAATGACAACGTCGACCTGTTCAAATTGGATCAGCGGCTTCATTCAGTGATCCTTGGATACGAACCATGAGATACCTAGCAGCAATGATTAGCCCAGAAGCATATTACATATTAGGGTCCTTACATATCCCGGCGATGCAGCTCTGCAGACAGTGCCTTCAAGTCGTCCGATGTCCCCATTTTATCATTCAACTGAGATATGTCTGCAGGCCAGTAGCCGTGGTAAGGGTCCCCATACGCTGTCCTTGGACCCCCGTAGTTCTGGTTGACTGGACTGATCCAGACTAGCGCGTGGCGTGAGTTCCTTCTGAGTCAGGGACAGCGTGGAGAACGCACTTGCGGTGAAGCCAGCATTCTGGATGTAGTCCAACTTATTCATTATACTTGAACACGAGGTCGGGTCGGAGACAGAACGAGACAGGCGCGCCCACTCACCCTTTCCAGGTCCCACCACACCAGGTAGCTTGGGAAACGACGCATTCATTGACTACGGCTCCTGGTTCGAGAGAGTATCGGTCGGTGATGATTCTAGGCGACCAATGAGTATGAAGATAGCTCGCAGAATGACAGTTTCCGACTGGTATATGCTCCGGGTCTATATTCCTGGAGTGAGAATTAGGTCCGTGGGCCATAGAAGCAACGCACCCTCCACTGCTCGGCCGTCGCGGCTAGGGCTCCTTGGAGGCTACCAAGTCCCAATAATGATGCGGTAATGAGCGAGGGCAGCATATCGCTGTTGAAGTAACGAGGGCGGGAAAGAAACGAATGTGGCGGGCCGCGATGGCCCAGAAGCTAGTGAATTTGGAACTAGATGATGTCTCTTCCACGCGACCCTAGCACAGCCTGGAACAAGAATTCACGCCGAAGAGAGGAGACGGTTGAGTCGGAGCGCGCTAGTAGAGCGGGCGAGAAGGATGCAGGCTGAGAAAAGTCCCAGAATGTCTTTACTACGAGAGCACATGCCATCGGGTGATGTTGCACATCACATTGACATCAGCCGACAGTAGACAGGCGGCCAGACTTCTCCGCATCTTGCTTCAGTCCCGAACACCGAGAGAACACGCTTTCGGTTTGGGGCAAACAGGTGCCTTGAAGAGAGGTCTAGTCAAGGTTACTTCGGAATTAGCCACGGCAGGGCGCTCCGTGTCACGATCACTGTCAACCCCGCAACGCCACAAACGCGAACGGTCGGCTTGGCCGACATCTTGCAAGAACCACGTTGTGCACACATGCCGCAACGCTTCAATGGAGAGTCTTTCACCCGAGTCAGCTCATTCAACATTCTACCTCCTCCCCGTTCTGAATCCTGCGTAGTATGGATGGTTCCTTTGCTCGTGGATTCTTTTGTGTGTGCTATCATCTTTTCTTTGATTCTCTGTACTTATTCTATAGAATCCCGTTCCAATACGGCTATCATATATCCGTTCTCAATCAGATACAAGCTGTTCTCACCTGTAAAGAAGTCGGCTCCGACACGCGTCCTCACTATGGCCTACCGACTTGTATCCCCAGTGCGTATAACCTCGCCTCGTCAAATCCACCGCTCAAGAGTCAGTGTCCGATTTCTCCTTCTCTGTGGTGACTGCGATCTTCACCGTGGGCGGCCTCGTCGGTAGCATGAGTGCCAATATCTTCATGGACCGAGAAGGATGGGGACGTAAAGGTGCCGCGCGCTTCAGCGCGCTGTTGGTCGCTGTAGGCTCTGGCATCATGTCGATTAGTGCCTCGGTCAGCTTCCTGTTAATCGGACGGTTTCTGGTTGGAATAGGGTCGGGCATCGGCATCTGCCTGGGACCCATATATCTCGCTGAAATTGCTCCCTCTGGAATTAGCGGCAGTGTCGGTGCGACGCGTTGGGCTTATGAGCAACAGGGCGCGATTTGACCTCTTTGCTGCAGGTGTCTTGACCCAGCTGGGCATCGTGCTAGGAATTATGATCACGCAGTGCGTGGGCCTACGATTTGCCACCCCGACCGAATGGCGCTCTGTTCTGTTTCTCTCCTTTGCCGCCTCGGTTGCGCAATTATTCCTCGCGTCCCTTATGGTCGATTCGCCCTCGTGGCTTGGAAGCAAGGGTCATTCAGAAGCCAAGATGAGTGCTGCGGTGAGAATATGGGGGTCTTTCCCAACCAATGGCAGGTCCACCCTGTTGCTTGCTACGTGTCAATGGCCTGATGCGCCTTTACAGCATCTGTAGAAGACCCGCTACTGGATAATGCCGAAGCTGCACGTGGGGGCGCGGGAAAAGCGCTAACCGTTCCCGAAGTACTGGCGGCCGGCGATCTCCGGCGACCGTTGGCTATCGTTTGTTTCGCTATGTTGTCCCAACAACTTTCAGGTGTGTCTGCTTGCGATTCTATTCTCACCAGCGGAGCTGATTCGGTTTCCCAGGCATCAATGCTGGTCCGTTTCCTGTCTCTACGAAAGGGCGGGTACTAACTTGCCGTCCAGTCCTCTACTATAGCAACGAGATCCTGTCCGTCTTGGTCGCTGTCCACGCTTCCACTACTGATTTCTTCAATGCAGGTCCAAGTCTCTGCCAGACCTGGGACCCTATGTTTCGTTGGGCATCACTGTCGTCAATGTACTGATGACCTTCCCGCCAATCATCCTGATCGAAGTAAGCATGTGATAAAATGCGAATCTTGATGGGAATTGAATGTTGGCGTCGGCAGCGCGTCGGTCGAAGACGATTGCTGGCGCTCTCTACTATCGGGGGCATCACCTCACTCATCCTTGTGGGCTTTGGGCTCAATTCGGGCCTCGTTACACTCGCGAGCATCGCTATCTTGACCTTCGTCACGTCTGTTTGACTGCATTCCCCCGAATTGCGCTGAACAGATCTCGTAGGTCCTTCGCGATTGGACTGGGACCCGTCCCTTTTGTGCTGGTGCCGGAAGTCTCACCCTACCACGCCGTCTCTGCGCTGTCATCCATCGCGCTATCTCTCAATTGTATGTCATTGCACCATTGTGCACCCGCAGGCAGCTGAGGACTACTGCCAGGGATCGTCAACTTTCTTGTGGGTCTGGTGTTTCTTCCATTGCGTAATCTGCTTTCGCAGGGCGATCCGTCGAAGGAGGGTCGCGTCTTCTATCTTTTCGCCATCGCACTGTTTTGCTCTATGGGTATTGGTTTCCGGACAGCAGATGGAGCGGGGCGGAGGATGTGATGTGGACCGTCTAGTATCTAGTTCACACCGACAGGCCCTTGAACACGCGTCGATGTCTGCAGTCAACGTCGAAAATAGTTTCAGATACTTACTGATGTACTTGATCTTTTGATCCAACGACTATACCGGCCTGGCATGGGCTGCCTGATTTGGCTCACTGTCGTCAGGAAATGTCTGTTGATCACCATGCTTTTGAGAAGTCCAAGTTAAAGATCTGTGGGTGTTGTCATTACAAGGGGCGGCAGTCCGTGGAAGCGGCTAATTATGGTGCATGAACATAACGACGAGTCTAGACTGTTCGAGTTGCAACACGGCCACGATGGTAACAGTCGATCAAAACGGTTCCGCATTGCATAGCCTCACTCTCTGGTAAGTCCCATATCATTGCCCTTCCTTCCCTCTTCCTACCGTTTGGTGTTTCGGCTTCGGTTCTCGTGCTCATTCTTTTGTTCCTTTGCCTCTTTGCCTTGCAGTGTAGTTGCTTGTGCGCGAGACGCAAGACGTTGAACGTCCCTTTTCACAATCTTCACCCTCGACAAGTCAATCTTGGTCAAAGCTTTCAGCAACTCTCTGTGAGAGCCATCAAGCACTCGGCTGAAGGAACCGGGTCATTTGCCAATTCATTCAATAGTGCGTTCATTCTGCTCCTGCGCTCGCCACGGGCACCTGACTCCGGCCATGCCACAGCGTCGCTCTTTGCTTCTTAGACCGTTACAACCACAATGGTGTCCAAGGGATTAATGGCCTTTTGGAGTTTCGTGGACTTTCTCCTGCTGGCGGCTGGAGGAATTTCCATCGCTCTCTCTATCATCTGGCGCAAGCCCGATATCCTCATGAACATGGCCATTTCGTCGGAGTTCTTGACTAGTGCGTGGCTTGCTATCCTCCTCTTGAGCCCCTACTGAGCTCGGACAGCCGGAATGGTTTTGGGCATTGTCCTCTGCGTGACGTTCCTGGTTTCTGTCGCAGCGGTTGTGCAAAGGAGCCATGTAACGATTGGCTTCGTCATTCTCAACTACGTTCTCGTCGCGGACTCGCTCTTCGTGTTGGTTGCGGGAACCATGGTCTGGTTCTTCTCCCTCCGACAGCGGGCCGAATTCCAAGTCCGATGGACGGCGCTACCGACCGCTGATAAAGTCACTTTGCAAGACCAGGTGTGTAGTCATGCGGTCCATCCATCTAAATTACTGACCGAGGGGTGTAACAGTTCCAATGCTGCGGTTATTTCACCGCCGCTGACGCTGCTATCCAAGCCGGGTCGTTCTGCACCTCCCAAGATTTTGCTAATGGCTTGAGCAACGCTACTGCGAATTTCTGCGTTTCACATATCACGGCCTTCACGGACTACACGCTGGAGAACACTTTCACGTTCGTGGACTGATTCTGCTCTATCTTCTCGTTCTCAATCGTCTCTCTAGTACGATCTACGGGTTTATGGCTGTTGTCCTCACTCTTTTGGTGACGTCGCTTTGTGTGATCAAGAAGGTGGGTAATCTGCTCCAATGGAGGAACTGTACTTATGGCATGACAGAGACAAGAAGAAGAACGATTCAAACGCATCGATGCTAAACGTGGAGGACGCGGTTTCGTCTAATATGGCCGAACTTACCCTATTTCCCTCTCATCCTTTCCGCTCGTTGTTACATCGTTCTCAGTAATTGCCGGCGTTCCTGAGCTCGTACATACGGCTCTCAAGGACCCGTACACTGTTTCTTTCCGATCTTTGGCATGTTGATTAGCTTTTTCCCTCGTTTTCCGTACCGAATACCAAGTGTTGTCGAAGGGTTTACTGGCGGGTCAGCAGCACATCGAATCATTTGAATGTACTGCCCACTCTCGCTATGTATGTAATTTACCATTGTACACTGGATTCCCTTCCGCATGCGTGAATGGCCGGCTCGGACTGAAGTGGTCAAGAAGCTAAGCGACTGAGCGAATGTCGATGGACGTAATCGTGATTGGTCACTGGCTTGCTGCGCAATGGCTTCCTCTCTCGGCTGTTGTTTAGTCGAATTACGGCATAACTCGAGGAAATCGGAGCGACGTCCTAATAGAAATTCTCAGGGCAGATCGAAATTGGATCTCTCTCAAAGAAGCGGACATGATTTCAATCAGCTGCGGGGAACTCTCCCAATTCCCGAAAAGAATTCAGAATCAGAATTCAGGGAATGCACTATCAAGACGATGCGTCGGACTCCTGGCCTATATCTTTTCACATTCACGAGGCAAGGCCGATAGTATGGAGGCCGGGAACTATATGCTGATAAACGGAGGACGTATCACTGATACGCGATAGTTTGCCGACATAGGATCAATTTCATGATGCGCTCCATGTCATGATGCGCCTGTCTGGACGGCTGAAAACGTTATACTAATAACCGATGTCTGAATCGTGGATGGCCGCTCGGCAGATATTGATCAGATGATTGACGCAATGATCAAGACCCCAGGTAGCCGACTATCGCAATATCGCAACATCGTAATATTCGAAAAGCGCAACATTCGAGATAGGATCAGCGGCCGGGTCGCCGGCGCGAGCAGGCTCGTCGCAAGTCCGGACTCCCAGGCGACATTCCAGGGCAGCGGTTCGTACGTCGTGTTCGACTGGGGAAGGAGGTGCGCGGCCTCCCTGATACAGCGCCGTCGAGGGTCAATTCACACACCCATACTGTAGCTTGGGGGGATCCTGTCGCTGACGATCAACAACGCGACGGCCCGGTCGCAGTTCTCACTGTCGTTCACCGAGTCCGCGGAGTTCATCAGCCCGCTCAAGTTGGACGACTCGTGCCAGCCCGCACGGCTGCAGAACTGGGACAGAATCCAGACGTTCCACGTGCCGCGAGCCACGGGGCTGCTGACGCAGACCGTGGGACAGCAGCGCGGCGGGTTCCGCTTCCTGACGATTGTGAGTGCGAGCGCGGACCCGCTGACGATCTCGAACATCTCGCTGGCGATCACGTTCATGCCCCACTGGGATGATCTCAGGGCGTACCCGGGCTACTTCTTTGCACCTGACCCCGGGTTCCACGACATCGACTTCCTCACGAAGATCTGGTACGCCGGTGCGTCATCGCCTGTTTGCTGGCTGATGTGGCAGAGCGTGGCGTGGGTGGGGGCTGACCGCTAGCAGGCACTATAGGGTGCAGACCAACACAATCCCTCCCCACACGGCGCGACAGGAGCCGTGCCCAGCAGGAGGTTCGTGTCGGCGTGGATCTGAATTTTGGACTCAAACTGTGCGATCACATTTGTAGGTGGCTGGTCCAACGATGCCTTGGGAGGAGCTGCCACTGGGCCTATCCTCGTCGATGGTGCAAAACGCGACAGGTGAGGAATGGTCGGTCGCGATCTGTGTGTGCAATCCCTGCTGATGACATTGGTACTGTCAGGAACATCTGGCCAGGTAACCCCTCATGCTCATGGACGCGATCTAACCCTCGGACTCATGCGACGGATCAGGCGACTGCGGCATCTCCACACACACGGAGCTCGTCGCGCTGAGCGACATGGAGCCGACCAAGAACTCGTTGATGGTGATGTTCCGCACGCAAAACCTGACGACTGGCGCGCTGCAGTACTCCGGGCCGCCGCTGAACAACCAGGGAAGCGACACGTACATCTCGTGGTCGCTCATTGGGACGCACAACTACTTCCTGTACACGGGCGACCTCGATTTCATCAAGTCTGTCTGGGCGAACTACACCAAGGCGGTTGGCTTCCTTGAGGGCCAGGTGGACTTGACCGGCCTGATGAACGTCTCGTCTGCGCTCTCGAACGACTGGGGCAGGGCCAGCGGCGCCGGACACAACTCTGCGGCAAACGCGTTGCTTTATCGCGTGAGGATTGATTTCTGTCTCTCGCATCATGTATCCGCGCTCATCAAGCTCGTAGACGCTCGTCACCACGGCGGACCTGGCGACGCATCTCGGCAATGTCTCCCTCCCCGCCACATACCTCGCCAACGCGACCAAGATCAAAACTGCGTTCAACAGCCTGCTGTGGGACGCCGCGGCGGGCCGGTTCCGCAGCAACGACCTGCCGAGGAGCATCCACCCGCAGGACGGCAACGCGCTCGCGGTCCTGTACAACCTCACGACATCGGACGCACAGAACAAGGCCGTGAGCGCCGGGCTGATGAAGTTCTGGACGCCCATCAGGCCGTGGCTTCGAGGTGCGTGTTGCGCTGGTGGTTTGTGGTTTGCGTGTCACCTGCGCGACAGATCCAAGCGCATTTTGTGGCCGGCAAGGGCGAGCGGGCAATTGATCTGATCGAGCGCGAGTGGGGGTACATGCTGGAAACCAACTTGAGTGTCAAGTCGCCGCTGCTAGAGGGCTTCTCGGCCAACGGATCGCTCGGGTGCGTGTCGTATCAATCAGCTGCGGCAAGCTGTTGGTCCTGATCTGTACGCATGGTTCTCGGATGAGGAAGACTCCCGCGAAAATGATTAGTGAATTACAGTAATTACATGCTCACTACGCTATCTCGAATATTACACTATCTTGAATGTTGCGCTTTTCGAATATTACGATGTTGCGATATTGCGATAGTCGGCTACCTGGGGTCTTGATCATTGCGTCAATCATCTGATCAATATCTGCCGAGCGGCCATCCACGATTCAGACATCGGTCATTAGTATAACGTTTTCAGCCGTCCAGATAGAGCGCATCATGACATGGAGCGCATCATGAAATTGATCCTATGTCGGCAAACTATCGCGTATCAGTGATACGTCCTCCGTTTATCAGCATATAGTTCCCGGCCTCCATACGATAGCTGTCAGCATACAGTACAGTAAGATCCCGATAATCAATCACGATTAGATCAAGGATCTTCCATCACGTGCATTCGCTCGAACTTGGGCTGAGCTTGATGGTCTACCAGAGATGGGCAAGGCGAGGAAGAAGAAAGTTCCCTTGACCGCCCGCTCGAGCTCTTCCGTGGCGAACTCCAGCTCTAGGCCTGAGTCAACCCGACAAGTCATTCGACAATACCATGTCTTGCTCAAACAGAAATCCCAGCTCGAAACATCCTTGGTCAGCAAGTTCGACGCCCAAGCAACGCAGAAATTGCAAGATGTGACGCGACAGATCGATGAATTGGGTGGTCTGGAGTCCTACCAGCGGATGTCGGTCATAGGTTCGCGTCCCGGTGTCTCAGATCCACGTTGCTCATCACGGGTGCACCCAGGCCAGGGGTCTGACAGAGGCGGTGGAAGCGAGAAAATTCTCATCGCATGGCTCAAGGAGTCGAGGCGGGATGCGAAAGAGATGGTCCCAACATTGCGGTGAGCTTCTCTCATGAGTGTCGGGCCCCGTCCTGAGTGCGAGGTGTGCAAGACTGCTTGAGGTGGGGGCTTTGAAGCCAGATAATTACGCGTCGTGCGAGAGCTGGATTAAGAACACGCCACTTGATCTGAACTCCCGGCATCCAGGCAAGCCGTGCAGCGGTCGAAAAAGCACTTGCGGTACTGATGCCTCTTTCCTAGATATTCTCGAACAAGATTTCCTACTCATGGACGCAGACGAGCATCGCGAGAAATGGGATGTCCTCAGTCTGAGTTTGGTACTGAATTTTGTCTCAGACGCGAAAGATAGAGGTGTGTGATTCTGAAATCTGATCTTGATCTGCATAACATCCTCTGCTAGGGCGAATGCTCCGGTTGGCGTGGTCTTTCTTGGTAGAAGGGGGCTCATTGTTCCTCGCTGTGAGTCATGCCTACCTATCTCCTCCGCCTTCTCTGTGTCCCGACATCCGTTCCCAGCTTCCTCTACCCTGCGTAGCAAACTCCCGATATGTCGATTCGCAGTACTTGACTGGTCTCATGGAGTGTATCGGGTTTTCGCAACAACGCGAACGGTCGAGGGCAGGCGGGAAAATGATTTATCTGTTGTATCGCAAGCAGTCTCCCGTAGGCCATACTGCTCCGTACGAGAAGAAAAGTATATTGCGCTCAGGCAACAGGAATAACTTTTGTATCCTTCTGTAATTTGATTCTAGTAAGGATGGTATTCGTGAACTTCGAGGAGACCACTCTAGCACACGGTCACATGCCACGATCGAGCTTTCTGAACCGTCCAGAAGTACAGAAGCACAATCCCCGATCCTGACCGTGGACTGTCCAAATCTACGACCTGCCATTTATACGAGACCTGACATCTACACCATCACCACGCGATCCAGCATGAAGTCTGCCACCCTGAATATTCTTCACTTCAACGACGTCTACCGGTGCGGCCCCCAGAAGATCGTGTCCGGCAAACCGGATACCATCGACGTCACACAGTTCAGCGCGCTCTTGGATGGCCTGAGGTCCAAGTGGGAGCTACGATCGGACGGAAAGCGAGAGGGTATTTCCACTGCCTCGTTCCGGCGGCTAAATGCCTCACGGTCGTACAGGCCTTGTGCTCTTCTCTGGAGATGTGTTCTCGCCGTCTATCGAGAGCACCGTCACACGAGGCAGTCATATGGTACGGGGTGCTTCGTCGAGCTCAGCGGAGCGCTGAGGCATATATGCGATCCGTAGGTCCCGGTCATGAACGAACTTGCTCCGGACGTGTCATTGACTGGTAAGATTTGGTTCCTATGACTAGGGGCCCTACTGACTGGATGGATCGGCAGGGAACCACGACTTTGACTTTGGTTTGTGTGAGCATCTCTGTTGAATGCCGGGGACGAACTTTGGTAGGATACCGGCAACTGGTGGAACTGATGAAGGCCACGACCTTTGTGCGTGTGCAGTGCTACCCCCATGTCCGCTGTAATCTGACTGGACTACAGCCATGGATCTCGAGCAACATCATCGATGTCGACACGTCGGAAGTGCCGCCCAGTCTGAATGCCTTCCAAATTTTTGAGAGAAGTGGTTTGCGCATCGGTGTTATCGGACTCGTGGAGGAGTCAGTGTTGCATTGGCGGGCTTCTAGGCCGATCTGACCGTCTGCCAGAGAATGGATCGGGACCGTTGCCAACTGGCCTGCCAATTTTGTTCACAAGGACATGCAACAAGTCGGTATCGAACTATCAAAAACTCTGCGCGGGGAGCACCAATGCGACATTATCGTGGCGTTGACTCACTGCCGCCTACCGAATGTACGCTAGATCCCACTACTATCCTCCGTGCTTGCTGACATGTGCAGGACATTGTGCTTGCAAAAGGCTTGCTAGCTTTATCGTCGACTGCACAACAAACGAATCCGGTCCGCAACACGCACGGAGTCGACTTGATTCTCGGGGGTCACGACCACATGTACTATGCGAGCCGAGGAATGGACGACTGGGAGAACTATGACCGAACCCAGACCCCTCTCGGAGCCGAGCAAGACCGCGGAGATATCTTGGTCTGCAAGAGCGGCACGGATTTCCGTGAACTGAGCGAATTGAAAATCGAGTTGGAGGACACCCCTGCCGAAAGTGTGAGACGCAAGGTGATCAAGCACATCCAAGGTACAGTCTGAATCGCGGCACCTTTCACTGGCGGCTTAACCTGTCCCTGCCATTTAGGGATAAGACACGTGACCCAATCAGGGTCCGCGTCCTCACCAAAAATGGCGCAAGTCGTCAAGACTGCCCTCTCTTCTGTATCCTCGACCTTCAAAGCTCCGGTCTGCACTACGGTAACAGCTTTGGACGTCCGGTCCCAAGCTCTCCGCACGGAGGAGTCTGGGGCGGGCAACTGGATCGCAGATGTCATTCGACATGCCTACGACGATACACTGTCGATGCAAGGCCAAGGGGCCGCGGATCTTGTGCTTGTCTGCGCCGGTACCTTTCGCGGGGACTCTGTCTATGGGCCTGGTGTGATCACCCTGGGCGATATTATGGAGATTCTCCCGTTTGAAGATCCAGTGATCGTCATCGAGCTCGACGGGGCGGCCATCTGGGATGCCTTAGAGTCTGCTTTTGTGACCTGGCCCGCTCAGGAAGGGTTTGTTGTCCCGCTTTAGACCGCGCATTCATGATTGACTCTTTGATAGCCGGTTCCCAGTCGTCTCTGGTTGTCGTGTCTCGTGGGACTCTCGCAAACGGCCCGGGGAGCGGGTTCTTGGTGTCTGGCTCACCAACGAGATCGAGGACACAGACGAGCATTCCCGTGGAGACTCGCGTATTGTTGACGGCGAGTCTATCGAACGATCGTCTGACAGGAAATACAAGGTGGTCACTCGACAATACATGGCAGAAGGTCCGAACCTGTCTCACGCGTGATTCGTCCACTGATAAAGTGATCAAGGGCACGACGGTTTCACTGCCATGACGCGAGGGAAACATCTCATCGACGACGAAAGTGGACAGATCATGTCTGCAATTGTGCGCCAGTACCTGATGGGCAAGTGATATACTATGATCGTTTCCGGGATGCTCAAGGGAATGCAGGATCCCATTACGTCAATACCATGGCGCGACTGAAAGACAATGCGCTGGAGCACTTGCATCCGACAACAAAGTCGGCTATTCGGCATGAACAGCAACATCAAAACACGACCGCATCCAAGTGGAAACACGCGGCTCATCTTGCTCTACAGTGGTCGCGATCCAGACGTCACTATCAGAATCATATCGGTGTCTGCATGAGAGAGGAAATGGACGTCGTCGATCCCATTGACGGGAAAAAGATCCGAGCAGGCCAAACGCAAGAGGGTCATGTTGACACCGGAAAAGATCAGGATCTGTTGACGATAAACCCTTCGATTGACGGGAGATTGAAGGACGTGGGGCGGTGATACCTTCTAACTGTACATACATACTCGCTAGCGCCTGCGTGACCTAGGATCATCCACAGGAATCAGCTTCTCGTTGTCAATCTCGGCAGATTCTCCTAGCAGATTCTGCACATGGTGCGTCACTGTACCGGCGCCATAACCGAGAGAAAATCCACCAAGCGTCACTGCGATCGAGTGAGAGAGATCAACAGACTATGAATGCAGACGCCTACAATCGAGTAGCCCAGCTCTCCCCCAGAACACAGCAGGCGCGATGCATGCAAGAAGGACAGACCCAATGGCAGCAAAGTCTTCTTCTCTGCGTTTGCTTTTCTGCAAGTCCCCGGATGAGCAAGATTCCGTGAGTTGAGTGAAGAGCACAAACGCTGTAAACCAACTCATGACGCCGCTGCCGCAGAGAATCGGCATCCAAGAGCGAGTTTCTCGCGTACACAGCGGCGCCACCGACACCAGCAGCTATTTCAACGTTGAACACCATTCACTTGATTGCATAAAGCATACCTCCAAGACCAGATAGAGTGGACATGTTCATTGCGCGTTCAATCGACAGGCGTTTCCCGGGACGTCGAGAGAACAAAGAGAGGGAGATGTAGACGGGAATCTATGTGAAACATGTCGGTGGGGTTCGAAGAGACAGTATAGCGCGTATATGTACTCCAGCAACAGCACCTAGAGCGAAGAAAGTCTTCATTTTCCTAGCAGTGATGTAGGCCGAGTCGGAACTCCATTTCTCTGTATCACAGCGCGTCGGATGCTGCAGAAGAGACAGGGAACAATTTCACCTGAGGGGAAGATATCTGGAACAGACATGCCGAAGTGTTTCAACGCGCAAGTCAACGCGACTTGGGACTGCTCAAAGTCACTTCTTTACTACTTTCAGCTAATGGTCACGGTCACAGATTTGCTGCCGAAATGAAATGTCACGCTTAGTCACAGCTTGACTCTTTTCTCTATACTTGCCATGAGCACGATGCTCTACGATGCGCACGATGCGCACATGTCGGACTACCCCATCGACATCGACATGAGCCTCTCTTCAGAACCGTGGTTTGACCCGGAAAATACGATGCAAGACGACGATAGCTTGGCGCCTGTTTACGACAATGAGAGCACTCATAGCGTCGAGGTCGAGATGGGCGACGACCATTACACCGAAGAATATGAAATGCTCGACGGAAAAGGAGAGGAAGGCCACTATGAGGAGATGGGCGGAGAGCTGGTGGATATCGAGGTCGTGGACTTCACCGAGGAAGAGCCGAGTCTTGATGCTACTCTTCTCCCTGTGGATGTGGATGCCGAAGTGGCACTGGAATCTCTTACTTCTGGCGGCGAACCATCTCTGGAGCCGGAGGGCGTAGGGCTTGCTGGTGGAGACGTTGTGGTTTCCCTGAATCCTAGCATCTCTCCTGGTGCTCCAGATGCGGACTTGCCGGATGCTTCTGCACAAGCGACTCCCATAGTCATCTTTCGGAACCTCGGAGAGCCACATGTGGAAGAAGCGTCCACCGCACCAAGTGAAACTACCATTGCTCAAAACGGCGAAGAAACTGAAAGCTCAGCATCATATCGAGACGCTGTTGCCGAGGGAGAGTCCGCAGGAGATGACGGTCTTGCTGGAACTTTTCATGCCGGTGATGCCTTGCAGTTGCCGGACTCGCTGACCTCGGATGATAAAGTTGAACCTGAAAGTGGAACGTCTGAAGCTCCCATTGACGTGCCACCCGAAGAACACGAATCGGCCGAGGCAGTGCATTCTGAGCCAGATCCCCACGAGATCTCGGAAGGCGTTTACATCGATCCTCCTCCCGCTGTGCTTTTGTCCTTTGAAGACCCGAGCTTTCCTGATATGACTCTCTTCAACCGACCAACACGGTCTCGGTCAGCGAGTCCGACACCCACGACTCCAGGTGCCCACATACTGAATGTTCTTTTGCATCATCAACCCATTCTCTATTATGAGAGTCTGTCCAGCGTATTCGAAGCGCTGCGTCAGGAAGAGTCCATCTCGCAAATGCTGGATTTGGCCGATTCTGAATTGATCCTGGATGCGTATGATCTGCAGTTGACAGTATCCGAAGTGAGTGTGTTCACTGCAACGTTGTGACTATGGCTGATGAGATCGACAGGACAATGTGCACACTCGAGAAGTCACATTGCACGACCTAAATGTCCTGCATGATGGGTCCAATCTCGTTGGACCACTGCGACTTCGGTTGAAGGTGGTCACACCCCGATTCATTCGACGATTTCGTATGTTACAGGATCGAATCTCGCGACTGCAGCTTGGATTCGACGAAGAACATGAACCAGACGGCGGTATGTTTCATCATTCGAACTCATCCCTGAAGTGACCTTTTCCCGCAGACCCGGATGAATACGTGGAACCTGACGCAACAGAGCCATTGTCTGGTGACCTCGAGGATGACAACCCTGTAGCATCGCAGGAGTCCCTCGACCCTCACACTGTTCTGGTGGCGCCATCAGAACAAGCGCAGCCGAACGCGGATGATGGTGCAGAAGAGGTCTACGAAGAAGCAGCCGACGAGGAAGAATACAACGGTGAGACGTTGAATGATGAAGAAGTTGATCAGCCGAGTTTCGAGGAGACGGTTGAGGAAGTTACTGAAGATGACGGAACCTGCGTAGAGCAACCGGTTGAAGACTCTACACAGGCTGCTCAAGAGGAATATCCTGATTCCACTGATACCCGAGTTTCCCCAGATTATGGCAAAGGTACGCTTCTCTTACTTGTGCTGTCTCCTGAGTGCATCTCAGCCTTCCAGTAGAGACCCCCGAGAAGTACAAGCCAGATTCATCCAACACCCGAACGGCCACTCCCGACGCTGAAGTGCCGATCGGTGGAACCAGTAATTCCATCAATCCGCAGCCAATGTACATACGCTAACTGGAATCACAGATGACGGTCTCGAGTCCGATCAAGACCCTGCGCAGTCTGATCCTGCCTGGGTTGCTTTGGGCGACGAGGAACAAGACGCCGACACCACTTTGGCAGGAGAAGCCGAGCACGAAACTGCGTCTAATAAAAGCTCGGTTACACTGTCGAGCAAATCCTCGAAAAGATCCTTCGATGAAGTTGGATTCGAGGAGGAGGAAACTGATCCAGCTTCTCCCCCAGGCTCTCCCGGTGTGCTTAATGCCCTTTTTCGTAACTTCTTACTGATATTGGTCCAGGCACCAAGCGCAAAAGACTCGACTGAACGTTCTGTCCCTGTTCTCGCATTGATATCCCGCAAATTTCCAGCATCAAGTATTTTCACAAGGCTAGGTTTTCCTCCCAAAGACTATGATTCTTTCTTCGCTTCACGACAGACCTGCTGACATTCCAGACTTGTACTCGGTCTCCTGCGTAAACTCTCTGAGGAGAATGCATTGATTAGTTATGACATATAAATATCCCAGTTTTGCGGCAAGAAACCTGATTCGTCGGTGATTCCGTCACCGTTCGCGTGCAGATTGGCTGTGAACGACAGATTTGAAACTTCGTATCAGACGCTGATACAGTCTGGACGGGTCTGGACCAAGTCCCATACCGATTCGCGGTGCCGAATTCAGCCGGGCACAGGATGCGTATCTAGTTTGCCCCCCAGTTTGGCTCCAGTTTGGACCTGTGAATTTGAGCCCAGCTTACATAGTGCACTACAAAGTCATTGCGAGGGAGTGCTTGTAATTTTGCGTGTAGAAACCTTTGGTTCCGCGGCGTGGGCCGGTTTGTGTTCCCTGGTCAATAACCATCTCGTGAGTGAAGAATCAGGCAAGCAACGACGGTTTCCAGGGCAAGGCTGAACCAATCAGCTGCTGAGTTTCAATTCGGCAGGCTACTTGACTGCATTCCCTTTCTCCGCTTTCCTTATACTTAGTCGTTCTCGGGGCGCTCCCATTCCTCAGGCCGGTCCCTCCTCTTTTCCTTCTTGAAGACTATCTATCTGTTATTGTTCATCACACCGCCTCGACTCATTCCCTCGTAACCGCAATCGTCTAGACCACCTAGGCCCTCCCAGATTTGTATGCCGCGTAGGGGCTCGATGGACTTCCAAGATCGTTCACCAGATGGCAACTTGTCCCAGCACCCAGACCTCGATGGTCTGAAGCAAAATGGGACATCTCTTACGAGGAACAAGACGGAACGTCGGCGTCTTCAAACCGTTCAGGTAAGCATGCCAGACGTTACACAGACCAGCCACGTTATCGACCATGTTTCGGTAGCGCTCCGATCCTGTGAACTCCCGGCAGGCGCCTGTCGTCAATACTTTTGGCCAGAAGGTCAGCTTGTGGCTGATTAACGAGGGTCAGCGTCATATCTTCTTCGCCACGTTCATTTTCCTCCACATCATCGTCGGCATCTTCGGTTGGTTCCACTATGCCCTGAAGGATAACTTGACCACTGCCCGGGCCACGTTCGGAGTTACGTTTGGTGAGAAATTTACCTCGGTGTCTGAACACTTGGACTGGACTGATGTGACTTTCAAACAGTCATCGCTCGTGCTGCTGCCTTGGTTCTCCATGTCGATGTCATCTTCATCCTGCTCCCCGTGTGCCGTAACTTTGTGTCGGTCATGCGTCGCACTCCGCTGGGGACAGTCATCCCGTTCGATAAGAACTTAACATTGCACAAAGCGACCGGATGGTCCATCTTCATTGGCAGCGTCATCCACACTCTTGCGCACATTGTCAACCTGTACCATCTCACTATGGCTGACAACAGTCTGCACAACACTGGATCCCGGATCGCATTCTTCTTCTACTCCAACTTCATCATCGGTCCTCTTATCACTGGGTGGCTCATGTGGGCCTGCTTGGGGACCATGGTCTATTTCGCGTTGGAGAAGAGACGACGTGCGAAGAACGGTGGATTCGAGAAGTTCTGGTACACTCACCATCTTTTCATCCCGTTCTTCATCCTGTGGCAATTCCACGGCATGTTCTGCATGATCAAGCCCGACCGTCCTCCGTACTGCTCGTTCAATACGATCGGTGTGTTCTGGGTGAGTGCTCTCGTCAAACACAGAGCTTCGTACTGATATTCTGCAGCGCTACTGGATTGTCGGCGGTCTCATTTGGATCTACGAGCGCATTCTCCGTGAGGTCCGGTCTCGCCATGTTACGTTCATTTCCAAGGTCATCCAACACCCGTCGAGTGTTATGGAGGTTCAGATCAAGAAGGAGAAGACCACCATCCGTGCAGGACAGTATATCTTCATCAACTGCCCTGAGATTTCGTACTTCCAGTGGCACCCTTTCACTTTGACCAGTGCACCGGAGGAGGATTACATCTCAGTCCATATCCGTGTCGAGGGTGACTTCACCACCGCTTTCTCCAAGGCTCTCGGATGCGATTTCAGCAGGAAGAGCAAGGATGAGAAGGGGGACAATGCCGGCGGCAAGGTCATTGGGACCAACTTGAACCCTCCTATCAACCGCACTCTCCCTCGTGTCATGGTTGACGGTCCGTTCGGTACATCGTCCGAGGAATATCTCAACTACGAGACCGTTCTGCTTGTTGGTGCCGGTATTGGTGTCACGCCCTTCGCCTCGATTCTCAAGTCCATCTGGTACCGCATGAACAACTTCCACCACTCGAAGCCGACCCGTCTTTCCAAGGTGAGTCAGCAGCGGCTCGTCAATATTGTGGTTACCGATTCGATTGCAGGTCTATTTCACATGGGTCATCCGAGACTTTGGCACGGCTGAATGGTTCCATTCTCTGCTGCATGCCATTGAGGAACAGGATACTCAGAACAGGATTGAGATCAACATCTACCTGACCCAGAGAATGAAGGAGGATGAAATGAACAACATTATCGTGCAAGACGTCGGTGCCGAGAAAGATGCCATTACGTCTCTGCGAGCCCCGACACATTTCGGTCGGCCTGCATGGGACCGCATCTTCCCTTCGATTTCTGCCAAACATCCTCAATCGGATGTCGGTGTGGTGAGTATTGCATGGCCGACTGCTCTGTCATGGTTCTGATTGCGTCCAGTTCTTCTGCGGTCCCGCTGCTATTGCAAAGGCCTTGCACGTGGCATCGAACAAGCACTCTGACCCTAACGGAGGCACGCGCTTCTTCTTTGGGAAAGGTGCGTTACATTAGTGGTATTCCGCTGAACTGATTCTGACCGTGTCCTCCAGAAAACTTCTGAGCCGAGTTACCGGAACATCTATCTCTATCTATCTTACGAATGTATATATAAGTACATACATGCTTTCAGCGTGCCGTGCACAAACACAGGGAGCTAGTAGAAACAGCCTTCGCCGACAATGATGAGAGCACACTGGGATAAATGGGACAATCCATCCGATATATGATTGTGGCTGTGAGATGCAGATACTATATCACGTGCATCCGACAATATCTAGGTCAGAGATCTTTACGCAAATTATCTACACGGTCACCCTCGCTCGAGCGTTCGCCGGTACCCGATCCATGGCTGACGCCGAAACGGCGCGTTTGTGCACGCAAATCGTTCATACGCATTTTGGTCCCTTAACAGCCGTGAGCACCCCCCTCCATACCTTATTCCTCTCTCTTCATAATTTCGCAGAATGTCGCGTCTGTGCTCCTGACGCGAGGGCGGTTAACTCTCCCTCAACTTGTGCGCTTCACGTCTATCAAGCCCAGAACTGTCCGGGCATGCATTCTAGCTCTGGTGCAACACAACGTCCTATGGCACGCACACTCCGAAGACGAAGGAGAGGTGCTGGAGTTCAATATCGAAGAATGTCTACTCAGATTGAGATTCGGGCGGTTCGTCTGGCAAGCCGGGCAACTTTTCGGAGAAAAAGTGCGTCGTGAAGCCTGTGTTCCTGGTCTGTTCAACGTTCTCGTAGGCCAGCGAAGTCGTCCAACTCATCCTCGATCACGGAAAGCTCAGGCCCACTGACATCACGCGAATTCTGGCTTCGGGGGATGCAAAAGGTTTTTGTCCTGGACTCGAAGGTTGCTCGATGTTCATGCTCTGCCAGCCGTGATTGCGTACTCCAAGATCATCCATTCTCTCGTAACTTCGGGGTATTTGAAACCGTCCACTGTCCTCTCGCACCTGTCTCCGCGAGATAAACGAATACGATACGAGTCCGAAGAAAAAGCTAAAATCAACGGGTTTCCTACTGCAAAGGAGCTGCGTGAAGCGAAGGAGACTGCGGAGGCTAGGTTAAAACGGGAAGAGGAGGAGGCAGAGCAAGTAGGATTGGTGCGTGACGTGATTCAGCGCGTTTCTTGGGCTCAGTGTGGCTGTAGACGCGGAGACCCAAGGAAGTGAAGGGTCACAAGTCTTCAAAAGTATCATTTGACACTACTCGTTAAGAGCTACTCTCATATCGAAACCAGCGCCAAACCGCTGAGGAGGAAGAAATCGTTGAAGTGCGCCATGCTTCTCTGCGTTTTTCTCGAGTGCTCACCGTCACTGCAGCCCACGGTATACTTCCGCCTCAACTACGAGAGGTTCAACATACATATCCGCAATGACGTACGTGAGATTGTCCATTTTGCTTTTTCATCTCATGTCTCTTTCAGTTGATCTCTCGAGCGGCAAAAGAGCGGCACAACGAAGGAGCGGCGCTAGTAATCAAAACCATTCTCAAAGAGACAGAATCGAAACAGAAGAGTTTGGCCGAGCCACGAACAGGTATTGCAGTTATTTAGATCTGAAAATTGGCGTTGACGACGGTCTAGATCCGATTTCGGTGTCCAACGTCGCGCTTGCTCTGGCGGACTCCGATGATCTGGCTTCCGGGCTTATCCTCCGTACTAAGAATCCATCGAACACAACCTGTGTGAAGGATTACCTGGGGATATTGTCGTGCGCCGATAATCCAACTCCCGCTGGCAGAAATTCTTCGTTCATCTCGTTCGGGGGCTCGAAGATTCAGGTCGAGTTTGAGACAACATGTAAGCGGCTGGGGAGGCGTGTTCTGGAATCCGTAACTCGGGAGCGCCATGGAGCGCCTGGAGTCCGGATCCTGAGGTTGCTGCTCGACACTGGCAAGATGGATGAGAAACAGGTGCGTGTGTCGACTGGGCCCCGAATTCGCTTGATTGTTCTTTTTGGAGATCTCCAAGGTGGTCATGGTCCCCGGCAAGGATGTGCGACCGATCCTGACTCGTATGTCGTCCGAGTCGTTGATCAGCACGCAAGAGCTGGCAAGAACTGCGGACCGCCATCCTTCGCGCATGTTTTATCTGTGGTGAGCCGACATGTACGAGGTCCTTGCTCTTCCTCATTTGTTTTCTAGGTATGTCGACCTGCAAAAGGCTTACTCAGTTGTTATCGGACATCTGTATAAGACGATCTACAACATTGAGTTGAGGCGACAAGTCGAGGGTGAAGAGCCCATGGTCAAGGCCGTACTCGAGAAGCGGCAACGGAGTGACGTGATCCAGGACGAGGAGACGTATCTGTCTAGAATGGAACTCGACACAATCAGAGACTGGGAAGGGAAACGAGAGAAATTGACTATTCTCCAGATGAGAGTTGAAGAATCTGTATTCATCCTTCGAGATCTCGGGATATTTGGTACCAATGACGATGTTTGATCTGAGGTTAGGGCTAGAAATTGTAATGATGAGTCGCGTCAATAGACCCAAATACTCATGGCTTCCTCCTCCCATCGTGTCCAGCTGAACAAACAGCTCTTCAACGCGCGAGTACAGCGTATATACGAGGGATGGCGTGTATGCTCCCGTTCCCTCCCGAACTCGTTTGGATCCTCACTGACACGGATCATCTCATGTATTGCAGAGCGCGGGACAAGACGAAGACTACGCCTCTGTCGCAGACACCGACGCTCTATTGCTGGTCGCTGGCGATCCTGCTCCAGAAGACGAACCTACGCGGAAGGGAACTTCGGTCCAGGTACGTTGATTATCTATTCCACATTTAGTGCCGACGCGTCTAACTTTTTCTTCTTCTCTCACCCTTTTCCTATCCGTCCATTTCAGCAATGGCTTCTTGGTTACGAGTTTCCATCGACATTGATTCTGTTTGACGAGACGAAAATCACTATCCTGTGCTCGGCCTCCAAAGGTGAGTGCTCTCAGGGCTCGATCTGAGGCGTCTTTTCGACGCGCTTTTCGCAGCCAAGATTCTATCGCAGGTTGAAGGGTCATCTGGGAAGATTCCCGTGGAGATTCTGGCGCAGGCCAAGGGGAAAGAGCCCGCCAATGATTCAATGTCCCGTTTCCTCGACTTGTATACGTCCAAGCGGCGCGTCGGATCCCTCCCCAAAGAGGAATACACAGGCAAACTTATCGATGAGTGGAAGAAGTTGGTCAATGGGGCACCTGCGAAACCTGAAATTGTGGATATGGGGCCTGCACTGTCTGCTTTCATGGCCGTGAAAGACGCCGAAGAATTGGTGCGTAATGCGATGTCGGTGCGTGCTTGCTGACTAAATAGCATACCCTAGAAATGCATGCAGCTCGCTGGGGCTTTGACGAGCACACTTCTCAAATACTATGTGGCTGACAAGCTTGAGTCTATCTTGGACAAAGAATCGAAGGTCACACACTCAACGCTCGGGGCGCTCATCGAGGCTCGTCTGGGTTCTGGAGAGGGCGACAGTGCGAAGCCTCCAGACTCGAGAGTCTGGAGTCGGGGCAAGGGTTTGAGTGATGTACGTGCGGTGTTTTACTACCGAACGGTTCTTTACTGAGTCAAGTCAGATTGATTGGTCTTTGGTGGAGTTTTGCTACCCGCCCATCATCATATCTCGCTCATCCCGCACTGGATACGATCTTCGATACACTGCCGAGTCAAGCGACGACAACATCTCGCACAAAGGAGTCCTTCTTGTCGCATTTGGGCTGCGATACAAATCCTATTGTGCCAACGTGGGACGAACATTCATCGTCGACCCCACGCCTGTGAGCTACTTTCGTGAGACTAGTGACATCAGCTCATGCCATAAGCAGGAACAAGAAAAACAGTACAGCCTGCTTCTCTCTCTACAGCAAGAGTTACTCCAGAAGATCAAGCACGGTGTAACTACTCGCGACGTCTATAACCTTGCACTCTCATACGTCAAAGAACACAATCCAGAACTGGAAAAGAACTTCCAGAAGAACATCGGCTTTGGGGTATGTCTTGACATCTCCTTCTCACCCCGTCTGAACGACATCCCCGCAGATGGGCATCGAATTCCGAGACTCTGCTTACTTGCTAGCTAGCAAGACGAATCGTCCATTGAAGGAGAGCATGGTTTTAAATCTGAGCTTGGGGTTGGCTGAACTGGTCGATAACAGTGGGAAAAAGTAAGTCGACCACGCATACTTTGAAGCATCCACTCACCGCTACTCAGATATGCGTTACAATTGGTCGACACCATCAAGATTGGGCGAAACGAGTCCAATCTGCTCACTGATGGAACACGCTCGATCAAAGACACAATGTTTTTCCTGACTCCCGAAGAGGAGGAGAAGCCGAAAAAGAAGCCTCCCGTAGCACCTCGGCCGAAGGGCTCTCCGCAGAAGAAGACCGTCGCTGGCAAGGTGCTCCGTAATCAGACCCGTCGAACGCAAGATGAGGTCCATCAGACCGCTGCAGCCAAGCTGGCAGAGCACCAGCGAGAACTGCACGCTGCGTTGCAGAATGCCGGGATCGATAAATTCTCTGAAGAAGGGGAAGGGAAAGAAGGCAAGGAGGGCAAGGGGTGGAAGAAATTCCAAAGTTACAAGGGCGAGGGTGGTCTTCCCAACGAAGTCGAGCGATTGAGGGTGAGTCTACTCGTATCTGTTTGTTTCTGAGATCTGAGAGATATGCAGATTCACGTCGATCGCAAGGCGCAGACAGTCATACTTCCTATCAACGGCTTTGCTGTTCCGTTCCACATAAATACGATAAAAAACGCCAGCAAGAACGATGAGGGCGATTTGACTTACCTGCGCATCAACTTCCAAACTCCTGGCCAGCTTGCGGGCAAGAAGGAGGACACAGTAAGGCATAAACTTCTGTCATCACCACCCCCGTCTGACACATATCCAGCCTTTCGAAGATCCCGATTCCAACTTCATTCGTTCCGTTGTTTTCCGTTCTCCAGACGGACATCGGTTTGACAACATCTGCAAGCAAATCACCGAGCTGAAGAAAGAGATGAACAAACGCGAGCAGCAGAAGAAGGAAATGGCGGACGTTGTGGAGCAAGGCAATTTGAATGAAGTTAAGGGCCGACGCCCATACAAGTTGCCCGACTCATTTATCCGACCTGCGCTCGACGGCAAGCGGCTGGCGGGTGAAGTGGAAATTCACCAGAACGGTGTGCGATACCAGTCTCCGAATGGACAGAAAGTCGGTCAGTATCTCATGTCGGACTTATCGGATCACGACGCTGACAGTGGACGAAGATGTCTTGTTCAGCAACGTCAGGCATCTCTTCTTCCAGCCTTGTGACTTCGAACTGTTGGCGATTGTCCACTTGCATCTCAAGGCACCCATCATGATTGGCAAGAAAAAGACGCTCGTGAGTAGATTTTCGATGTGCGGCTGTTTGCGTGAATGAAACTTGCCGTAGGATATACAATTTGTCCGTGAAGCGACTGACGCACAATTCGATGAAACGGGAAACCGAAAGCGCAAGCACCGATACGGAGACGAAGACGAGATCGAGCAGGAGCACCACGAGCGAAAGCGTCGGCAGCAATTAAACAAAGAGATTGAGGCGTTTGCGCAGAAAATCTCCGATGCAGCATCGGCATCTGTGAGGGTTCCCTGTTGTATAGAGTGGAGAGGGGGCTGATGTATCTTAGACCGGGGAAACGCTCGATGTCGATGTTCCGTTCCGCGATCTCTCGTTTGAAGGCGTTCCTTTCCGACAGGCAGTGCGGTTACAGCCGACAACTGAATGCTTGGTGCACCTGACCGACCCACCGTTCTTGGTGGTGACACTCTCCGAAATTGAATTGGCATCCCTGGAACGTGTCCAGTTCAGTCTCAAACAGTTCGATATCTGCTTCATCTTCAAAGACTTTTCGAAGGCGCCTCTCCATATCAATTCTGTGCAGAGCACTCAGATGGACGATGTACGGAACTGGCTCGAGTCAGTGGCCGGATATCTTGCACGTGGCCCGGCTGACACACATTCACAGTTCCGTTGACATTGCCATGACCGAGAGTCCAGTGAATTTGAATTGGGGACCCATCATGAAGACAATCAACGATAGCCCGCATGACTTCTTCCGGGATGGTGGATGGTCGTTCCTGGGACGCGGAAACGGAGCTGATGTGAGGTCAGGTCTTGCGCAGTTGACTGTGTCTGATGATGAAATCAGAGCGACCACTCTGACGATCAATCGGAGTCCGAGTCGGAGTTCGAGGCCGACTCGGATGAGATGCAAGCCGAGAGCAGCGATGACGGTAGCGGTTACTCGGACAACAGCAACGAGAGCGGCTCAGACTTTGGCGACGACTCTGACGATGCCAGCGACGATGGGGATGACTGGGACGAACTCGAGCGCAAGGCCGCCAAGTGTCAGTCTTGTCTTAATCTCATCTGCCGATTCTCATCTTCTTTCTCAGCTGATCAAAAGCGTGCCGATGAAAAGAGACGGCAGGGCTCGGACGACGAGGACGAGGACCTTCCGAAGAAGAAGAAGGCGAACGGGAAATCGAACGACAAGCCTTCGAAGAAGAAGACGTCTAAGCATTGATCTCTTTATCATCTGGCGCATTTATCTGTACTTTGTAGTTTGTAATCTAGACTTTCCTAATGCAGCGTTCTGGCGTAGAAGACGTGTCAAACTTCCATCAGCACAGCTTGGGCACAGCATTGGCACTCTCCGACACCACGACATGGTCGCAATTGTCCCAGACCTGGAGTCTCTCGTGACTCCGTTTGGGTCTGCCACACGCACTAAGCGAGGGTTCTGTCCCGTCACCAAGATAAGACATCAAGGTCGGTATGCCCACAGGCTCGGAAGGAACGTTCACGTCATTCAAGCTTCACCACTTTAGCGGAGCCTCTAGAGAGCCACTCGCTCTACTATGAAGTACACGGCAAGTGCTCCACGTGACTGCCGTGAAACCACCCGGATCCTGAACGCTCAGTACTTAGGCTCGGGGCCAGAGAAGCTCGTCTTCGTGATGGGCCTCAACAGCTCTAGTTTCTCTTGGCTGAGCCAAGTCCAGCATTTCGGAAGTCTTTCCGATTACACTGTCCTTGTATTCGATAACAGGTCCGTGCGGCCTGCTTCTCCCTCTGAATCCGGGCTTGATCTCCGTGTAGAGGCGTTGGGCATTCAGGGACACCGCGCGGTCCGTACAGGTCCGCTCATTCTGGTTCGATCAGAAGAGAAGAAACTGACTTGAGCACTCGCAGTACGAGCGGGATGGCCGAAGATATCATCGTTCTCTTGGACTACTTATCGTGGACCGGTAAACGCGACATACATGTCGTCGGTGTGTCTTTGGGCGGGATGATTGTGCAAGGCACGTCGCGTGCTGGTTACTTCTTGGATTAGACTGACAATGCTTGCCTCAGAGTTGGCTACTCGTATTCCTGATCGGATCGCATCTCTCGTTCTCGCTGTGACGACCCCCGGAGGGTATTTCTGGAACAACTTCTCTCCTTGGAAGGGCACCCGGTCCTTGGCGAAGTCGGTTTCTCACTCCCTCGGAATCCTCGCCGCATTGTGCTCAAATCTTGCCTGTCCTGCAGACTTACATTCACGGCCGATGTGGAAGACAAGATCCCTATTATCCTGGACATGGTCTATCCTGCGGGATGGCTCGATGAACCTGTAGAGGGCGGGGAGCCCGGCCAAACCAATCGCGAAGAACAAATCCTGGTGGATACGTCCCATGCGGATCCCTTCCTCAGCTGACTCCCGAGCGCCAGGTCTATCGCCGACGAATTGAGCTGACGCCCAAACAGCATTTGACGGGTGTTTTCTCGCAAATGGCGGCTGCGCTCACGCACCACGTCAGCCCCGAGGTATGACCGCCTCTCTGCGTTCTCTTTGTCTCATTTCACGCAACATCATCAGCGCCTGCGCTTCATTTGCGACTCGATCCCGAAGGTTCTCATACTCACTGGTGACCGCGACAATCTCGTGAATCCGGCGCACAGCCGTCGTATCAAAGCAGCCATGCCGGATGCCGAATTTGTCGAATGGGTGGAGACCGGGCATGCTATACATGTGCAACGGCCGGCCCGCTTTAACCAGCTAGTCGAAAGAGTAGTTAAGGAGGGAAGGAGGAAAGCGGGGTCGTGATACTTGGGTAGAAATTATTGTAATAGAGGTACAGCAGACACAGTGTTAATCAGTAAGGCCGCGCTTACTAGGGTGATCGGCACTGACACGGTGGTGTGCCAGGTCACAACGTAGTCACGCGCCTCTAATGTCTTGACCTCCGATCATGCCCTCGAACGCGAAGAGAAAAAGTGGAAGCTCAGAGTCGGCTCCCAGTAAAACCACATCTAAACGCCAGAAGAAGTCACCTCGGACCTCGCATGCCGTCGAGTGGCCCCAGTACTTTCATGATGTGCGTAACGAAACCTAGTTCATCTCGAACACACTGAGTCCCTACACATGCCAGCTATTCAAGGTTTTTAAGGTGGAAATTTCAATGCAATGCACGCGTTTCGCGCATTGACCCTATTTGTCTTAGGCCTTGAACACCGTGCTTGCATTTGTCTCGTCGCGAAAACATCTTGCGAGTTCCTTCGATTCGATCCGCGCCTCGGTCGAGAATCTTCTCAAGCGGCAGGGGTTCCGTACCACTTCATGTATCTGGCTGACTCTATTACCAGGCATCTGGAGCTCCAAAGCGTCGCTGAACTCAAGTAATCTCCCGTCTCCAATCTGAATTACATATTCCCAACGCCGCTCCAGAGCGCTCCTCCCGGACCTTGTCAAGTTCGCCTATATTCCCCACAACGAAGTCGTTGTGAACGATGCTTCAAATCCCGATTCCCGGCGCGCAGGCAACGAGGACTTTCGGCTGCCGAGTACAAGCACCCAAGAGAACGATTCCGACCACATCCTGATCCTTGAATTCCTGGACAAGTCCAACGGCAGGAAAGCCGAGACCTCACAGGACGTGTTCACTGCGCCTGCCACGTTGACGCCGAGTGCAATGAAGAAACTAGTCGAGCGCAGGAATAGCAAATACGAGTCGGCTGTGAACGAGCTACTGTCCGTAGCAGCCGCCACGGATAGCGATGCGGTGGAGATGCTGAAGTCTGCGGCGAGGGAACATATTCCGGTGGACCCCAAACAGGCGAAGACGAGCTTGGAACCGGTGGAGATCCCTGAGCCGTCCCAGCGCGCGTCAATCGATTCGATTCTGTCGCGTATCGTGGAAGAGGAATGGTATAGGGCTCAGATATCCCATCGACGCACTGTGGATGCAAGATCTAGTGTGACTGGTAGCTACTTGGCTTTGTGCTGCGCTTCTCTCGACTCACTGGCATGGCTGTAGGAACGCTGGACGCGCCGTTGTCCGAGGCCATCCAAACGGCGTTGCAGCGATTAGGAAACATCTCGACTCTGTACTCCCATCAAGCAGCGGCCATCAACGCAGTGCACTCGCGCAAGAATGTCATCGTCAGCACGAGCACAGCCTCGGGCAAGAGCGTGATCTATCAGGTGCCTGTGCTCCAATTTCTGGAAGCGGATCCCACAGCGAAGGCTGTATTCGTGTACCCGACAAAGGTGTGTTTGTGTGTATTCGTTAATACACGCAGCTGAAACGCGGAGGACAGGCCCTAGCTCAAGATCAACGAGGCTCGTTTGAGCAGCTGATCTCTCACTGCGCGGGACTGGAGCACGTCAAAGTTGCGACGTACGATGGAGACACGCCCCAAGAGCTGAGAGCAGTCATCCGGGGGACAGCGTCGGTTATATTCACAAACTTCGTCTGTCGGCTGTCTTGACCGGCCCGTCTTGCGTCTGATTCGCTACAGGACATGATCCATGCCTCGATACTCCCACATGAAGAGGTTTGGAGAAAGTGCGTGTCCTACTGGAGCCCAAGATGGTCCTTCTCACGTCCTGACCAGCTTCTTGAAGCACCTGAAGATCTTTGTGGTGGATGAGTTGCACTACTACTCCGGGGTCTTTGGGAGGTGCGAGGCCCAGTCTTGGCGAGGATACATGCTAACAATGGCGTCTAGTCATGTGGCTCAAATCCTGCGCAGATTGCGCCGAGTGTTGCATGCTGTAGGCAGTGGGTGCCAAGACTTTCTTCCCGGAGAAAACGTAGTCAACAGATCCCTCAGATCGACGAACCGTGTTCGTCTCATGCAGCGCGACAATATCCAATCCTGGCTTGCACATGCAGAAACTCTTTGGGCTCGACGAGAGCTCGGTTGAAGCCGTGACAGAAGACGGGGCTCCGTCAGGGGTGAAAGACTACGTGATCTGGCAGCCGCCGCAAGTAGACAACCGTCCTACGAGCGGAATATCCGAAGCCACAGCGCTGATGGTGTATCTCATGCAGCGAGGGGTCCGCACGATCCTGTTCTGCAAGATCCGAAAAGTGTGCGAAATTGCGATGAAGAATGTGCGGCTGCAACTGAGCAAAGAGGGCCGGTTTGATATCCTGGACCGGGTCCAGTCGTATCGGGGAGGTGCGTCGTCTGATAGGGTGTTTCGCTCCATCAGAACTCATTCCTCATCGAAGGATATTCGCGCGAGGTCTTGCTTCCGCTTCTAGTCGCAGGCTATTGGACTGACCTCTGCAGGACCGCCGCCGTATCGAGCAGGATGCATTCAGTGGCCGCTTGCTGGGAATAGTGGCTACGAATGCACTCGAGCTGGGAGTCGACATCGGCGTCCTCGATGCAGTGGTCATGCTGGGTTTCCCAGTTTCACTTGCCAGCTTTGTGGGTGCCATTCATCGTATCTTATCAAACTCTCATTCAGTCATGCCTCACAGAGACAACAAGCGGGCCGAGCTGGGCGCCGTGCGCGAGACTCATTGGCGCTATTGTAAGCTCGTTATTGAGAGGATCGGACTCGCACCTCTGAACGCTACAGTGTCGCCGAGCACCTGCCTGTGGACCAGTATTTTGCCAAGAATCCTGACGAGCTGTTTGACGGCGTGATCGCAGATCAAGTTATCGATCTGGACAACCAGATTCTCCTAGAGAGTGTGCGCTTTTCTGAGCCTGTATCAATACGCTGACAAGAGCGCAGCTCATCTGCAATGTGCTGCACAGGAGATGCCGATCTGCGATGACGACAGTGTATTCTTTGGACCTTTGATGAAGTCGATATGTGAAAGCAAGTTGCGCAAGGACGCTGAGGGCTGGTATCACACGCATCCCAATCTCCTCCCCTCGCCCGGCAGGAATATTTCCATCCGCGGCATCCAGACGCAGGATCTGTACGCCGTCATCGACATGACCTTGGTGTGCCTGTGATGCTCGAAGAGCTGGAGCTCCTACGAGCCATGTTTGAGGTGTACGAAGGCGGGGTCTTTTTGCACCGCGGCCGGACATTCGTGGTGCAAGACGTCAATCACGATAGCAGAATCGCGAGAGTCACGCGCGCGGATGTGAATTGGGTGACCGCCCCGCGCGATTTTACGGATGTCGATGCGATTCAGACTTGGAGGATCAAGCAGGTCGGTGCATGGAGGGCCTGTTATGGGCGGGTCCATGTGCAAGTGATTGTATTCGGATTTTACAAAATCCGGTAAGCGATTGTCCCCCCATGTTTCTGCGAAGAATTTCACTGATCAGGATAGACACAACACGATCCTGGATGCCGTCGCGCTGGACACTGCACCCTGGTCGCATACTACCACAGGGTTCTGGATCGACTTGCCCGCCGCAACTCTAGCGCTGCTGCGGCTCAAGCGATTTCTGCCCGCCGCGGCAATCCATTCCGCGGCGCACGCCGTTCTGAACGGCTTTGTTTTCGCGGATGTCAAGACGGAGTGTAAAGCAGCAGAGAAGGAGTTGCTGAAGAAGGACAGCAAACGAAAGCGGCCGGCGAGGTTGATTTTCTACGATTCGGTCGGCTTGGAGGGCGTCAGCCGCAATGCGTTCGACCATGGTTTGCTACGGTTTCTCCTTCACTACGTTAGTCTGATTTCGTTCAGTGCATGACCTGCTTTGCAAGGCAGAGCGCACGATCGCAGGTTGTCCCTGCGACAAAGGCTGCACCAAATGCATGTGTTTCGTTTCCGTGCGTGCGAATCACTATTGACCGCGCAGCAGGCGTCTACAGCCCAGCATGCAAGGAGAAAAACTCCGTTGCCTCGAAGCTGGGTGCACTCATCGTACTCCGCGGGATCCTCGGCATTTTCATCGACGCCGCCGCCATCCCAGAGCAGGATTCGGACGCGGACGACAGCATTGTCCCAGCCTCGGGCGTCGGCGCGATTACAGATGTCCTGGTTGAAACATATAATACGGATAGATAAGGCTGTCTAAACTGGCTACGCGAGGGGATCAAAGTCCGCCCAGCCGTCGTTGTTTGCCTTGGGGGCTGTCCATGTCGGCACTGGCGGCTTGGATGGCGCCAGCAAGCCCGATCCCATCATCGGCGAGCTGGCCCCCATCAGAGGAGGTGAAGCGGCGGCCATCATCGGGGTGTTGGAGAAGCCGAATGATGGCGGCGGTGATGCGGTCAATGGCGGCGAGGAAAAGGCTAACGGAGGCGCCGAGTAACTGGGTGCGGGCGCGGGCGCGGGTACGGGTGCGACCGATGGGAGGGAGATGTTGTAATTCGGCTTTGTGGTGGTGGACAGATTATACGACGGTTGTTGCGGGGGGGATATGGGCGCAGCGCGGGGTATGACGGGAGCAGTCGAGAACGAACTTGAGGATGCTCGCATGCTCAACGGTGATGGCTTTGGGGGTTGGAACGGCGAGGCTGGCGGTGGCGGTGGTTGAAGTGTTTGATGCTTTGGGAAATTCATGGCCAGTGGAGGACTCGAAGGCGTAGCCACGTTCGGTTCTCCCAGCATGCTAGCCCATGGATCGTCGTCCCAGCTTGTGGCTGTTGTCGTCCCTGTTGCACTTCCCCCAGTCACGTCAGGCTTAAGAGCACCATTTGCCCTGGCCACCAAGCTCGCGAAGTCCACATTCCCGTCCGCACCGCCGCCATTAGCTCCGTTGGTCTGTCCCGTCGACGACCGATCCTCCAGTCGTTGCGAATCGCGCAGAAACTGTTTGTGTTCCTGTTCAATTCGGTCCGAGAGCTTCCGGATCACACCCATGAAGCGCTCAAATTGGTTCAGGCTGAGCAGGGGTCCGATGGACATAGCCCACAACTGGGGCAGGACCAGGGTAGCGACAGCTTCCCGGTCGACTTTGAGGCCCATGGCTTCTTGCACAGCCAACGTCGCCATTGTCACTGCCGGCTCTTTGGTTCGGATTTTGGACAGCAGCGGCACGAGCTTCTGCGTCAGACTGGATTGGTCCAGAGTCCCCACCATAGCCAAGAACGTTTCAAGCGTCGCCACCTTCACTGTAAGAACGCGCGTTTTCGTAAAGACCAGCTGTGTCTCGCATAAGCTCCAGAATCAAAACACGTTCGCGGAAAACACGGACCGCAACTCTGGGGAACAGGACGCCCTGCACCTCGGCGTAGTCAATGCTCTCACATAACCGAGGCACAGCCTTCAGCGCCCGTTCCTGCACGACGGCGTGGTCCGACTCCAGCGCGTTATAGACCAAAGGCAGCACTTCCGTCCGGAATACCGACCCCTCCGTCTTTTCCTGCAACATCTCGAGATTCTCCAGCAACGTCAGCATATTCTGCGGTGGCTCTTTCACCGCAAAGAGAGGCTTTAAGCTCGGCAGTACCAGTGCCGCAAACTGGGCCGAAGATAGGATCTGCGCAATCAGAAAGACATTTGGCAGAATGTACGGTAGCAGATGTGTGTCCTTCATCTCTTCTAGCAAACTGGGCAGGATCTTCCGCGTTCGTAAACCCGATGAGAATTTGTCGAGGACGTTCGTGAGCCCCTTCATGAACGAGATCTTTTCCTCGCGGGTTTTCGCGGTGAAGTTCGACCGGTCCAGGAAGTTCAGTGTTGATATGGGCAGTGATGAGAAGAACCCATGCGAAGGGAGGGTGGTCGGAGTGGGTCTGCTTGCAGGGTGTCGCGTTATTAACGAACGCAAGAGACCTGTGTAGATTTTGGTCCCAGTGAGAGCAAACTACGCTGAAGGACGGACCTTGTAGATCAGGATCCAAGGAATCCATATTCGGCGGTGGACGACCAGCGTTCTCGCGCAGCCCGCCCAGACTACCATGATTTTTGAACGGAGGAATGCCCTTGCAGTGCACGGCATATATCGTGCACCCGAGCGAGTACATGTCAGACCCAGTAATGAGTTGCTCGTCCAGCGCATACTCCGGTGCTGCACTCGCCGTTCAGTCTTGTCGAGGTCAAAGAAACCACCGATACACGCACCCATGTAGTCGAATGAGCGCTGAATGTACTGTGGGACATGTCCGTCGAATGTTGGAAACTCCCATCGTGTCGCCCCGCCCCCAGGTGCCATCAGCGGAATCGTCAGTCCCAGCCCCGCGATTTTCCAGTCACCCTATGAACACATGAGCTGACGAAGGATCTGGATTATCTCGTTTTCGCACCGAGCTATTGATGATTATACTCTCCGGACTGAGATTAGAATGTATCAGCAGCGCCGATGAGTGCAAGAATGAAAGCCCTTTGCATATTTGCAAGATGCCTTTCTGGATCTGTAGAGCAATCAGTGGAAACAAATCAATAGGTAGTTGAAACGCACTTCGACTTCGTCCAACTCCACGAGAGGGGAATGTCGACTTCCACTCGGGATAGATAACTCCAATGAAGACAACACAGGTTCCGTTGCGAATATCAATTCCGTCCGTGTCTCTTCCAGTGGTTCAACCATTTCTAGTGTAGTATGAAAGCATCAGGAACAAAGGGATGCCATTTCTATGATAGGGCGACTGACCCAAAATACAAGGATGCCGTAGCCTTGTGAGCGCAGAGGCCTCTTGGTGTGTAAGCCTCTATTCTCACAGCCGCATCCGAGACTAATACGTACCTCGGCTTTGAGTACTTCTAGCGTTCTTTCCTTCGCAGCCGGCCGCAGTCTCTCGATCTCAGGACTGCGCTTGTCAAATGACCACACGCTGACACGCTTGTTCGTCACTTTGTGTGAGGCAGATTGAACGCGCCAGAGGCCAATGGTTATGGGTAGAGAGAAGTTATTTGCAGACGAAGCTTGAGCTTGAGAGCCAGAAGCTCCGGGTCCGGGTGTCGGGGAACGGCTTCCAGCGCCAGAACTGGAGATGTTATACGACTGCGAGATGGCAGTGCGCGCAAAGAACGAGGTGGCGGCGGCAAACATGACGAAGATTACTGCCGAAGTCCAGAGTGGACCAGTAAGATGTCGATAAAGAAGGCTCTTGCCAATGGAGTCGTCAGTACGAGACCGAGATATATCCTGCCGTCAAGCGCGAGTCGTCACCACTGTCACAGTTGTCACGGCCCTGCTCCCTTGCACTTTCACCACACAAACTCAAGTGAGCTTCCAAATTCACGCATTTCACTCGCCAGTCAAACACGCTTTCAAACTGTAGGAATGTGGCCAACACCAGCGCGCCTGGCCCGTCAGGCGGCAGCCAAAAGCCCGAAGTCCTCCGTCTACATCTTTTCTCGGCCCAAAACCACACCACTCGAACCGTCCATGCCGCGGATATTACCCCGAGAAAGCGTTCCCACTGCGCAGAAAGGACAAATCCACCCCGCGCCTATACCGAGAAACCACGAAATCAAGCAAGCTACTTTGATCGAAGCACTTATTGAGAAGAAACGGGTGTCGGCGGACTGGCCGGCTAATCTGAGGATAGAGCCGTTCGTGAGCAGGAAACAATGGGCACCTGTCAAGCAAGGGTTGAGGTCCAAGCTGAAGAGCATGCTGAGAGAGGCATGATGAAGTGCGTAGTTGCTTTCGGTCGCATCTCATGCAGTATTTATCGTGAAGACGTAGGGTCGTCCTTCTCTTCCCCATAGCATCTGCATCATATTATACAAACACTGTCCGAGTGCTTAATGAGCCTTTACTCCTCGTCCTTAGATTCTCAGGTAAGAGAATCTGTCCATCGTTCCTTCGCGTGGGTTGAGGTAAGGCCAGTGAGGGTGCTGCGAATACCACTCAAGCTGGGTCCGACGAAGCGGGATATGGCTCTCGCTCAACTGCCTCATTCTGTCATGCACAACTTTGACCAGTCTGTGCAAGTGCCCGTCAACCAACTCTCTGTCGTTTCTTGGGGGAGGGACTTGTATTCGCCGACGTTCGATTGGGATGGCCATTAATGCAAAGCGATCACGTCGGTTGTTTCTCGCCAGAGATTCGGTAGGACCTGAGAGGAACAGCTCCTCAGGGTGTAGGGGATCCTCTGGAAAAGGTCCTCGGGATCTGATCGGAACCTCGAAAAAGCGACCGACAGGGCTGCAAAGCTTTCCGCGAATTTGAGTTATAAAGCATAGTGTTTGCAGTCCCATGGGCCGTCTGTCAAGCATGATTGCAGGTCTGCCAACAGGTGGATGAGCATCTCTCCTCGCTTCAGTTTCTAGGATCTTCATGATTTCCTCTTCTTCCGGAACGAGCTTTATTCCACGTGTTGTGAGAAATTCGTAGAAACAGAGAGTGATGCTGGCTCGTTCTTTACACATAACCAGCTGTCCAGGTGCAGCTCTAACAGAGCATGCTGTTCTAGCAGCCTTGGAAAGCGAGCGGAGGATGTCACCGGGCATCAAGCATGCATAGTAGTCGATGACTGGAATGAAGAAGTAGTTGATGGATATATCCTCGAGCTGACATCATCAACATCAATCCATGTCTTGTCCGGTCGACCATTCTCAATTCAAAAAGGAGCAACCCACCGACGCGGCAAAATGTCCGGTAGACCATAGCCCATCTTCTCAGTCCAAAGACAGTTCTGCGTCTGTATGGAGTCGCTTGTTTTCCTCCGGTCCTACTCCCTCGTCGTCCACTCCGGAAACTACCACCTCTAGTCTCTCCACCGAGCGGGACATATCTAGTATCCCGCGAGCTGGAACATCTGAAAATTGGGTTTATCCGTCTCAAGCCCAATTTTTCTCTGCTATGGAACGCAAAAAACACGATCCGCAAGCAGCCGACATGCGCACCATTGTTCCCATTCACAACGCCGTCAACGAGCGTGCTTGGGGACAGATTTTAGAGTGGGAGAGTCTACGGGATGCGAATGGGTGCACGGACGGTCCACAGCTTGTCACTTTTAAAGGTCGCGCAGCAGAGACAGACCGTAGTCCGAGGGCGAAGGCTCGGGTGATGATGGGGTGTGTCCAAGCTTATCTATCACTCTCGAATGACCCTGACGGAATGCAGTTATACTGCCCCCTTTGACCGACATGACTGGATCGTCGACCGCTGTGGTATTCAGATGCGGTATGTCATCGACTTCTACACCGGCAAGAGCACCGGGCCGAATGCGGGACCCTCGTTTTATCTGGACGTTCGGCCAGCCCTTGACAGTTGGGAGGGCGCCAGGATGCGGATGCAACGGTTCTGGGGAGGTTTACTTGGTTTTGGTCCATCGTCACAGATTGTGTCGAAAGCGTAAAACACTTTATCTGTGATGCATATAGATTGCTCCATTCCTGCGTCATCCTGAGGTCGAACTCTCCGACGCTCCGCACTGGAGATAGTGCGGCTCTGAGGTCGAGTGGCTCCTGCAGAAGACGTACGGGACCAAAGCAATTCGTGCTTCACTGCTGAGTACAACAAATGCCTGCTGTGTAATGATACAGTATGGGCAATATATACAGATGTGCGCGTTTCGTCATTAGATCGTGACGAAGTTGACTCTACGCATCTTCTTCCTCTCGCACTCTCTTGATCCCCAATTGCGCTGGGCCGGCTGCGGGAACACCACTGGTAACACCAACCACGAGACCCTTGAGCCATCCGTTCTCTCTCCGGAGACCCTCGCATTCCCGTTCTAACTCTCCGACCCGTGATTCCAACTCTTTCGCCCGTGTCTCGAGCGCGGCCTCACGCTCCTTCTTCTTCAGCCTGAAGCGGGCCGATGCGGCCGTGTTCCTCCGCCGCTTGTCCTCTGCCACGCTCAGAGAGGACTCGACAGAATCCTCCGGAGACTGAACTTCTGGAGACGATGAGATCGAAGACTTGCGTGTTCGAGACCGCTTGGCGGCCGGAGGGGTATCGTAAGCAGCCGATTTGCCGGAAGATGGTTCGGCGGGCTGCTGAGGCAGAGCAAAGTTGGGGCCTTGGGCTGCGGCCAACATCTGCACGATGGAGAGGGAGGGTTGATTGTTTTGGGCGACACGTCCATACGAGGCTAGTAATTCTGCCAAGTCGTAGGTGTTTTGCGGGAGGAGGTTGGGGACGTTCATTCCCTGGGCATGAGCCTGTGGGAGACCCGATTCGATAGAGTGGTTATCCTCGCCATGAGAATCATGGAGCGAGTCCGTGGATGGGCGTTTTTCATCGAAGAGGGGTTCTTCGTCGTCGAAATTGATATTCTTCCAGTAGAGTTCAGAGTCGTGGAATGAAGGACCAGGCAAAAGGTCCTGTGCGCCAGAGGAGGTGTGAGGAGGGTGGACGACGTTGAGGCCGTGCAGTGACGATGGTGCCATCTTGCGTGGGAGTAGCGTAGAGATAACGAGACAAGGGGGATGGAAGGGGATGGATGTATGTATATGCAGTGACTTTGTAATCCACAGATGACTAACCACGGCATCGGACCGATCGAGAATTTCGGGTCCAGGCACATCCTTTTTCCTCGGCGATTTTCGCTCAACGAGTTGACCGACCGCTATTCTGCGCAAGTCCGCTACTCCACTAGAGCAAAGAACATCTCTCTGCGCGCACATGAAAGGGCTCTCAGGCCTCACCTCGATCTCCCAAAGAACGTGATCTGCTGAGAAATCAGATTATGATTAGTATATCTCACATGACAAATCACACCGTGTGATCTCCGGGCCAATCCCTTGGCAACAGCACCACCGGATCCGGGAGATGCCATCGATAAGATAACATCGATCAGATCCATCACATATACTCCTTATGTAAATTATGCCTACTTCACGATGCATACCGTACTTGCCTGCTTTTGTCACAAAGACTCCGTTTCATGTTTGATTCGAAAGGTCCATGGACGCAGCCCCGGAGCGTAAGAAGAAAGATGTGACTGGCCATTGCCAACGTCTGAGTCCGAAAATGGCAACCCTTAGTTTGTTCGAACCAAACAATCGGACGCGTCGACGTGTACTTGTCCAGCTATCCGCTAGTACTAGCAGGCCCCGACGCGGCCATGGCGTCTCTCTCCGAGAACACTACAAAATACCGCGCCCTCCCTGCTAAACATGTTCTGTACGCGGAAATCCTCACCATCACTTCGGTCATGCGCAAGAACTCGCGCTGGGCTAATGGCACACACTTCATGTTCACTGGTCGCGACGCTGCGGGAACTGGAAGCGACCTAGGGCTGCGAGTGAACAATGCAGGAGCTGTGTCTGCAAGGAGAATAACGCGTGAGGCTGAGCTGATGTTGGGCTTTGAGGAGCTGAAGAGAGTCATTCGGGATACTGAAGGTGTGTGCGCTCGTCTACGTGTGATAATCCCAAGAGTAACCATAGCTCGTCACTCAAGACATATCCGCTTTGCCGCTTCCGACTCTGCTTGCGCCCTTTTTCGCGCTTCTCCGCTCTCCCTTGTCCACTGGTCCCATCACATCCGCTGCACTGGCTTCTCTCCATGCCTTCTTCACCTCCGGACTCATTAGTCCCGAATCTCTCGAGCTCGAATCGGCGCTGGTTGGTATCAGCAGTACTGTTTCACATTGCAAATTCGAAGCCAGCGATTCCTCAGGCGACGAAGTAGTGCTGTTGCGCATTATGACTGTGATATATGATAGTCTCTGCGGATCTGTGGGACGGAGACTGGGTGATGTGGAAGTCTGCGAAATGCTCGAGACAATACTCACGACGTGCTGCCAAATGCGGCTGAGCGGCAAGTTACATGATCTTGTCCTGTCCGAATTTTGACGCGGACTCCAGAAACTCTGCGACGCTCTGCCGAGAATACAATGCACGCCGTTGTGCGGACTGTTTTCCTGCGTCTAAACGATCTCGATCCTGAAACAGAGGAAGAGAAACTGCGATTGGGCGATGAAGATGCCCCAGACAGCGCTGAGATTCGTATGACGGTCACGACCAGCGAATCAACTATTGCGGAAGAGCACGCCCAGGATATTATTCTTGAGTCTGGGGTCCCCGAGGAAGAGTCCACGGAGGCAGATTTACCGGCCACAGCTCTCACCGGAGAAGCAGCTGTCCGCCCGGAATGTATGTCATTCTTAATTCTTTCTTCCCCGGATTTCTCAAGGGCCTCAGACGGACTGCCCGCGATTGTGGAGCTGCTACGCGTTCTGATTACTGTGCTTGATCCGAGCGACCAACAACACACCGACTCTACACGGTTAGTCGCATTGTCGACGTTGACAGCCGCCCTTTCTATCTCTGGGCCCCGGATCCCGGCTTTCCCCTCACTCATGTCGCTCCTGGCCGACTCAGGCTGCAAGCATCTTTTCCAACTTGCCCGTTCCGACCACCCAGCCGTTCTGGGAGCTGCATTGCGTGCCATCGGCGTTGTATTTGGGATCGAGGAGACAAGAGAGAAGCTCAAGCTCCAATTGGAGCTTTTCCTGTCCTTTGCCATAGACAGACTGGCGCCTTCCCCGGTGTCCGGTCAGACCAAGAAGGGATCGGTTGTCTCGCCCCGACCGGGAACTCCTTCCGTCGGACCTTCCACGCCACTGCTGGGGCCTCCCGAGTCGGCAGAAGGAGAGTCGCCGAGTCCCGCGACACCTTCCAGGCCGACTATTGCTCCTGCACGTGGCGAGACGCGTGATCTGATTCTGGAGACACTGAGCCAGATCGCACGTCGGAAGAGCTTCATGGTCGATCTCTGGGTGAATTACGACTGTAATCTGGACTCGGAGGGAATGTTCGAGCGACTGGTCAGTTTCTTGACCAAGTCTGTGTATCCGGTCCCGGGACCGTCCGGGTTGGACCCGAGACAGAGGAACGCGCAGTACCTGAGCCTGGATCTACTTCTGGCCTTTGTGAATGACATGGCTGTCAGAGCTAATGGGGTGTGTGCCGCGGCTGCTATCATTTCTCCTGCTCATCGTCCTGTCCTGTAGGCTGTAGATCCCTGGCCTTCATCATATCCGACGTCCGAGTCTCTGATCCAAGCCAAGTCGCAAAAGAGCCTCGTCATCACGGCAGCATCGCGCTTCAACACCAAGCCCAAGACTGGCGTCGCTTTTCTCGAGGAGAACCATCTGATCTACTCGGATCTCCCTGCGGATGCCCCTGCCAGCGCAAAAACCCACAACCTGGCCGTGTTTCTCAAGTCGTGCCAGCGTCTAGACAAAAAGCTGCTCGGTGACTACATATCCAGGGAAGAGACTTTGCCCCTTCTCAAGGCTTTCATGGGCCTGTTTGATTTCCGAGGGGTATGTTCATGCTAATATGACGTATGATGTACTCATCTTGCTGCAGAAACCGATAGCCGATGCCATGCGAGAGCTTTTAGAAACTTTCCGGCTACCTGGAGAGGCACAACAGATCGCGAGAATAACAGAGACATTTGCGTCGATCTACTTTGCTTCCGAGCCAGGCGAGTGTCGGCTTATGGAGCGTTTTTGCCCTTTTTCACACTGATTCCAGATGAGATCCAGAACGAAGACGCAGTATACGTGCTTGCCTACTCTGTGATCATGCTCAACACCGATCTGCATAATCCTCAAGTCCGGGTAACGTTGAACATTCATTACGAATTATTGAGTTCTCACCACGGATCATAGAAACGAATGACCATCGAGGACTACAGGAGAAATCTCCGTGGGGTCAACAATAACTCGGATTTCTCCGAGGACTTCTTGGTGCGTGTTCCCCGAAGCTGACCGACCATTCTGTAATCGGATGCCAGCAAAATATCTACGATTCCATCCGCAAACGGGAAATCATCATGCCCGAGGAGCACAGCGGCCAACTAGGCTTCGATTATGCTTGGAAGGATCTGCTCGGAAGATCCCGCAGTGCGGGCGACTTTTTGAGCTGCAACACCAATCTCTTTGACGTGGACATGTTCAAAGCCCTCTGGAAGCCGCTCATCTCTGCCATTGCCTATGCATTCATCAGCTTCGACGACGACTACGTCATACAACGGGCTATCACTGGATTCCGACAATGCGCGACGCTCGCTGGCCAGTTCCAGCTGCCTGATGTGTTTGACTTTGTCGTGGTCTCATTATCACAGGCGACTAGTCTGCTGACGGAGTCTCTGTCGGGCTCGGTTCCCAACTTCCCTGTGGTCGATGTCGAGGGCCAGTCAGTCACTGTGTCCAACTTGTCCACTAAGTTTGGGACGAACTTCAAGGGTCAGCTCGCTGCTGTCGTTCTGTTCAACATTGTGAACGGAAATGGAAATGCGCTGCGGGAAGGCTGGACGCAGGTATGTTCATCGCATCTTTTCGGCAGCACACGTCTCAATACGCTTACCGGCGCAGATCTTCGAGATGTTCCAGAACCTGTTCTTGCACTCGCTGCTTCCTATCAGGATGCTCCAGATGGAAGACTTCCTCGGCGGGGTGTTGATGATCCCTTTACGTGGCGCTCAGCCTCAGCGGGCTGCTCCTCGCAGCGAAGGCGGGCTTCTGTCCGCACTGTCGTCATATCTCATGACGCCGTATGGGGGCAGCTCAGACACTCTCGTCCCCGATGCGACTGATGCGGACGTCGAGAACACGCTGGTGGCGATCGACTGCATCACCTCGTGTCGGTTGGACGAGCTGTACAGCCAGGTTATGTGGGTCCCGTTCCTCGCGCGGTCGACTGCAGCTGAACGCGTGGCAGGCAGCTGGACGCTGAAGCGCTGGTGGCTGCAGTCCGTGCATTGGAAGCCCTGGCCCACGAGCGGACTGTTGCCAAATTGAAACAGGTCACGGACGAGGATGGGAACCCTCCCGCCGACGACGGGTCGTACACTCTCCCCTACGACCCGGCGTCCGTGTTCCTTCTGGAGATGATGGTCAGCATCACGTGTCAAACGGTCGAGCACATCGACGAGCTGTGGCCGATCGTTTTCGAGCATCTGTCTGCGCTGCTGGCCAACACTCTCCAATACAGCGTCCTGCTCGTTGAGCGTGCTGTTGTAGCCTTGTTGCGACTGTGTCTGCTTTTGGCAACCAAGGTTTGCCTATTACACTTCCTTTCCGAGCTGTACTGACTGGCCGATCTTGCAGCCTGCTCTTCGAGATCAGATTTACGTATCCTTTGATCTCCTATCCTGCCTACCGCCTTCGGTGGCCAGCTCTGTCTCCGAGCAAGTCGTTGCTGGCGTGCTGCTGATCGTGCAGAACCACAAAGCGATCATCAGGTGCTGTCCGACGACATCATCTGGCTGGCCTTGCGCTGACGGATTTCCAGCTCACAAACCGAGTGGCATCTCGTCTTTGCGCTCCTCAGGACGACTATCTCGCACCCGGAAGCCGCTCGCACCTCGTTTGAGCTCGTCACCGCCCTCGTGTCCGATGGCCCCGACCAGACTGTGACGATTGACAACTTTTCCGGGCATCTGAATCTCCTGGACGAGTTTGCGTCGTATGCTGGGATGGTCGTCGAGAATAGACATCAAGGCGGTCGGCGACAAGAGCCACTGTCTTCTGCCAAGTGCGGTTTTTCCACTACCTGGTGGTCTTTGCTGATCTTGGGGGATAGCTCTCCTTCCATCGAACGCGGCAAGGCTGCTATCGATCTGATCGTCAATCTCAAAAAGTTTCTCGTCCCTCTGTGCGAGTCTGCCCACCTCCCAAGAGAACAAGGTCGGTTCTGTTCAGTCGTCCCAGCCCTTCGCATCTGACTACATGACAGCCTGGCGCCAATTATGTCTGCCGTTCCTCGGCGTGCTTGGTCGGCAGTCGATCAACGCTGCTCGCGAAGTGCGGCATTCCGCCATCGGACAGCTGCAGCGCATCTTGCTGGGCCCGCATCTTTTCTTCGACGACGCCAACGCGGAGCAGATCGAGGAGATCTTCAACCGCGTCATCTTCCCCCTGCTCGACGACCTGCTCAAGCCGCAGGTCTATCTTCGCGACCCGCGGGGCATTCCAGAGACCCGCCTGCGCGCTTCAGCCTTGTTGTGTAAAGTGTTTATGCACTTCGAAGTCCGGGAAACCCAAACCAACGCCGATATCCGGCTTCTGTGGATCCAGATTCTCGATCTGCTGGACCGCCTGATGAACATCGACAAAGGGGACCAGTTGGTGCGTGCATCCCGTGAATATCTTCTGGAACCTGACTGACTCGTTGGGAACCAGTACGAAGCAGTCCCGGAATCACTCAAGAACGTCGTGCTTGTCTTGCATGCCGCGCAGATCCTCGTTCCGCCGTCTGCGGACGACCAGCGCGATGCGAGGCAAAAGACGTTCTGGACGGCAAGCCAAGAACGGATAGAACGCTTCTTGCCCGGATTCCTGGCTTCAGTCATACCCGCAGAATCATGATATCATGGACCTCTTTGTGTAACACTAATCATAATACATATATATATTTCGAGGATCACGCGAGGCTTCGCTGTGTACTTGCATGCGAATCGTAGCTTGAGTAATCCCTACGTTCGATCGAACGAGCTACTTCGGGTTCTGAGTAGGCAGCTCCTTCAATGCGCAAGTACTTCATTCCCTCATGTTGAGTGTTCAGATTCACTTGTTCAACCACAATAGTTTCCAAGTTAAAACGCTCTTGTGATAAATTATTCTTTATGTGTGGGTCATCGAAATTTGAGATACAAGTCGAAATTCTGGCTGAAATTGGAGGTTTCCAATATCCCACTCGCAGTGCGTTCCATATGTACGATTACTTCTTCCCGACAATCAGATCCTTGTTGTTGAAGACAAGAGCTCAGTAAAACTTCATTTTGGACGGCCTAGACGAGGGTAAACACACGGAGGGCAACAGAGATGTATGAGATGGTACCTTAGTCGGCTATAAATCCCAGTACGCAAGCAGACGCGCCGATCCCAAAGGCCAGTATTCTGGTGACAAGCGCTGTGTTATGGATAGCCCAGTTCGACCATGCGCCTCCGAGGTGGACCGTCAGCACGAGGAAGAGATACAAGATATATCCCGACACTCTAGGAGCACGACAATTCAGCAGAGAACGCGGAAGAAGCGCTGACTGCGCACCGGTGGTATTTCCAGACCGATTTCGCCTTGGCGCCTCCTCCGAACGCTGCCCCGCCAAACCACACACTTCCTCCTGCAAAGAACGCGTTCAATCGCCCAAACGTTCTCAGCCCACGGAAACAACTGTCTCTCTCTCACCTCCAAGCATAACCTGGAGCACGATCCACACCATGCACATGATCCCGAGTCTCTGCGCGACGAGACATGAACATCGGGTCCGAGGACGGGACGCGACATGAATCAACGCACCGCGTGCAAGCTCTTGAAGTGCTGCGCTCCGTGCACGTATTTGTTGATCATTATCGCCGCCGTGCCCGCGAAGATGGCGGGGAACGCGATGCCCAGCACGGCAAACTGGTGCCGCATCAGCCCCGCGGCCTTCGTCTTCGGTTTCGCAGTCGGCTGCAGTGTCAGTATCCCTGCGTCGGTTAGATCGTCGGATGGGAATCCCGCGCGCACGGGGCTGGGCTGGGCTGGACCGCAGACGCACCGTATGTGAACAGGAACAGGGCCAAGGTCTGCAGCGGGGCGTGGAGCGCGAACCATCCGAGTTTCGCTGGGTTACTGGCGAGGACGCTGATCCACGACACGGCGGTGATAAGCTGCGGATGCAGAATGCGACGCGCGTGAGAGCTAGCAGGCACAGGAACGCAGGGTATTCACACCGGCACCGATCTGTTGCACGGACGTGGTTGATGAGTGTGCTCTCGCCGGCTGTCGTCGGTGGGACGCACAAGAGCAGAATACAGCAACCGAGTCCCCTGCCCGCCCTTCCTTCTCTTCCAGTGACTGGGGCTTGAGTTCTCTCGGTTCGGCACTTCCAGCCTGATTCGGGAGTAGAAGCTCGTAGTCCTCGTCGGCCATGGGTGTAAGATGGGGTTCCTCGGCCACGATATATCGTCTGGTTGCGCGGGCCATCAAATCATGTGAATAACGTTGGCTTAGAGAGACTCTTGTATACGTACATACCTATGCATACATCTGCTTCGGTCGACAGTAATTCCCAACGACTAAACGTGGGCGTTGACCAATGACAGTGACTGTTCCCGGACCGGACCGTCAAGTACATGTATCGGCTATGGAAACACCGGAGCTGGCTACATGGACAACCTGCGCCCGGACTTCCACAAAAGTCAAATACAGTTAACAAACTAAATGTCGAGAATTAAACAAAGATGCTAAGGTATGGTGTGCAGTGGTATAAGAATAAGACAAAGCTGATAATCCTCGAAGCGAGACAGCATCACGAAAGCAGTTGCACAGGTTCCGTTAGGTGAGGATAGGCCATGATCCTTCGCCCTTCCACTTTTCAACCACATCCTTGATGGTGTCATGCGTGAAATTGGGGTGCTTCAGTTTGTAGCCAACGATTTCCCGAATCTTGGTGTTGTTGTAGGCGAGAATGTGTTTTGAAAGTGCGTAGGTATCCATGTAAGCGCTCAACGGAGTGTTGGGAATCGGCGGATTGGATGTCGTGAGCATTTCTATCCATCCACCGACGTGGTGTTCATTGATGTCTTCGAGGGAGTCCGATTTCAACTGAAAGCCCAGTTGAGCGACATGCGGTGTCAACGACGATCATCACACCTTCAGCATGGTATTTTCGACAAAGTTGAAGAACTCAAACGTCGTTCCGAAGAAAGAAGTGACAGTCTCTCCGACACTGAACAGAGTGCTTTTTGAGTCGTCAACCTAAGTTTCCATTTAGAAATGGATCAGATGCAAGAAAGGACGGCGAACAAACCAAGTTGAAGATCGGAGCAATGAGCTTCTTGTCCGGATTCGGCATCCCTGCCACCTCGCTGACCTTGGATTTTGAGTTGTGGAAGAGGATGCTCTCCCCTGCGAGGATATCGGCCTCCTTGCGACCCAGAGGTGCCATCCACTGTGCACAAGCCCACAGGGCGCCCGATACATCTTCAGCATGCACGGTGTTCATCGGGTTCTTGCCGGGGGACCACCTGGATGGAATCTTTAGCACAGCGTGGATGACGCGGATCGACCGGGACGCACATCGACCGGAAGGGCTTTTTCATGTGGCCGTACACGGAAGCGACGGTGATCACGGACGCAACTGTGGATCGCCGATGAAACGAGTGACACCCGCGGAAAGAAAATGCCGTACTCATTCCCCAATTGATATACGGCCCGTACACAAATCCGATTCGCAATATGACGAGGTTGAGGCTGCCGGAGGTAAGCAAGATTCCCGAGAACCCGTTCCATACGAGAAGCGCACTCGTCAATGGCAGCCAACATGCGGAGAGTCTCATGCCACCACGTCCCAACGACTTCGTACGGCTTGACGTCCTCCTTCTCGTCATGCGATCCACTGGTAGCAGTCTCGTAGAACGGCTGCTGCAGTCGGACGTAGGCTTTGACTTTGCGCTTCGCGGCTTCAAGGCCAATCAGTCGGGCCACTTGACACGTCCTATCGATTTGGATCTGCCGGCCGAAGTGAAAACGCGTCTTGGTGGAAGGCATGGCTCACGAACCATTTCCGTACGCTCGGCCTGGACCTCTCCGGTAAAATCAAACACGTATTCATAAGGTTGCTGGCCCTCCGGTGGATCAAACATCGTAGAAACGGTCGCTGATTGGAAGGTGGAGCGGGTGGAGGGAGAGTAGAGGCGCACACGGACCAGAAACAGTCAGATTCGCCTGGCGATACTCAAGTTTCGGGTTCTTGAGCGTCTTGGGGAATTCAGCGCCCAGATACCTGCGACGGAATGTTAGCTGTAGACGCGCGAATGGTCCACGGTGCACGCACGTTGTCGGCGGTTCGACCGAAAATTTGTCGACAACGCGAACATGCTAGTGCGATGCACACGTTGGCGATGGCTGACGATGAGTGAGACGACGTACAGAAACCAAGCTTTCGCCCTCTGCCGGCAGTAGATAGCTGATTAGCGAACGCGAGCAAGTGTTCAGCCCACCTGGGACGTGTTAGTAGGATAGTAGATAGGAAAGAGAGCGGAGCGGACCAAAAACGAGCACACTGGGAAGAGACATGACCGCGAGTCGTACGCGACGGGGAAGCAAAGCACTGGGCTTAAGTAGATACTGTCAGTTTGTCAAAGCAGAACAGAGATTTACGTAGGTGAGGAAGCGTCATCAATCTGCCCAAACAACTGAATTGGCCCGAGCCCTCTTCGGCGAGTGATGTTCTCTCCGTTCTAGAGGTTTGTAATCGAAACTTCTATGCTCACGAACAGCCCGATGGCATTGACTGAAATAGGCGGAATTAAATCCCCACGAGAGCTGTCGATCTTTACTCTATCCAGTGCTACTTGTCCGCCAAAAACCGATAGACTGAAGAGAAATCCCGTCTGGCAAGCTCAGGCTGTTGTTCAATCATTTGGACGTAGATGCTGCGCGCGGCATCTCCGAGGGGCAACGGCGTCCCAGTTTTTGAGGCCAAGTCTCCTGCCAAACCCATGTCCTGGAAAACATCAGTGGTTCGGTTGCTCAACAAGCTCAGATGCCGGCACCTTCTCCATCAGCAGCGTTGCGAAACCGCCTTCGTAATCTCTCTCACAAGGGGGCGACTTCCCAGGCAAAGCCTGTGGGACAGGGTTGTTTGTGGAGATCGACCAACAGCTGCCTGTCGAAGAACCAATGACGCTGCTCAAAACAGCTGGATCCAGCCCCATTCTCTGACCCAAGATCATGGCTTCTGCTGTTAATATGGTGAGCTGCGGCCGGCAATGACGAGATCCGCTGTATTCTTACCGACAACGATCTGCTGCACCCCCAGAATGAGCTATGCTCGTGAGTACGAAGCAATTCATCGCAAGCGGCGGTAACTCACATTATTACATATCTTCGCTCCAAGACCGGCTCCCGAAGGGCCACAATGGACGATGCGCTGCCCCATCAAAGATAAGATGGGATGCGCTGTCTGGAATGCCTCTTCTGTCCCGCCGACAAGGAACGCCAGAGTTCCCGCCTTGGCTCCGGCGACTCCGCCCGAGACAGGTGCGTCGACCATAGTAGCCCCCGTCTCAATCACCGTCTGTGCAACTCTCTGGGCTACAGAGACGTCCAGCGTGGTCGAGTCGATGAATAGTGTGTCCTCAGCTACATTTGATTGGCGAAGAGCGGGAGTGATACTTCCATAAACGGAATCGACTTGCGCAGAGGAAGGCAACATCGTCACGACAAGCTGGGACGCCATCACCGCTCTATGCATCCCATGAGCCATGTGCAAGAACGATGAATAACGTACATACTCGACGGGGGTCTGAGCGATAGCCACATTGGCGCCCGGGAACGCGGTGGTAAAGTTGTGACGAAACGAGGCCGCAGCTTCGGGAACCGCGTCGCAGATGACGAAACCCGCTTCAGGGTGCTTAGCGAATTGCTTTGAGAATAGATTGTATCTGTTGCAAGAGAATGAGTCAGTCTCGGCCTGACCGTCCCTCAAACAGCGTCTGACGCCATCTCAGAGCCCATTTTCCCCAATCCGATGAATGATGTGCCTGTTCACAAGGTTAGCGAAGGATCTGGGTGGACAGGGGCGCTTCACATTGTTTCCTCGAGACAATCTTTTGGGCCGTTTGCAAGCATCTCAACGAGGCTCGCATGATGAACGCAATGCGGGGAATCAAAGTGGCGATCGAGATCGATCAGTGGCCGTGCAGCTTACACAGTATTGACATCTGCTCGTAGTGGTCCGACAACTAGTGCATTGTACATATCTACGTCCATTGCCTGGACAAGAAACACATTTTCAGTAGAGCAAGGTTCAGAGGGGACCTTCTTTCTCGGCCTTGGCCCTAACAGCCGTCTCCAATTCTGCAAAATGACCACTCTTCAAGCAGATCGCACGGAACACCCCTTCCCCTCTCGGAGTCTCTCCCAATCAAATTCCAGAGAGCATCGAATTCAACGAGCTAGCAAAGGGGTTAGATGTAATTCAGTGGTCAGAGCAGGAAAATGATAACACACCTTGCCCTTGTCCAAAACCAACAGCCGGTCGTCGTCGATGCATCTTTCTCAAGGGATGATAAACTAAGCCAAGTGAATCAGACTGGTGTAGTGGGCCAGAGAGTTGCGACCACTGGTAAGACGCAACGAGCCAGATAATTCTTCCCGTATGGCTGATTGCATCTTCGCGTCCGTCTCAAAATCGACACTGCTCGCTGCCTCATCGAGGATGACGATCGAACGGGGTCTCAACAGAGCGCGCGGGAGCGCAATCAGTTGCCCTTGGGCTTGCGAGACATTTGACGGGGAGACCTAGTTACCGAGTCCGAGTCTGGCGGAGGTCGAGGTCTCTCGGACATCCCTGGCGCGGCCCGATCCAATATCTGCAAGCGGGACAGCACATCAAGGCAAGCATTGTCATCATGCTCGTCGAAGGGATCAATATTCTCGCGTAGAGTGCCGGAGAACACCGGCGCGTCCTGCGGAATGAAATTCAAGCGAGACCGCAAGTCTATATGAGAGATGGGAATCCGGCGACAGACAACGAGGTGGATTGCAATACCATGCACCCCAATTTTCGAGATATCGATACCATCAATCAAGATCCGCCCATACGAAGGGTCAGTCTTCTAACAATCCAGGTCAATCATGGCCCTACTCTGTAAATCAATCAAGACTTACAAATCGTAGAGGGCCCATCGCCAATGTGCTCTTGCCGCTGCCAGTGTGGCCGAGCAATCCAACGCGCTCTCCAGCCTTCAACGAAAACGAGACGTCTTGCAAAACAGCAGAAAGGTTGGGTGCGTGTCTGATGAAGACATTTTTGGCGACAATGAGCGATCCGTTTTGGGTGCTTGAGGGCCGATGCGCTGGGGCCGGGAGGTCTCGATCACTCCCGAGGGTTCCTGAGGCAGATCAAGATATTCGACAGCGCGTTCGACCGCACTCAGATCCGGCCCTAATCCTGTCCAGAACCGACATGCCCAGTGGACAGAGGATGTCAAACTCAAGGCAGACGTGATAGCGAGACCGGCCAGCCCGGCATCGTCGATCAGAAAGTGAATTGAAAACAGGGAGGTGAGAAGCACGGCCGATGCCCCGAGGAATTCAAAAGAGAGCGACAGCCATCAGTTAGTCATCCTAAGGCTCACGAGTACCGTTGCCCAGGAAATGAGCACCTTTGCGAAATCACCAGAATGTGTGCCATATCTTGGTTGTCAGATCAACCTTCTCGTGGAGATTGTCCAAGAACCGCTTCTCGGCCGAGAAAGCATGGACGGTGACGAGGCCTTGCAGTAGCGTCCGAGAAGATAGGCGAGCGGGAATTGGCTTCCGTCCGGCGCAGATCACGTCCGGTCTTCAGATAACCCCGAGCGAAACTGTGGTAGAAGTATCCGAGGAATGAAGCGGGGATAACGAACACGGGGAACACGAATCTGCACAAAACCAGACCACGTCAGCACACATCCGACGGTAACACAGGCAAGACAGCTCACGATACGGTCAAAATTGCAGCGAAGAGTCCGGCAAGGGAGGAGTTGACCTGTTGAAGCGAGCTGGCCAATGTCGTGTCGATGGTATCTATATCCTTTCGGCTGGAGAAACATTCAGTATCACAAGCAGGAACCAGGTCATGCACTCACAGTCGGTTGAGGATACGACCTTGCGGAGTGGAATCGTGGAATCGAAAGGTAGCATGGATCACACTAACTAGAAGGCCCTTGAAGTGCTTCCTCGATGCTCTTAGCCCACCCGTGATCTGCAACGCTTGCGAGGGAATGGTAACAATGGTTGCGAACAGGCCAAATCCTGCGTAGACACCGATGTAGAATAGCGGATGGTCTGACGCGCTGGGCCACGACAGACTCGCCAGTTTAAGCTGCTGAAGAGTGGTACCCTGGCCGGGATAGATCCGAATGCGATAGATTCAGAGTCTAGGCTTCACCCCACACCTTGATCCATAGCTAATTCAGAGTATTGTCAGCCATTTGCTGCTGAATAGCAAGGAGGACTTGCCTTTTCCCCTACGCTCAAAAGCTGCAATGTCAGAACACAGGATGCAAGACAGCCCCAGATGAAGTAGGAAGACGCTTTCAAATAGCTCTTGTAAATCCTCCACTTTACTCCCCCCACTTCCCGGTGCTCGACTTCGACTAGCTTTCTTGGCTGCTTGATCGCTGGGAAGACTGCATCGACCTCACCATCAAATTCATCAGCTTCGGCAACCTGGTCGTTGATCCCATCCAACAGGCCTCGAGCACAGAGTTTCCTGACAGTTCCATGAATGTCGACTCGGCCGTCAAACATCCGGACAAGCGAGTGCCGGATCCATGTAATGCGTGACGAGTGCGACGGTGCGATTGACCAGCAACGGCCGCCCCATCAGACATTTCTGGAACAGAATCTGGGCGGTATGACTGAAAAACAGTTCAATGCAAACAGCACAGATAGAAATGATCAGTACTCGCCTTTCGACAGCCGACAACGGATCATCGAATAGGACGTGCTTGATTCGAGCATAGACAGCTCGCGCAAGCGCCACCCGAGCTCTCTGCCCGCCGGAAAGCGAAACACCCTTCTCCCCGATCCCGGTGGCATCCCCGTCCTCAAACATATCCAAATCGTGACGCAGAGCACGGGCTTCGATCACTTCTCCATATCGCTCTACGTCTAGTGGGTGGCCAAACAGGATGTTGTCCTTGATGGACTCATGTCTGAGCCAGGGAGACTGCGCAGCATACGGTATGCACGTTCCCGAATTCGTCGGCTTTGCGGGCGTTCTTTTCCAGAAGAATCTGTCCTTCTGGCTCTGTCATCTCGCCACCGCTGCCATCTGGTATGGTCGAAATCCATCGTGGTTTCTGGGGGACAAAACTCACCAGCAGGGCTGTCTTGCCGCTGTGAGAAGACTGTCGGAGATGGATTTGAAAAATGTTTGACTTCCCACCTGGCAGTCGGTCCAGTAACAACTGTCAACTGGCCTTCAGGAAAGACAAAGTCTAGGTCCCGCAGCTGGAATTCAAGATGCCTAAATCTATGTTCATGAGACTTGGCTTCGGCAGCAATAGCTCGGTTCCATTTGAGAGAGACACGGATGAATCCAAGCCGGCTGTCATGGACGGACGCAGGATTGAGTGCAGCGCCTTTGAGGGAGGATAAGTAGCACTTGCCGTCAAGGTCGTGCCAATGGTCAAGTGGTTGCCGAGCATGACATACGTGAAGAATGAGGTCGTGGAGATCAAAATGGATGCTATGATCCACAGGCCTGCGACCAGTCAGAGCTGAACATGCTCAGGATGTTGTGCAATACCATGAAAATCCAATCGAATTCAGCCAGGCTGCAAGACAAGTCAGGGATGAGCAGGCATGGTTTGATCAGAGTGGGCACACCTTTGATCAGCTAACCCAGTTCTGCCTCCCTTGCGTGCAGAGCACGGTCAATCTCCTTCTGTTCCCACGCAAAGAGATTGATTCATGGCTTGAATGAGCTCTGTTAAAATCTGCATCCGTCCATCCTTGGCATTGAAGACGCCTTTTTGGATCCTGACACTTTGCCGCGTCAGAAGACTGTTCAGCGGCCAGCCGACAAGAAGGACAACGAAGCCTGAGAAAGCAGACATCCCAAGGATCTAGTACAAGGATAGGGCTCCGATGGCAATCTCCAAGGACGATCCGTACAAATAATCCAGTCCTCCGATCTGCATAGCCACTGGGTTCGTGCCGTCGGCCATAAGATTCATGATCTTGCCCGCATCCGCAACATCCGTCTGAGCACGGTCAGATTGGCGACATGCGCTGTTCCTTGATCTTCAACGACACCACTCAAGTCTTGACGTTTGAGCGTCTTGTCGTAAGTGGCTGCCATGAGCTCAGAGCGGATGCGGGTGGATGCATGACGGCTGTGCCACAGATGTTGCAAATCACATTGGGCCTAAGCTTGGGTCAACAACGGTCAACGACCACATAAGAAGCACACCTTGGCCAGAGCGCTGAGAAGCATCAGGATCGCATAAGTGTATGCGCCCCCTCGGTCCTCGCCGACGTCTTTTGTCGGTGTCAATAGCGTCCAAGATTTGCCTGTAGGTAAGGTAAGGAACGTTCGTTTCGCCCATCCGCTGTCTCTCACTTCACGAAAAACGGCACAGCATAACTGAAAGCGATACCGCAGAGAGTCAAGACGCAGTCCCTGCTGTTGAGAATTGTCAGAGAGATGAATAGCGGAAATCGTGGCCCGTACATTATGTCGAACGAGTTTGCAGCCCATAACTTTTTTATCGAAGAAAATTGGCTGTTCTGATTGATCAGGCGAGATGCAGGACAGGCGGACGATGAAGACTTACAGTAGCTCAACGAATTTGATGAAGAGGGGTCGTGATCTCATAGTTGAGCTGAGATCCCAAATGTCTCCCTCATTCAGCGTCGCTTTCTGGCCCTATTCAGAATGGTGAGTCGACGGTGTCGTTTTGAATGTGAGAAAACTCGCTTGTTGAATGAGCGGATACACCCAAGTAAACGTGATCCAACCCCAAAGAGACGTGTAATCCTCGGGTAACACCGATTTGCCCTAAAAATGTGAGCTTAGTGGTACCTAGAGCGACGAGATTTACAATCCCATCCTTATCGACCAAATTCGAAGGCACCCCGATCGGCCTAGCCAGAATGACCCCAGCCAATCCCATTAACGCAATCAAGTTCAACGATAACGCCAGGATAACCAGAACTGATCATCAGAACGCTCCAGATGACCCTTGCTGAACGAATGCGCTGGCGATGCTGGCCAAGTATAACGTCAACATTTCGTATGAGGATGTAGCCGTAGGTATGAAGATCGGCCGGGTCGTTATATACAACCATACCGCTACGACAGAACACCACCTGCATCACTCACAACTGAGGGCGGTGCGTCGTCAACAAGTAGGAGCCCGTCCCTTGGCAGGCCAGGGAGTCTAACAATCCTACGCAGACGAAGACGGATGTCTGCCAAGTAAGGATGCGAGCACGATCGTGGTCCACCCCCCGACTTTACTCGTCTGCGAGTGAGAGAATTTCGGCCTCACGCAGGGTCAGATGGTCAGAGAATGCGTGCTTGAGTGCGTCCGAGATGCGTTGAAAGGCGGCCAGAAGGCGAATGCGCAGTGAGGCGATCCCGATGAGAAGTACAGCAACGATGAGCCTCAACGCAGCCCATGATACTCTGACACACGAGTCTCTTGAGTTGTCGAAGAGAGCGCACTCGGAACACGGCTGAGGCAGACCTTGCGACAGGGTACAGGACAGAAACGACCTCGGTTCCGTTGTGGCGGCGGCATTATTGGTGATGCCATCAAAGAGTCAGCGACCATTGTCCCTGCACTATGCAGGCACAAAGTATCGTACGCAGGCTTCCAAGTTGAGCTCGATACGTTCGGCATCTGAAAACTCGTTCCAGATTGTCTCCCACACCTGAGTACTCATTTCTGATTGCCACAGTCCTGGTTTTACCGGGCCGGACAGAGCTGGACAGAAATTTACTCATCGAGTCTCAAACATCAGCCCGGCTCCGTCCATACTGACTGCCTCAGGCGGATTTGTACAGAATTCCACGATGAGTGTCTGCATCGTATTGAAGCGAGTGCTGCAGAGTAAAAACAATCTACTGGCACACATAGCCGGCCGGTCATGACATCACAACAGACAGCGAGCATGTGACCGTTGCGCTGCTCGCAATTAGCGATTCGCGTCTCTTGACCCATGTCTTATACCCTCAGTGGCGGGCGCATAGAAGCCGAGAAAGACTCGTACGCATCATCATATATTATCTGACTCGCATGCCAATGCTTGGACAGCGTTTCCCCCGTCCGCTGTGAGCTGTGCACCCTGGACCTCACGTATCTTGCAGTCGACGAACGGATGACACACTACAACAATCACTTGGACGATAACACGAATATGGGTCTCAACTCTGCATCTCTCTGCCTCCCTATGGCTGCCGAAAGGGTAGCGACGGCTTTGAATTACACTCATGAGTCCGGCACTTCCAGTAGAACAACGTTGTCGAATAGCACTGGGAAAGACAAAGACGGATCACAACAGTCTCGCTGGAACAAAATGATGAAGCGATCCACTGAGAAGGACTTATTCTGGTATCCCTCGCAGGACTCTGACCCTCCCCGAAATTTCACCCCCGGTAAGTGTCGTCATCGAAGTTCTTGCTGCCGGATGCTCATCGCTAATGATACCAGGGCTCGTCCCTCTCCTGAGGCTCCATCTTCTCAAGAGTCATGCCTCGGGGCACACTCGACGTGCCGTCCTCTGTTACGACAGAGCGGTTCTTGTCACACGACAGGTATGGGATGCAGGGTGGGGATGTGGGTATCGGAACTTTCTTATGGCGTGCACTGTTCTCATGGACCAGCCCTTCCAACCCACATACTTCTCGTGCGTCGGCTGCTCGTCTTACATGGTCTATTTTCAATGAGTCTGCAGACTGTTGAAGTCTCCCATCCTACCAGGGGTGCGAAATCTCCAGACATGGATTGAAATGGCCTGGAAGGACGGCTATGATCCAGTTGGGGCAGAAGAGCTACGCGGAAAACTTGTCGGGACGTCCAGGTGGCTTGGTACCGCTGATTTGCAGACAGCTTTCACGTCGAGAGGTATCCCGTATGCTTTTTGTCACAATCTATCGAAACTGGCTCAGGCTTACGCCGTTCACAGTTCCCAATTAGTTGATTTTGATACCTCCGAGCAGGGTAAGTGATTGCTCCTCGATCCCCCTAATCGACTGTCCCAACACGGCTACAGGCATAGAGTTGCTCACCAACTGGATCGTTGACTACTTCGGAAAAGACCAGAAAAACGCTCCAAGCAGTGTGAATGACTTGGGAAAATCACCTCCCGTCATGACCAGTTCTCGGATGCCAGTTATATTGCAGTGGCAAGGCCATTCTTGTACGATTGTGGGCTATGAAGTCACAGGTGCTGGCGTTATCAATCTGCTCAAGTTTGACCCGTCATTGTACGTCGCGACAAGCAAGATTCTGAGCGATACCCACATTTCTCACAGCTTGATCAACGACGGTCTCCGACAAGCTGCGCTAGATATATATCTTAGCGAACAGAACGAGGCTTTCTCCTCAAGGAAACGCGCTCCTGCTGCGACCAGCAATCCGATTCCTCTGAAGCGCTCTCGCTCCTCCGTAGTGGATAATGACGACGTGATTGTCTTGGAAGACACCGAGAAGCCACCCGCACCGATCGCCGCGAAGGCACAGGCGAGTCACTTGAAGCCCGGAAATGTACTGCGGCCATTCAGGATCAACCCCAAGCGGCTTGAAAAGTACGTTCCATTTGCACGTCATGCTGGAAGCATCATCTCTAATCAGAGTCTTCTTTATGAGGACAAAGACGAAGTTCCAGGTTCTCTACTTTCCGATGCGCGAGCCGCTGAGCGAAACAGAGAGGCGCCACCGGACCTGGAACGGGCATGGACTGAGGCTCCCACAGGATTTACAGCAAACTTAGTCAGTACAGTACAATACATATTGTGTTACAGAAGCGTATCCTATGTCATGATCACATCGCCGCTCTGGTCGACTTGATGAACAGGCATGTCTAGTGGCCATACGTCTAATCCAGCCACTGCTGAGCGCAAAGCCCTCTCCCAGGCCTCTTCAACACGATACCCTCCCGCACGCATGATTCCCTCCCGATCCTTCCGAACTGCCTCACTAGCCGGATCGACATAGACGGCCTGGAGAGTGAACTTGTCCTCGTATGCGTAGTAGTCATCTTGCAGAGGAACATGAGGTGTGTCTTTCGCTGCAGCAGCAACAGCGGCCAGGCGCGCACGCAGCAACGCTTGGGGACCTTGGCCATCCGACACACCCCTGCGGCTGGCTTCCTTCTCTGCTCGCTCCCGTTTTGATTGCCGGACAATCTTGGCAGCGCTCTTGCCGTCCGATCGCTCGAGTCGGTCAATGATCTCCTTCTTCCCTGACTCGCGGGCGACGCGTTCCTCTTCCTCCTCCCTCCTCATGGCCTCAGCCCTCATCTCCTTCTCCTTACGCTCCGCCTCCTCGGCTTGCTTCAAGGACAGCACGTACGCTTCTTCGCGCTGTGTATTCAGCAAAGTAAGAGCAGCGTTGGCTTCCCGGTATGCAACAATCCGAGCCTCGGTACCGGCGGGATCGATGTCATTGATGAGATTCCATGCTGGAAAGAAATTGAGAAGCCAGAACGGCGCGGAGGAATAAGCAACACACTGATGTCCTCGACGTCCTCCAAATAGTCATTGTAGTCTCGTAGACTCATGAAGTCCTCAGACCGCTTATTGAACCTGCCCTGGTCTGAGCCTGACCGCGACGCAGAAGCCCAACAACATTCACGCACTCTTTGGCAATACGTCGGCGGACCGCGATCTCCTTCTCTACACCGAGGTCTTCAAATGTTTGGGGGGTGAAAGCGAGTTTGCGAAGGGTTTTGTTACAAATGGGACACGGTGCCGGTCCAAGGGTGAACAGTCGGTCGATACACGACTCACACCTAACAAAATGTGAGAGGAAGCACCGAATGTGACAAGCGGACCGGCATTTTATGATAACATGAGCTGACGAGCAGCCTCAGCTTCTTCTCCAGGTACTTGTCGGATTTGCATACAGGACATTGATCGAACTCGGACTAAGAGCAGAGTGAGCTTGGAGAGTAGCTATAGCGAGCGCGACGCGTCGTACCGAGTACTCTGTGATTCGCCCAGAGGGATCCTTCACCCCACCACCGTAGATGGTTGTACCGCTTTGCAATTGAGGAGTAGAAGACGAGCGTGAATGAGTGGGATGAGCAGCGTTGACTTTTCGAACAGTCTTGCCCTGGAGCCAAGGCATGCGATTGGCGGCCATGGTGGGTTGTTCACAAACGACTTTGTGCAATCCCCACTGACTGTCGACAAGCCTTGTAGGCTTTGATGCAATCATTAGCAATTGACATGTCATAGCCACAAGATGCTGCTGTCATTAGCACTAGTCCGACACGGTTTTGCAACTCTTACCAACCCCGAGTAATCTGGCACGACGGCCTGGACTTGTACTATCTCATCTACCGTCAGATAATCTACATCATTCTTTCTTTTGGAGTATTCTCGACGGCAGCTGCTTCGATTGTCGGCGACCTTGGTAAGCTTGGGTCAGCGGCGTAATAACGCTTAAGTAGGGCTTTCCTGCATTTAAATAAACGGTTTCCACAGCTGCAACGTTAATTCATGCCCAATATCCATCGAATCTCTATCCTTGTGGCACTACTTGCCCTAGCAGCTTACTTCACCGTAACTCCGTCTACCATCCGCACTCGCCTCCCTGCGCTTTTCCGACCTGCCAAATCACCCCAGACGACAGAATCTACGAATATGGGCACAGAGTTGGAAGCCTTGAGAGATGTTTGGACTAGGAACTTGGACTCCCTTCCCTCCACCCCCGACAACATCCCTGCTTTCTTCTTCGGCCACGGCTCGCCGATGCTGGCTTTTCCAGACGGACCTAACAGTTCAAGCCACTTCTCTGAGATACTCAGGTCTGTAAGAGACCTCCATATGGAGAAACCAAACTCATTCTTTCTCCAGCTGGGCAGGACCCAAGGGCCCCCTTGCACTATTCCTCAAGGTCCATTTCGAGTTGAGGTCACTGCGTTCCGATCGTTCTCAACCGCCTTTTCCCAGGATTTTGGGCCGGCTCTCTTGAAAAAGTATCAGCCAAAGGGCATTGTGGTCTTTAGCGCGCATTGGGAAACGCACACCGAGCGTCTCGGTGTGTTGTCGCTGGACCACGTGATCGTGCATTAACACTCGGACAGTGACTGATTATGGGGACGAGAATCCTTTGTTCATGGATTACTATGTGAGTGTGTGTTCTTGGGGATGATTTGTTGTGCTTGAACCATTGTAAGGGTTTCGACCGAGAGATGTACGAACTGAAATTCAAATCCCGAGGAGACCACGAGCTGGCTCGCCGGGTTGTCGAGTTGTACAAGAAGGTCAGTGACGCGCCTCTTTCTACAAAAAAGCTAATTCTTTGATATTCAGGGTGGCCAGAAGGCACGTCTGACCACTACCCTTGAGAACCGTGGTCAGGATGGACGAGGCTTCGCGGGTTTGTCGCAGCTCCCAGCTTCTGGATCGAGCCTTGATCCTGACGATGCAACAGGCACCGGATTAGATCACGGGGTTTTCGTTCCTTTCAAGCTCATGTTTGGGGAGGAGTTCAAACAGATCCCTATCGTGCAAGTTTCCATCGACTCTAGTCTGAGCCCTGAGAAGAACTGGGCTTTGGGCAAGGCGGTTGCATCGCTGAGACAGCAAGGCATTCTCGTCCTCAGCGGTGGCCTCCTAGTCCACAACCTTGGCCAATTCAACTCTTTGGCTGCAGAACTTGCATCGCCTGCACACAAGGAATTCGACCGCGACGTTGTGGCTGCGGTGGCGATTGAGGATGTCAGTATCGAACAGCCTCAGACGCAGACTCTATTAAATCCCTCCCAGAAAACTCAACGAAGACAGGCGATGATGAGTCTGCCCCGCCATCCGGGGTTTCGAGCGTCCCACCCCCGCGAGGTCAGAAGCTGCTCACGTTCTTCTTTCCACCATTATGCTGACTGAGCACTGCTGACAGGATCATTTCATTCCTCTGTATGTGGCGGGCGGTGCCGGGGAGGGCGGCGACGCCAAAGTGATATCAGACATGTATGGTTGTGGGACGTTTGCCTTCGGCCTGTAGTGCAGACTGTAGACTCGGACTAAATTATTCTGAGGGTGTGACAGAGAGGGGGAATGTTGCACAGCAACAGATTCCCGTTGCGCGATCGCGCTGAGACCGTCCTTGACCTTCTGCCACGTTGTGCAGCTTTTTATTCGAATCTTCTCAGCCACCGAATATCGGGCGACTACCGACCCTTGGATCAGCAAGTAGAGGGGATATCAAGAGATCATTGGCCACGGGTCCGCGATGACAGACTACTGACAGTTGCGACCGCTTGCATGGCTTGAAACGCTTACCAGCTGTGGAAATCACAAGTCGTCCGGCACCAAGTAAGTAACTTGGCAGTAGAAGACCCTTGGTACGCGAAATTCGTTGACACTGGTGGACACGTGGCCGATACATAAACAGAACAGCATCCCGCCCGAACACATTGCACCCTCCCCACTACCCGACAGGCCATTGCGTGGTAGCGCAGGCCGCCCTCCCCCCTACTTCCGTCTCCATCTGCGGCTTCTGCCCTTACACAGCAAAGCCTATCAGCTCCTTTGCGGTCTCTTTTGACCGTCTTTGGAGTGGTCTCAGCGCTCTCTGCTTGTCTTTTCTCTTCCCCGCGTACAGCGATTGCAATCTCGCCTGCGCTCAACTAGAATGGCGTCTTCGCCTTTAATACACTCCAGGGAAACCTCCCTCCCCCCGCCCTCGTCGGATTTGACTCCCGGCCCACTGGCCCCGCATCGCCGCTCCCAGACGCATATCATCGTCCCCGACGCTCCGATCACTCCGCCGATGTCACCGGCGCAGAGCGAAAACGGGGAAGACATCATTGTCGACTGCGAACCCCGCTACAGCGCACCACAAGGGCTCCAATCGGTTACCAGCTCACGCTCGCTGGGACAAGACACCTCGCCCTTCCGTGAGTTTGGAGACATGGAGATAGAAACGCAATCTCCGCGACCAATCCCTGCTCCTCAGCGCTCACTGCGTGCGCTGGAGGAGGAACAGGAACATCTCCAGAGGGCTGGTTTACGATTGACCGATTTTGAAGTGCGAGGCACGCTAGGTCCGTATATACGGTGATCTTTACCGTGAGACGCTAAACCGTTGCAGGGACTGGCACGTTTGCTCGCGTACTGCTTGTCCGCCACCGTGCGCCAGCGTCTCCTGGCTCGCAGAACCACTTTGCTCTGAAGGTTCTGCGGAAGTCTGATATTGTTCGACTGCGTCAAGTGGAGCATGTAAATGCTGAACGTTACATTCTGTCTCGTGTCCATCACCCATTTGTTGTCGACCTCCTTGCGACCTTCCAGGACAGCCTCAACGTGTACATGTTGATGTCCTACGTCCCGGGCGGAGAGCTCTTCACCCATCTGCGACGTGCGCAGCGGTTCACACCTGACGTCACCCGGTTCTATCTGGCGACGATCGTACTGGCCCTAAAATATCTCCACTCGTTCAATATCATCTATCGGGATCTGAAGCCGGAGAACCTGCTCCTCGATTCCCGTGGGTACCTGCGGCTGACTGATTTTGGGTTTGCGAAGATTGTCGACGACCGCACCTGGACCTTGTGCGGAACACCCGAATATTTGGCGCCAGAGATCATTCAGTCGGACGGGCACGGAAAGGCGGCTGATTGGTGGGCTTGCGGTGTTCTCTGCTATGAGATGCTTGTCGGGTATCCTCCCTTCTTTGACCAATCTCCGTATGGCATCTATGAGAAGATCCTCAACGGGCACATTCACTGGCCGAGAAGCATGGATACCCTGTCACGGTCGCTCATCCGTGCTTTCTTGAATCCCGACCGAACGCAACGACTTGGCAACATGAATGGCGGACCGCAGGATATTCTCGATCATCCCTGGTTCCGAGGAGTCGACTGGGATGCCCTGGAGCGCCGTGAGATCAATGTGAGTGTTTGCTTGGCCGCGACATGACACGGAGTATGACCCTTATAGGCTCCGATTGTCCCACATACGTCTTCCTCTGATGACACTCGCCACTTTTTGCACCTGCCGTTGCCGCCTTTGGAAGAGATGCCGGGTCTTGTCCGAGACGAGCTGCCGCCTACCGTGCAGGAACGATTCGATCCTGCGGCATACCAATTCCTGGAGTTCTGATTTTGCCAAGTTTGTTTCTGGCCTGACATTCTTTTGTTACCCTCATTACTATCTGACTAATCCGGTGGCCCTATGGCCGCGACTGACCTCGAGCTGTAGCCTTCCCCTCGCTTGTAACCGATTCGTTCATTTCTTGGCTCTCTAGCGTCGCTTTGTATATCAGTACGCTCCTTCTGGCTTGATATGTAGCCTTCGTTGACTATCTGTGTATTCATATATCGTTTTGCACCCAATGCTTTTGTGCCTTCCTATCCTGCCTTGAGTCATGCATGCCGCCAAGGCCTCGGTTCCGTCCGGCTATCAAATTCACGTGACCGCGGTTGATATTGCGCGCGCGTCACGTCCACTAATTAGTCCGCTTCTTCCCCTCTCACGTTCTGTAGAATCCTGCATCGGGCGTACCGCGTATAGTGGACGTCCTGTACAATGTCGACCGCGGTGCAAGTCTTTAGCAACTGCTTCCCGATCACTCAGCGAGCATCCTCGATCTCTGCCCGCTCGCCGCTGATCTCTCTCCAGATTGCCGCGGAAAACGTACTTCCAATATGACGGTCAGTTTCTGTCCCGATTCTGTTTCTGAGCTCTGAGCGATAGTTAGTTCGTGAGTGACCTCCGTCTTGCACGCGTGTATGGTATCCGACAGGCGGCGTAGGTTTCACGCCCGAGATTCCGATCGCGGCAAAGCGCGAGCGCGCCATGGACCGACTCCAGGTCTCCGTCGCTCCGCATCTTTTAATCCACGTGCCGTCTATGATGGAAAGCACATCCTGTACATATCGCACCTCAGTCTCGGTGGGGGCAGCACGGTGCATTTTGCGTGTGTCCAGCAGTCGGAGAGGCTGACCGATTACCTGTTAGTTCAACATATACTTGGGCGATAGCCCCAATCCACCGTTGAGCCCACCGACGTCGGGCCCTTCGCGTGGATGGGTCAAGATCAGTCTGTCCAGAACGTCTGGAGCCGACATCACACCCTCGCACGCGCTGGTTCCCTTGTTACCGTCGTCCGATCTCATTCGATTTCAGCATCCTCAATGACTTGGTGACCGGAAAACAAGGGGCTACCAACCCTCTTGCTGCGACAGCCGTCAATCTGCTGCAATTGATCATCCGCCAGATGTCCAACCAGTGAGATGCTGGTGCTGACGCCTTTCGATAATGGACCCTGACGCAGCACAATGTGCAGAAACTACCCTACGCACAAACCCAGAGCTTTTTACTTTCCGGAAGGTCGGAGGGAGGTGCCAGAATGCGCCATTGAGCTCTGGCGAGGATTCTTCCAGTCAGTGGGAGCGGATGTTCCCGGGAACCACTTATTCACTCGTCTAGGTCCGTGCGGCCGACGATGTTTGGCATGATGGTGAACATTGACACCACCATGACGGCAGTGTGAGCCTTCGCTCGCTTCCCAGCCCGTCTGATTGATCAGTTGGCTGCAGATACAAGAGCGGGCCTATGATCGATATCGCCATGACCTTACTGGGCCTCCGAAATGTCGCGGATCTGCGGCTCACAGAACGGGAAGCGAACTTCCATAAGCTCAAGGAATACTTTGTTGGACGCCGGGTGACGACTGAGACGACCGGCCAGAAAACGAAGACAATCTACGGGCTGGTTTCGGCCCCTGTAGGACGGATCAAATTCTCATTGAAGGATGGCCGCGAGATGAGCATCGAAGTCGGTGGATCGGAGATATTCGTGTGAGCATCATAGCTGATCTTTAAAGGAATACTACGGTCGCGCCCATAGCCGACAACTCCGATATGGCTCGCTATTCGGCGTTCGTCTGAGTCCTGTTGAAGTTACAGATGCAATCATCGTTCCCCCGGAGATCTGCTCTCTCAAGCCCGGCCAATTCTACCGAAAGAAATTAACATCTACTGCAACACGCACGGCCGTCGCATTTGCGACGCAAAGACCCGGCGATAGAATGAAGACTATCAGTCAAGGAGTCGCCGTCAACAACGGTGTTGTCCGCTCTCCTGTGAGCGATCTATTCCCGCATTTGTCCTCGGCCTCTGACACGATCGTTCAGCTTCAAGGCTATGGTCAATCGCCGTATGTTCTCGATGCGCAAATGTCCATCAGCACCGCTGCAGTGGAGATCAGTGCGACCTTGTTCAAGGCACCCAAGCTCGAATCTCAGAGTGCTCAGATTGTATGCAATCTGTCTACTTTCGGACCAGGTACTGACCATTGTGCTCAGACTCCTACGAACGGTTCTTGGAACATCTTGGGACACAAGTTCAAGAAGGCCGAGACTTTAAACAGTTGGGTCCTAATCAACTACGACGCCCACCACATCCGCGAAAGAGACATCCAAGCAACAGCCGAAGCGCTGATTAAGGCTTGTGTAAAACTAGGTGCGTTCTACATAGACCTCACCTCATTTCCCGAATATTCATGTCTGCAGGAATGAGTACGTGATACCAGCTCGATGTGTTTGCTTATTCACATGGTTGAACGATATTGCAGAAGTCAATCCTGACCCGCTTGTGAGAATAGGAAATCCGCAGAACCCAGAAGAGGTTGATTCCCTGCCCTTTTGTTGCGAGCATGAACTATGGCTGATCATCTCCTTAGGTCTTGGACGCTGTATATGCCTACGCTTACAGCATCCAAAGACAGATCGATCTCATTGTGGTTCTTCTTCCTAGTAAAGCAGAAGAAATCCGCTATCGTGTCAAACACTGGGGAGACACCAAATACGGCATCCGGACATCCTGTCTGCGCGAGGAAAAGCTGATGCCCAACTTGCGTCGCCCGGACGATAATCAATATCTCAACAATGTGGCCATCAAGTCAGTCTGTTACACGCCATTCCCATCTGTTCACACACTTACATGATACATCGCAGACTCAACGCTCGACTCGGCGGTCATTATGTTCTGCCCATCACGACATGCCTTGAGCGGATCAAGCAAGAGCCGTTCATGGTACTGGGTGCGGATGTCGCCCATCCCGGGCCCGGCACCAATCGACCCTCGATTGCTAGCCTCGTCTTTTCCTGGGACAGGGATGCCACCAAGTACATAGCTCTGACTGATATCCAAGCCCCTCGTCTAGAGATGATCGAAAACCTCCAGAGCCTGATGAAAGAGGCTCTCGGGGTATATTTCGAAAAGAACAATACCTTAAAACGCATCATCTTCTATCGGGACGGGGTCAGCGAAGCTGAGATGGACACCGTCAAAAGTTTCGAGATTGCGGCTGTCAAGGGTGAGTGTGATTTATCATCGCGTTGTTGATTTTCTCTTAGAGAACTTTTCAGCTGCTTGTAAAGAGTTGTGGGAAGAAAGAGGATTCAATCCCAAGGATCTGCCTCAGCTTACGTTCATAGTCGTGGTTAAACGGTTACGTTCGATTGCTTTTGGATAAGATTCGGTCTTCTGACAGGCTTTATAGCCATCATGTGATCTTCGTTCCCAAGCCAAATAGCGACGCGTAAGTACTGAGTGCCTTTCGGTCATCCTCACAAATCGAACGCTCATCCAAATTCAGGGTTTTGGACCGGAAGACTGGAAATTGTGTGGCTGGCTTGGTTGTCGATCGTCTTCGTAGCCCGTTCTCGGGTGGCCGCGATTTTTTCCTGCAATCGCATGGGGCAATTCAAGGCAGTGAGTCCATGTCCTGCCCGGGCTCCCGTCGTAAGGCGCTTACACGGATCAGCCTCGCGCCCGGGTCATTATACTGTTCTTGAGGACGAATGCTTCGGCTACAATATGCCTTTGTGAGTGGAACCAACAGCGTCTATGCACTGTGTATGTCTCATTTTGCTCCCCTCAATCAGCTTACAGCAGCTTTCGTTTGAGCTCTGCCATGTATATGCAAAAGCCACGCGCTCGGTGTCGATCCCAGCCCCGGTCTACTGTCAGTGCTTCCAATTTCTTCATCACACCAATGCTGACCCATCGCTCGTTCACCAGATGCGGATGTAGGTTTTGTGTCCGTGATATTACAACAGATTTTCTCACAGCTACAGCTTGTTTGTGGCCGCGCCAAGTTCCATTTTGACCCGAACGCAGGCGTCGATTTCGATGCGGTGAGCTATGCTTCTGGGGCCGCTGAGATTGATATCAGTGTTTGGAGATCGAAATTCAAGCGCGTGGCCCGATTTTGGAGTTATGATAAGACCATGTACTTCTTGTGAAGTGGAATGTGTAGGGCATGTATGTTACTGCAGTTGCGCCTGATCACGATTTGATCATAGATATCTTGACGCGTGACGTCAAGAAATACATCTGGTGTGGTCAGAACACGTGACCTTCACGTGCGCCAGAGCGAAAGCCGGCCGCGATTTTCTCATTGTGACCTGTTCTTTACGACAAACCTTCAGCTCGTATCCTCAGCAGTTATACAGCAAAATGCAAGCATACATGTCTGTGAATTTGTCTCGGTCAGGTGCACTGAGACACTTTCCGCTCTGGGGACTGCTCAAATATGGATATGGCTGACTGAGCTCTCCTCTTCCTCCAATCTCTTCCCTTTCCTTCCGTCTTCACGATGTTTTCTTTGTTCTTGCTTTCTCAACTTGTATTGATCTTCACGCTTGCTCTGAATCCTGTCGCTGGCGGCAGAGAGTCTAGAGTCCTTCGCCGTTCTCCGGCAAAGTCTAATAATGCTATCGTTCAAGTGGGCCGGCCCGAGTCGCTGCTCGCCGTCTCCCATGCTGACGTGCCGTCCAGCTATTTGACTGGCCCTGGGATAGTGTCGCGTCCGAATGCGTGTCGGTGCTAGGACCGGCGGGGTATGGTTATGTGCAAGTCAGCCCGGCGACCGAGCACAGTGCGTTCAGTTGTCCACGTGTGGGAGCGGGTCACGGTCTGACTGCGGCCCCAAAGTACAGGGAAGCCAGTGGTGGACAGACTATCAAACGGTCTCGTATAAATTGGAGAGCAAGCGTGGGACGAGAGGGCAGTTTGCGAATATGGTGGCGAGCTGTAAATCTGCGGGGGTGGATGTGATCGTCGATGGTATGTCTTTCATCCATCTTCCCGTTTCATCTCTGCTCAGGGTTCATTAGTCGTTTTCAACCATATGTCTACGTACGTTCTGGCGAGGCCAGGAGCACTTATCGTCTAACTGTCGAGAACAGTGGTTCTGGTGTCGGCTTTGCGGGAAGCAGATACGACAAGTATGACTAGTAAGTCGGTCCCGGGTGGTCAATTCCCCACCTTCCTTATGCATCCTCAGCCCAGCGGTCCCTTACACTTCTTCGAACTTCCACTATTGCTCGGGGTCTAGCGCTTCGCAGATCAGCGATTATTCGAATGCGTACAAGTCAGTGTCCTTTGGTTTGTGCTTTGCCTGTGGCTGAAGTATGCCAGCGTTCAATTTTGCGAGGTGCATCAAGCTCGTTGTTCCCCCTTCTGCCAAGCTGAGTCTCATAGCTCGCGGGGCTGTCCGATCTGGCGCAAGAACAACCTGTTGTGCAGAGCAAGATCGCAGCCATGCTCAATGATCTTCTCTCACTGGTGCGTTCGGCAGTTGTTTTATCTGCAAGTGCTCACCCGCACTGCAGGGGGTCGCTGGGTTCCGCATTGATGCGGCAAAGCATATGGTGGACGCTGATATCGCCAGCATACTCTCGAAGCTTCTTTATCCGTTCTACGACACGCAGGAAGTCATTTATGGACAGGGAGAGGCCGTTCAGCCTTCGCAATACGTCACGTCAGGGTCTGTGTTTATATCACTTGGCTGTGCTCTTTGCTCATATTTCCCAGGAACGTTATCGAGTTTAGGGCCACGACCTCGGTGTTGTTACATTTCACGGGTAGCTCGGGCGGTGTATGTCGATTCTTGCATTCTTTTTTGCTGAGATCTGACTGTTACCCAGATCGCCTCCCTGTTGTATCCGACACGTGAACCGCTTTTACCACAATCACGCATGCCCAGATTGAACTCTTTCTTCAGCTATGGGATCAGCCTGGGGCTTCGTCGACTCTTCTGTCGCCACATTCATCATGGCAAATCAAGACACGGTACGGGACTGCTTGTGCTTCTTTTGATCGCTAACATTTCTGCAGGAGCGGAACGGCCAGTCGCTGACATACACCTCCCCGAACAACGCTTATCTTCTGTCTGCGATCTTCATGCTCGGGTACAACTACGGGACCCCGACTGTCTACTCCGGGTATGTTCTGTCGCCAAATTTTCTCAGCCATCGTCTGAAGATGGGATGGCAGCTTCAACTTTTCCGGATTCGACGACGGTGCGCCACAAAACTCGCAAGGATACACGAATACTGTGAAGTGCTTCTCCAACGGCTGGCGATGCGAACACCGTTGGCCTGCGATCCTCAACATGGTCGGGTTCCACAACGCTGTGAGCGATAAAGCCGTGACGAACGTGCAATTTGGCAACACTCAGCAACTCGGTATGTGACACCGGTGCCAGATTTTTTGATCCATCTGACCGATACTTAGCATTCGAGCGAAACGGGACTGGGTTCTTGATTATCAACAATGCTGGATCGACTTGGTCAAATACTTGGAGTACGACGCTTCCCGCCGGAACTTGTGAGCGCTTTCCTGCACGTTTTGGCATAATGTCACTGAATTAAGAAGACTGTGATATCCTGCACAGCGACAGTATTGTCTCTGGCCCTTGCAGCGGTCCTTCATACGTCGTCTCTTCGTCCGGCCTCTTCTCTGCATCCGTAGCACCTTACGACGGCATCGCGCTGGTTATCGGTGTGTTCTAAAAACGGAATCGTCTGCGGCTCGCTGAGCGTCAATAGGTGTTACGGGCAACGGCAGCCCTGACAAAAGTGCAAGCACCGTCGCAAGCCCGAGTCCCTCGCCCTCCGCGAATTCTGTTACAGTGAACTTCGTGGAAACTGCGAGCAGCGGTCCAGGCGATGTCATCAAGGTCTGCGGGTCTCTTGCGCAACTTGGATTGTGGTCGGCAACGTCGGCGATCGCGCTTTCTGAGACGACCTCCGGTTGGCAACTGAGCATGACGTTGTCCCCTGGGACTTACTTTGAGTATAAATGTTCGTCGTATTGTTCCAGTCTGAATCCGCCGCTGACCACAGTGAATGCAGTCATCCGCGTGTCAGACAATGGTGCTGTGAACTGGGAGTCAGGCTCGAATCGAATGTACACGACGCCGTCTGCCGGGAACGTCGTTACTCTCTATGGCGCATTTGGGTCGACCCAGAGCAGCTCTAGTGCCGGCAAGGGATCGGTATCCAGCACGGGACAGCCGCCCAACGCGGTCGGCTCGACCCAAGCGGCCGCTTCGAGTGCATCTTCGACACTCCCGACGTCGCCAACCAGCACCAGCACCAGCACGCCGCCGAGTTCGACTGCTGTGACAGTCAATTTCGTGGAAACGGCGAGCAGGAGCTACGGCGACACTGTCAAAATCTGTGGTTCGATCTCGCAGCTTGGATCGTGGGACTCTTCAGCAGCACTGGCGCTCTCTCCGACGTCGTCGTCGTCCAACGGCGACTGGCAGCTGAGCACGATGTTACCTCCTGGGACCTACTTTGAGTACAAATGTGAGTGTCATCATCGGCGCGGGTGGTAATTCGTTCTGATCGACCTCTGCTGCAGTTATGCGCGTCTCGAGCGGGGGTGCCGTCACCTGGGAATCGCTTGAACCGGGTTTACGACTCCTTCACAGGCAGGATCGGTGGTCACGCTTTATGGCACGTTTGGATCGACGCAAGGCAGCACTGCTTCGACCAGCGCACCGGCCGGGACCACATCGTCGTCGTCCCCTTCCTCCTCCGGGGCGACGGTCACTTTATCGAAACGGCGTCCGCTGCGTCGGCCGAAGTGATCAAACTCGTCGGCTCGACCAGTGAGCTGGGAAACTGGACGCCTGCGGCTGCCGTCGCGCTATCGAACTCGGGGAACGTCTGGTCTGTGACGCTGGTGCTGCCTGCGAACACAGCCATCCAGTACAAGTGTGCGTGGCCACAGCCCGAGCATTTTTTTTGCTGACTTTTCTTTCAGTCATCCGTGTGAGGGGGAATACGGCATCGTGGGAATCGGACCCGAACCGGTCGTATACGACGTTGTCCGCGGGCTCGACGGACACTCTATCGAGCAGCTTTAGATAAATGAAAAATGATGATGCTTCCGCAGCTGTGTCGTTGTTATTCCGGGTAAGTATGTATGTCTGACACGGTATATATGAATGTACAGATGATCCTGTCAGAGCTTGGCTTTCAGATCGTTTGCGGCGCTCAGGCTTCGCGCGGCAGTCGACACCAGTTCGTCGACACTGGAGAGTGTGTCTTAGTCAAGGTCTTCATTAATATCAGTAGCAGCACACGCACATCTCTTTGGCTGGCTTGATATCGTTGATGCTCCCAGCCACCTTGCCCATGAGCCCTGTGTCGATAAGATAAGATCAGATGGGATTAGATAAGATGGGGACGGAGACACTGACAGCCCATGCCGTCCTTGAACGCTTTGGGGTTTTTGTCGACTTCTGCGTCGTGGGGGATGATCCCATCTGCGACCAGTGTCTCTATCTCCGCTCTTCGCTTCGTTTCCCTGATGGCAGGCTCAGCTTGCGTTCTCTGCGGACGGCTGACACGCACCATTCCTCCACGTAGGGCGTCTTCCGGACGTTCATGGGCCGCCCGCTGTAGATGACCGTGCGCGCGACGTCGTTGTAGCCCGCGGAGAGCACCATCTCCTTGTGCAGCGGGTTCGCGCCGGCCTCCTCGCTCGCGACGAAGCGCGTGCCGACCCACACACCCGACGCGCCGTACCTGCCCACGTGGTGTCAGAAACGAGAGAAGAAAAACAAAATACAGCACGATGCGACGTACGCAAGGGCTGCGGCCAGCCCGCGGCCGTCGGCGACGCCGCCCGCAGCGACGACAACGATCGGCTCGCCGGTGAGCGGGCTCTTCGCGTCTTTGCAGAGGTCGACGACGGCGGGGATGAGGATGGAGAAGGGCGTCTCGCCCGTGTGGCCGCCGCCCTCGCCGCCCTGCGCGCAGATGATGTCGACGCCCTGCGCCAGTGCTTTCGCGACGTGCTGTGTGCCTCGTCAGCTGGCTGTCCCGGCCCCTCACGCATGCATGGCCCGTAGCTTACTTTGGGGTGCCCGATCATGCTGTTCTTCGTCAGAACACTGGCTAGACTGGTGCAGAAAGCCGGCTTACTTCATCACCACGATACCCGCGGCGTGCAGTTTGTCGACAGCCCACTTTGGCGGGACGCCGACCGCACAGACGAACAACGAAGCTTTGCCCTCGATGATCACATCGATGAGCTCCGGTCTAGGCATGTATGGTTCAGCAACACGACGCAAAGGCAGCACAGCACACACAGTTGACCGGAGGTGTAGTCCTTGTTCGTCTTCCGCGCGCTCCCGCCCAGCTGCGGGATGAGCAGGTCCACGCCAAACGGCGCGTCCTTGTCCTCGAGGAACGACTTGATCTCCGCGATAGAGTTGCGAAGAAACTTGGGGCTCTGCCGGATTCCGCCGATGACCCCGAGCCCGCCTGCACGTCAGTCATCCGCCCGGTCAGCACAGGCGCGACTCCAGAGAGTAGAGGGTATTGGACATGCCTGAGTTCGTCACTGCAGCTGCCAGTCTGGAGCAGAAACCATCGGTCAGCACTCTGTAGCCCCCCGGAAACACAGCAACTCACTTGGGGCCGGCCGCGACGTTCATGCCCGCGAGCAGGACGGGGTGGTTGACGTTGAACAGCTTGGTCAGCGGTGTGGAAAACACGGGTTTTGACGACGGCATGTTGGACACAGTGCTGAGCGGTCAGTGGATGTTGAGAGAGAAAAGAACAGTTGCGACGACCGCTATTTGTGGGGATAGTTTGCGGGTCCGGCTACCTTAAAACCGGATGGGCCTCTTGGCAAAACTTGAGCGTGGGGGAGGCTGTGCACTCCGCGATCAGCGGAGCAGGGCGGCCCGCAGCACCAGAGTTTGCGCACAGCCACAGGTGCGTCCCAGACCAGACTGCAATCCAAATCATACACAATGGAACGCGGCGCTTTCGGCTGGTCCAGATACCATCTACATCGAGTTCACACGGCATGAAACCTCCGGATCACTCCACATCACAAGTCCTTGCTATCTCGGAAGCCAGGAAGCTAGCGAGTGACGGAAACCCTGTCACTGCCCAGTGCACGTTGTCGATAACTCCCTATCTGCGCCCAACCCATGCCTGTAACCAACACTGAATACGCGCTGCTCACCCTGCTGGTAGCGACGGCGTGCCTCGGACTCGCCCGCGCAGCCGTGAGGACGCGCCGGCGGCGCAAGGACTACTTCGCGCTGACCGGCGTGCGCCGCCCGGTACCTCTGCCCGACTTCGATGTGGACACGGCCGGGGCACGTCCCTACCGGCCGTTCCGCTGGGAGTACCACCAGACGATGAGTGAATCGCCACGCCCGGATAGCGTTGCGGGAATCCCTCGTTGACGCGGCCTGCGCAGGCCTCAAGAGCATGGACCCCGACAGGTGGGTCGAGCTCGAGTCGACGTACAGGACGCGCATCGCGCAGCGGATCCAGCTGTACAGGCAGCACGGGAAGAAGATCATCGACGCGCTGCCCGGCTCGGAGCATGCGTGCCGCGAGCTCATGGAGATGGTCATCCAGTTCGTCTGCGCGCGATATCCGAATCAATTCCACTTGGACTCGCGCGGCGTATTCCATAACCGGATCTTGCACACTGCGTCGGACACGAATCTGGTGCCTCCCCTTGTGGTGTTGCTGAATCACATCCCGGAGGACTTTTTGATCACCCTGGAGGACAAGTCCACTGGGCTGTATGTCTTTCGTGCCGGCGTGTCATGCTCCTCCGTCGGATGGAACGTCTCGACCAAGATTGGGATGCCGCTGCCCCAGATCCACGAACCTGTCCCCGACTACAAGGAGAAGATGGACTTTTCGATGAACAGGTGCTGTCGGGCAGTCGTGATCTAAGCGGACATTCTCACTGATCCTCCGGCAGATTCTTCTCAAATATGCGCGTGGATAAGCCTATCCAGCGAGGCTCTTGGGGAATCGAGATCGGCCAGCCGCTCTTTCTACAGGAAACTGATCCATTGTTCCGCGTAAAGCAACCAGATCTCAAGCTCGATGACATCCATCTACGTGTCGACTGGCAGACTCTCCGTCGCCTACCCGAGTCACGTGCCATCGTCTTCAACTTCAAAGCCCTGTTTACGCCAATTCAGCAGTTCAGGGAGGAGCCGTACATTCCAAAGTTGCTGCTTAAGATCCTGAAGGAGGGGAAACCATCGTTCATGGAGTACAAGGCATTCGAGCACGTGGAGGATCTGGTGTTGCCGGCTCTCCAGGAATGGGCAACGGAGCAGGAGCAAAAGGGATGGGTCCCCGTTGATTGGCAGGAACGTACACTAGCAGAGGATCCATTCTTTCCCGGATGGGACTCTGCCCGGACCTAGTCCGACTCATCCATTAGCTCCGCAAGCTCTCTTTCCTCGTCTTCCGTCATGTCGAATCCAGAATTCTTTTCTGAGGGCGGTTTTGCTGGCTCGAGTTTCTTTGGCGCCGGGGTGAGCAGTTCTGGTATTATCGGTCAGAGTGAGTAGGAGGGATTGAGTATCAAGTGGACTCGCCATCTAGCTTCCATTTCCGGATAGTGCCATCTAGACTCGTGCTAACTACCCATGGCTCGACGGACCGTGTCTGGGTGTCTGGGTTCACGCTTTCCCGGGCCCAGATGAGCAGGTCCGTGACGTCATGCCAGTGTACGTCGACCTGGTTGATGAGTTCTGGTGTCTCGGGAGTCGAGACATCGTAGACGTAAATGACATCCCCCGCTCCTGTGAGCACGTACGGCTCCCCCAGCTCAGTCAGCTGCAGCGGAAGGATGGCTCGCACAGCCTTTGGGTGAGGGATGGAAACAGCAGCTTTTCTAGGATCCGCCAGCAGTTGGGCCGTGTCGTCCGAGGATGCTGAGATGGACAGTGAGCCATTTACCGCTTGCCTCGATCCCGCCGCGTACCTGTCCATAGCTGGCCGTTCCCAAACAGCAGCTGGTTGATTCCAGTCCGGTGATGGGTCAGGTCTGTCTTCAGGACGCTTTTCCACCGGGGCGCGTCGCCGGTCTCGCGCGTCAGTTCCCAGATCCTGACGACACCCATGCTGTCTGCCGTGTATAGCGTGGCACTGGAGTCAGAGAGCGCAAACCCGTCAAGGCATGAGATGGGCCTTGTATGGGATGATATCGACCCGACGCTCGTGAGCGGTTTACCAGACTGGATATCGGAAAGATCCCTACGGAAAATTTAGTGTCGTGCAGAAGCACCGTACTACGGTGGCGACTGCACGAACCAGAACCGGACGATCTTGTCCGAGCCACCCGAGACGAGCAACTTCAGGGAAGGCAGAACAAGGAAGCATTTGAGAAAGTCGGAGTGCGCGTCCGTCGAAGAAATGAGCTCTCTCGTCTGCTCAAATTCAATCGACGGAGACACGAGCTGATTCAAGCACACACATCGGCATTCCAGAGTTTGATCGTCTGCGTCCTAGGATAAGATCTCGCGACCGTGTCTGTGGATCGGACACTCACCTTGTCCCACGAACCACTGATCACGACGTTCTCGAAAAAGTCAATGGCGGTGACAGGACCCGAATGACCCTTGAACAACGCGAGCGTCTTCCCGGTCTAGGGCGTGTTCGTTGAATAGTGCGACGATCGATGCACGCAGCGAACCTGCAGGTCTATCTTGCGCGCGACAGCCGTATTCTCCGCGATCCACGCGTGCCCTCCGCGTATCTTGAGGTCGAGGGCCTTGCCTTGCAGCTGGATCGGCTCGCCGAGATGCTTCGTGCGCTCCGATTTCGCGCGTCGTGCCTGGGAGTTCACAGTTGAGCAGGGTGATGGGAGTTCACGCGAGCGGGCGCACTTCTCCGATGGCGAGCTCCGCCTCTGCGACCAAGAACTCGGGTTTCGACATGTCGAGTGGCCGGCTTGATCAGAATCCTGACTGCCGTGACGAACTGCGCATCTAGCCGACACAGCCCCTCGTGATCGCTTCTTCATTAGCTTCCTCACGTTCACCCGGCTCGATTCTGCACACCTTTTCTTCTCTCTTCACGCCATTCTTTCCTGTTATGTCGCCCGCACTGAGTCTAGCTGCAACGAATGCCACGAACCACACTATGAGCATCGTAGCGCGCAACGTCCAGACGGCCTTGAATCCTAATGTACGTGCGCGCATCCTCGCGCTCACGAGGCATCTAATGTATACGGGACGCGTCATTTCTGAGCACAGCCGACCCAGAGGACGACGCTCATCGTCGCCGGCGTCTACATCATCGTGATTGCTATTCTCTGGTCCGTTCCCTTGCACGCGTCCGTCCCGCACTGTTCAAACGCCTCCGCCCATTCGCAGGCATATCCCATACCTCAACGCGATTAGTGCGCTCTTTTGCCCCCTGCTCTGCCTCATTCATCTGATCTGTCCGCACGGCTAGTCTACCCGTTCAAGTGAGCGCAGATCATCTGGCCGAATTGCTCCGTCTTCTCATGCCGAGCCAATAGGCTGCTCACGTTGGGTTTCACGAGGTGCGGCTTGAACTCGAGGCCGTGTCGCTGGCTCACATTAGGTAAGATGAGCCACGCTTTCATGGGTGTTCTCACTTGCGCCACGATACATTCGATCGAGCTCGACCGTGCGTCTGGGTGATCCTCATCTGTGGTGGATGTTGACTGAGGTCGCTGCAGCTGATGAAGGAGGAGCTACGTCGATGAGCGGGGGCATTCCGGTGCGCGTGTTTGTGCGTGCCCTACTACGTATTTTATTCTGATGCGGCTGCGCAGTGGCTGACACTTCCTGCCGGGTACCTCGGGTCTTCTCTGATCGGGGCAGCTCTGATTGCGTGTGGCTTCAATACCAACGCGAGCAAAATCGCGTCTATCGTTCTTGGGGTGTTTTTCCTGTTCACACTATGGTGGGCAAGAAGAAATCTGCTGTGAGACCTGCCCTCTATTTGCTTCCTGTTGAGCTGATCGTTCGGACAGCACCTGGGTCCTCATTCTTGGAACTGTCGGGCTGATCCTCTTGTTCTGGTTTGTAGCCGACAGCGTCGCACTGAGATATCTGGTCTTGTTTGTGGGTGTCATGAGCGATATGTACGTGCTGTGGGACGTCATCGGTATGTCAACATTTCCGCGAGCCACTGAGCCCTGCATCAAATGATGCTGCGCAGATGATACGATTGCTCGCAAAGTCAACTCATCGGACGCCTATGCGTTTTCGGAGATATGCGGATGCTGCCCTTCCCAAGGTCTACAGCCTCAGCTCGTTATGCTCATTCTCATAGGCCTTTCTAGTTTGGGGTGTTATCTGGTTGATCCAGGCGTTTATTTTCTTCGCTGGCGGGATTCTCGTCGGTCTGGCTGCATTCAAAGAATCGAATGCGCAGCAGAAACTGGATTCGTCACACTTCCTCCCAGCGCCGGGCTCATCCTCTGCTGGGACCATGCTCTCTCCTGACGTTGTTCTGCTCTCTGTCTTTTCGCTGATACTGGGTGCTTTTGGAGGAGTTGTGTTTGATGTACTGAGGAGCGACACGTCCGTCTTCTAACGACCTAACGACCAGTGTGCGATATCTGTAGGCACTGTTGCGTGCTCTGGACACACCGTGTAAATACTGCTTTGATGTTACAACAACAAAAAGACATTCTATGTACTCTATTCTAAACGCAAATGCCAAGTGTCAAACTGTACCGATCACAGCGCCATTTTGATACACCTGGCTCTGGTCTTGTCCGCGTAATCTTCTGGCGGAGGACCCCAGGGCCACCATGGAATCCACGCAATAGGCCACAAAGCCGTCGAGCAGATGTGCTGGTAGAAGGTGAGCCTGTCATTCACCGATTGAGCAGCAAAAAAGTCACATCTCGGGGACAAGTGTCCTCGCATCGCAGCCAGACAGTCCAATCTAGCCAGTCCATCAGAGACTTGACAAGGCCGCGCCAGCGTTCGATGTGGGCAGTCGTGAGCTCCTTCAGGTCGTAACTTTCGGAAAAAACGATACCAAACTGAGAGGGTATCAAGTGCCTGCGACGAACGCTCCCGAGGAACTGATCCTTACATCGTGACACAACCGTTCGAGAACAGCCTCAACAGAATCTTGGAGCAACTCTTCCGAAGACGTCATTCGATCTTTGACCGCAGCCACAGACAGAAAATCAGTCGCCTGGAACTTGCAGCGATCAAACCCGCTGATAGGAACTCCCTCGAAGAACAGCGCGCGTCCTGCCGCGCGCGGAGTGTCGCCTGCCGGCATGAACGGATTCAGCAGAGTATATGCGAGGCGCCTGATGGCGGGGAGGGTGGAGTCGTCCCGTATCTCAGTCGCGTTGGTCAAGAGACTGTGCAGCTGGATCGTCCGATCGCCCCAGTATTCGACGATGCCGCTGGCGGCAGCACCCCAATCCAGCCCGCTGCCTTTCCCCTTGCGCAGGGAGTGCAGGGCTTCTTCTACGTCTCTGACGACGCGCTGGGCATCGTCTCTCGAGATGTTGAACGAACGGTGAGAATGCATCGGCCCAGTCGGCGCGAGACTGGTCAGACGCGGATTGTAGAAGCTCACTAGGCCGGCGGTCTGGAGTGTGATGTGCGGTTGCTTGCTCACTGCTCGTCGGGCGGCAGCGCGGATCCATTCGAGAGTGCTGGTCTGCGCCAGAGGAGAGATATCCGGCCAGTCTGGTGCACTGTTCGTGTCGAAGGATAGGTCCCGTCCCCGGATATCTGGGCGCGAGCGACGAGGAGACGTATCCGGTGGGGTGATGTTCAGGCGCGACACTAGCTGCAGCTTGGGCGATGAAAAATCGCACCAGATCAGTTCGCTGCAGTCGTCGGGTGCACTCAGCACACGTCCTCAGCAACAGCAGGGAGTCGTGACACGCACAATCCGGCGTTCATCCGCACGATGCCATCGATATCCCAGAGTTTCGCCCACTCGCATAGTCTGTCTGCCCGCTCGTAGTCGTCGAATAACCGTATGTCCTTCTCCCTGCCCTCTTTGGCGCCGTAGATAAACATGTGCTGCGAATCTAGCCACCCCGGGCCCCACGCCGCGGACATGCCTGCGCAGGGAGCTCAAGCGCCCTGGCACACAGACGCGAGACGTAAGCACACGCACCGTCAAAGTAAACCACATTGGCCTCGGCCGTCGTGCGGAAGGTCAGCAGGTGCGTTTCGCCAGCCCGTGGAGCCATGATCCCGAAGCTCATCTCCGGATCCCAGGCCAGCCATTCTGGGGACGGAGGGAAGTCGGGGTCCTCCCGTGCGTGATACAGAGTAGTGAACGGATGGAGGGTGCCGGGTACGATGGAGTGTCCGTTGGGATGCAGTGTGTTCGACCATTGTGTCAGAAGGCCGGCAAGCCCGTTGAATATGTACGGCGCATGGGTCGACTGGGATTCGATTCGAACGAGTGTTGCTCCGCTGCGGCAAAGCGAGGAGAGCACTGAGCACAAGGACCCTCATAGTCGAGCAAGATCAAGAAGAGAGGCAGGTACTAGTCGGGCGAGCAGACGGAATGATCGGCGCCGAGAAACCACCGACACCAGACGTATGGCGCTCGGCTTCTTTTCACGGAGCCTTATCGGACTACGGTTTGTCCCAAGCACCCAGTCCTACTAGCCCAGACTGTCACGAACAGAACACAAAAGTGGCATTGTAGAGAGACAACATGTGCAAGCAAGCAGAGATACACACTACGTAGTAACAGACACAGATTCGACAGTGGATGATGGTTTTATAAGATTTTCTGGGCGTGACATCGTATCGTTCATTGGACGAGTTTCCTTCGTAAGATTTCTTGGACATCCGACATCGTTCGCGCCGCCTCGAGAGTGGCAGGCCCACCAGGAGCAAGCGCCAGCCGCTGCTTGGCGGTGACGAGCGACTTCTGGACAGCTGGAACGACGCGCGGGATAAAATCGATGATTAGTTTGTCCTGTCGCGGCTGTTCAGAAAGTGAATGAAATGGAACGAACAACCACGCACCTCGGGACGGATCAACGTCGAGGACCGCTGCAGCCACCATAGCGCATTCTTGAACGACTCCTCACTCGGTGAGGACTCGGAAATTTCTGACGCAAGCCGGGCGACGATGGTCAGGATGACCGGCTGAGAGACCAGGGGGATGCCATTCAATGGCATGACGACATCGGGGTTCGAATGGGCGAGGAGCTCTCTGAGCTTGCCCTGGTCCTGCGTGTGCAGGCACGACAAATACATCTCGTCCCACTGGTCTGCTTTCATCGGCGGCGTCCTTTCAGATTGCGGTGCCTGGGGCATCGTCGGCGGATGGGAGGCCTGCGGTGCCACAATTGGCGGGGGGTTGAACCATTGCTGCTGCATCGGGGGAGGGCCCTGTGGGGGCGGCGGGGCCTGCTGGAAGTGCTGAGGCCCATAGCTCGGCGCCTGGCGATACTGCGCGGCAGCAACCGGGATGTGCTGTACGCTGAGGCCAGGAGAGTCCTGGTACGAATGGATTGGCATCGAGCTTGCCGCGGCTCCCGTGGTGTTGATCGTCAGGAATTTGACTTGCTCGGCCAGCGCCCGGACGGTATGCTCCAGCTCCCGGATGGATGCCTGGAAATCATAAGGCGACGCTTTGTTATCAACTGGGCGGAACAAACCTCTTGGTTGCGGAAAGCATCGCCTTGCCAGGACGTCAACTCGGTCCGAACGCTATGAATCTCAGTCCTGACTTCCCGCAGAAGGTCCTGGTGCATCGCAGCAGACTGCTGGGAGAACGCTGGAATGAGCGATTTGTTGACGGCATCCTTGATATGCCGGTCGATCATGGGCGTCAGACTCGACGAGAGCATCTTCGCGAAATGGCTCGAGATATCCGGTCTGGTTAGAAGATTCTCCATTTCCTTAGGCAGGCTCTGTGAAATCCAGTCAGCCACTGCAGTAGACCGCAAACAGATGCCACGCACTTGGTTGATGTAGTCGACAAAACCGGTGTTGACCCGATCGTTCAACGTCGCCTTCACCTCGGTTTTGGTGATGGATTCCAGAGCAGGGAGCACCGAGGCCTGGATTTCACTCTTGACAGCCATCTCGACCACCCGAGTCGTGTTCCTCGTCAACTCGGTCGAGATTAGCTTGAGAATGGTCTCTTGGCGAGTGAAGTCTTCCGACTGATCGTGAGCGCGGGCTTCATCCAAGCGCTGGTCTACCGGGAACATCAGTACATCGACAGACCACCCTCCAGGAAAAGAGCGTACTCTGTTTGTCCAACTCCTTGCCGATGAGACGGCCCAACCGCGTGTGCAAGCTCTCCTCCATCTTGCGCATTTCTCTTGCTAGTGCTGGGCCGACGGAATCACTACCCAACGGATCTGAGCCCAGCTTGCCTGATGCTTTGCCGTTGTTGCCCTCATCCTTCTCCTTCTCTTTCCAGTTCACATTCTTGCCCTTGCGGCCCTTGGGTTCCGGGATCTCCCGAGAGACATCAGCCTCCCCATCTTCTGATGGCGGTGTCCGCATCCTCGCCGGGGGAATGACAGGCATGGGCGCAACCGGGGGCAAGAGCGCAGCAGTCGGAGCTGCCGACATGGCCTGATGTGCTGCTGCTGCTGCTGCTGGCGGGTCTTGGGCTCGGGAGGTAACGAGTAAGCGGGCAATTTCGCGGTCACCGACGAAAGAGCATTGTCGAACCATTCCTTGCGGATAAGGATCTGGTCCACTCCACTGGAGTGCACCGAAAATGCTACCAGGGCCAGCTCTCCGGGAGTGACCTTGGCCGCAACACAAGCTGCATGGGCCTCATCCCCGTTGGGATCCGCATCAGCCGTCAAGATCACGAAATGGATCGTCGACTTGGGCCCAGGGAACTCGATCACCTGGTCGATGTACCGAGGAACGGAGTCGCTCATCGACGATGGTTCCAGATGCAGCTTGAGTCCGATCATACTATCTCTGCGACAGTTGGCGACCCAGAGTGTCTGGATCCGTGCATCATAGCTCGCGTGACCGAACATGTCGGGATCCTCTTGAGCGCTGTTGACAAACTTGAATGTTGACAGCAGGCTCTTGGATGTCATGGAAAGCAGCTGGAAGATGGTGCCGTTCTTCCGACCGACAACGATTCCACCATCCACATAGGTCAGGGAGGATGGCAAATCTTCGCCGCGGACAGTGTGATGCGTGTAGGGCACCCGATCGTGAATGTTCCAGACGATCAGATTCGAGTCGACGGAAATGGTGGCAATGGTGTAGTTCAGAATGTCGAAATCGAAAGCAATCAGTGGCTGTAAGTTGGATCATCAGGATCTCTATGCATGGACCTCAAAACGGGAGCATACCGAAGGAATGTTGAGAGTGGAAGAGATGTGAGGCAGATCTGACTGGGAAATGGTCTGGCCATGGAACGAATGCAGATTCCCCAAGTCAATCAGGTACAGCTTGCTGGACGATGCGATAGCCAGCGTGTCGGGCTCTCGGGGGTGCCACTTGACCGAAAGCAACGGATCCATCGACCCGTCGGGCGCAATGCACAACAACAGTCGACCGCTGCGCCTCGAATTAGCATGCGACAAACAAATAAGATGCAACGTACGGGACGTCGTCTGTGATCAACTCCGGGAGCTCCCAAACCACGAATCCTCCATCGGCCGTGACACCTGCGAGCCGGTTCCCGTGCACAGCCATGTCACTAACGCTGGACGAGATGGGGAACGTTCCTGGCGGCAACTGAAGCAAGGTGCGGTCCCCGCTGGATCGCGAAATCACACGCACACGACCCCGGGTCATGGCGTAAGCCACCCAGTGGGTGGCACCGATGGTCGTCCCCGGGAGGAAAACCGAATCCTGCTTCACCAGCGCGATAGCAGTCGACTTGACGGCATCACGAGAAGCTTGGATTTCGTCCAGCGGCTGTGCGACATCGAATATAATAGTTTGCGGAGGAGGAACCGGGCTTTGGTTCTTGCCTGCCTTTCCCTGACCAGTTCCCTTTTTGTAACCTCCTCGGGGGCCGGGCGAACTTTCCTTGTCTCGGCGATTGTTGCTTCCGGCAGTCTGGTTACTCCCGGCAGGCGAATCGGCTGTTCGTACGGCCCCACGTTGAGGGTGGCTCTTGGGCGACGGAGCACGCGGTGAAGCAGGCCGATTGGCCACCACCTTTGGCGCCGGTGCTGGCGGTAGCACGTGACGGGAAGGAGGCGGTGCCGGATCCGACTGCGAGAAATCGCTTCCGGCGAGGTAGGACTCGTACGCAGGGGCGCCGTACGAGGGAGCCACACTCATCTGAGACGTGGTCATCTGCGACGCAGTGCTCCGCGCAAGATGGTCCAGCAAGTTTTCCACGGACTGTCGCTTCGGATCGGACAGATTCGTCCAGCTCGACTCTTCGGTCCCGCTCGACACGCTGGGGGGAACTGCCTTCTTCTTGGTGGAGGCGGTGGCAGTGGCCGAAAGCGCGTCGAATGGAGACACGAAATCAAACATGGACTTGCGCGGAGAGGGTGGCTGAGCCTGCTGTTGTGACTGAGCAGGTGGTGCCTGCACTCGCTGCTGAAGATCCGGAGACGATTCCTGTTGATACGACCGGTACTCTCCCTGCGATGAGCTTGAGAACGGAGGGGACGGGTTGTGGCCTGCCGCCGGCATGGAACGCTGCGAGTCGGAGTAACTGGACATGGGCGGATTACTAGAGGAACAAGGTGAGACTCTGGAAGAGGAAGGGAAGAAAGGAAGGTAAAAAGCACAGTATCCTCGTGTGTATATACACGAGGTATACGAATGGCCGCCCGGAGAAAGCATGCCCAGAAGTCGATTGTCATTGACACGCCCAAACGGCTCATCTCGACCATCCAGATGATAAGAGAGATTCGAACTCACCCTGACATCAGCTGTTCCAACAAAATCTTCCCTTGCGTCTCATTGTGGGTGGGCGATGTCCCTGATCTTGAGGATGCTGAGGGTGGGGTCGGCACTTGTTGTGGGTTCGGTGGTGGAGCCGGACGGGGGTTGGGCTGGCCGCTGAGGAGAGATAGCAGTGCGCTCTGGCGATCCGCGTTAGAATTCGGAACAGATGACGTCGAAGCGGGTTGTTCGTCGTTGGAAGTGCCTGGGGTAGCCGGCCCAGAATGATAACCCTCGGACTGGGTCTGCTCTGGGGCAGAAGCCGTCAGCTGTTGGAATAGAGAGTCGATTTGACTCGAGGACGCGTTGGAATTGCCAAAAGGCGGAAGAGAGGGCTGGGTGGGCACTGGAGGCGTTGAGCCACGAGAAAAAAGTTCCTGTAAGGTGGGAGGATTGGGGCGTGAATCCATGTCGCTTAAGAGGAAGGGGGGATGTGGGAAGAAGAGAAGATTTGCGAAAAGCTCCGGCCAGAGAATGGTAAGAGAGCAAGCTATCACAAAAGTATGTCGGCCTTCTATCCGTTTCAACACGCGGACTGCACGAGGCAAGGGTTCGTTGTTTGCCGAAGTCACAGAGCCGTCATCAGATGAATGGATTGATTTAGTGATTAGATTACGCACTCTCTGTTCACATCTTACTACTTTAAGCCTCTCGTTCGACTGCAACTTGGGGCAATTAGCTCGCATTGAGGTCATTGTGCGGCCCCGATTTGTCAATGGATGACGATTCGATCTGCAGCTTAATCCTCCTTCAGGCTTGGACGGCCCGCGGAACTTTGAACTTAGTCTGGTACAGAAATATGTAGTTGGCGCCCAAATCAACTTGTGATCATGAGCGGCACTGCCATCAGTCACGTTACTACAACGGGGTCACGTTACTGAGCGATTTTGTGGAGGCGCGGTTTCTTGAACAGCTGTGTCAGCAGATCATGTAGTAACAGCGGTAAATACCGGGAGACATGATATAAAAAGCAGAGGCTCATTAGCCCTTCTCTCCAGAACCCATAACCAACTAAGCTCCCAACCACTCAACCACTCCAACCAACATGATCGCTGTATGTGCTGACTCCAGTCACAATGCCGCCCGATACTGATGCATTCACTCAGTCCATCCAGACCCCCGTCTCGCAGCACTGCGGACAGAGCAGTTGCACTTGCGGTGCCTCGTCAGTGGTTGCGATCTCCTTCCGCATGTCACTGATCCATCCCACAGGTGCCAGTGCAAGCCTGGCGAGTGCAAGTGCTAAACAGCCTTCGCTCAACAGCGTCCGTCCACGACTTTTGAAGATGTATGATAGATGTTGTATGCTGGAAATAGGATATATTTGACGTTCCCATTGCCACTTTCCCGGTTCTTGGGGCAGATCGCGATCTATCAGAGCTGTTGTTCTGTAAAGAGACTCCATCAACATGGGATCCGATGGTCGCAGTCCGAGTTCACGCACCCATCTCCTCATATCTTTTGCGGCGAGCAGGATCCAACGTCTTGAGTTCCTGTAGTAGATGACGACATTCATCCTTCGTAGCTTCAACATCGCGCGAAGCATCCCGCAGCAGAAGCATGCGCTTATAATGGACCAAGGACTCCATGCACCCTATCACCACTCAGTAATCAGCACAAAAGGGGAAGCCGAGCTCACATTTGCTATCGGGTTGCTCATCGAGTAGTTCCTGGATGATCGACATTTCCCTTTCGAGCACAGGCACGTCCTCGTCTGCAATGATCAACAACTTGACTGCGTCAGAAATGCGGCCTACCTGTGCCTACTAGCCAGCGGTGGTAGATCCAGACACTCTGGTCACTGGGATCCGTGTACATGGCATTGTGTACCAATTCATATTCTGAGTAGAGTATCCCTCTAGTGAGGAGAAGCATCCGCAGTGACACTGACGCACCTTCTTCCTTCGTTTCGACACGATTTAGTTCACCGCTAGCCCATAAAGACGTCAGTAGCTTGGTCCGGTGATGCCAAGCGCTGAAGTTGGAGAAATTAGACTCGATCTTGTGTGTGGTGTAGGCTAGCTCCTCCGCATCGGGCCGAGCCACGGGCATGTTGGCAAGGATGTGGCGTCTGTAACTCCATGCATGGACTAGATCGTGGACTGAGCGTGACTCCAGATGGCAAAAATGCGACGCACAGTTCCGTGGATCTACATCAAGCATCTTGTTCACCACGAACATTTCCTTATCCCAATTCTCCTGCCTCCAACCATTCACATGATCATTCGGTCCGTCGGGTACATTGAGCAGACACCATCGGCGGTGATTCCAGATCCAATAGACTTTCGGGTGTAGCTTGAGGGCTACTGTGGTCATGGACAGTTCTTCCGTCAGAAGATCGTTGGTCTGTACTGGCGTGCTGCCGTTGGATTCAGCGCGAGCGGAGATATGAGAGATAGCTTGCCCTGACCTCGACGGAAATATATTGCCGAGAAGGATGTTTCTGCGGTAGTTCCATACTGTGTAGAACTCGGGGTTCATTTGAAGGATACGAGTGGTGAGATCGAAAGCTTCTCGAGATAAATCGCCTGCATCTCTCTGTAGATTGAATGAGCTCTGCGTATGGAATAAATACGCCGTGTACGCGCCTTCCCTAGTATTTCATCCGTGAGAGCTAGATAATCCTTGATCTTGTCCTGTTCCTTAGCCTTCTTGGCTGCAAGCGCCTCTGGGGAATGTCGGACGCGCTTCACCCCGTGCTGAAGAGAAGATATGAGGGTCAATCAACTGTAGTGACTGAGGAGTTGAGCTGACCATAATTATCGTCGGTTGTCCAAAGGAGACGTGCACGATCGGCTGTTGATCCAAGCACGTGCAAACAGGCGGGGTGTCCCTTAGCGGTTCCAACCCTTTCGTCGCGACATGGCGGCACCGTCACTCGCTTCGCTCTCCGAGGGCCTCCCACTTACCTTCCCAACACCTAACCCACTGACACATCCTTCCTTAATCACACCCCAAGACCTTCCGCGCGAGGAAGATCTCCTTCGAAATCCCTCCTCGTTCCGTGCATGGTGGACTGCAATCATCAATACGCGTGAGGCGTTCAACGCCCAACTCAAACTGCAAGCAGACTCAGGAGAAGGAAAGAATGAAGGCTCATCTGCGGCAGCAGCAACTGTCCTCGGCCCTCTCGCGACTCCCCTCGCGCGTATTTCTCTCCAGCGCCTCACCTATCTCTACGAAGCGGCCATTGCTCAGTTCCCTACCTCTTTCAAAATATGGAAGTCCTATCTCATCATGCGCATGTCGTTCGTCCTCGGCAAGCAGATCATCAAGAAACGCGCCGGAGGGAAGAAAAAGTTCCCCGAGATGAAGGACGCGTTGGAGGATGAAAAGGAGGACTTGGAGGTCTGGGAAAATGGTCTCGATGGGATCGTGGGTCTTGAGGAGTGGAAGTCGTTGGTTGCGACGTTCGAACGCGCGCTCATGTGGCTACCACGAGTGAGTCGGTTCGCTGTTCGTTCAGACGCAAACTGACCTTCACAAAGCTTCCTCGTTTATGGCTCATGTATCTATCCATATTCTCTCATCCTCAATGCCCGCCGCTTCTCTCACATAGCCATGCTCGACACACTTACGATCGAGCACTGCGCACTCTCCCTCCCTCCCTGCACTTCCGTATATGGGTCCGATTCCTGCTATGGGCGGAAGGAAAGGGTGGAGTGACCATGGTCTCAATCTACCGACGCTATCTTGCCATTGACCCTAGCGTTACCGAGCACTTCACGGCTCTCCTGCTCGCCCCGGCAAATGGACCACCGCGCCCTCTAGAAGCTGCGAAATTACTCTTGTCATTGGCCAGAAAAGCTGCCAAGGGCGAGTACACCAGTCCTGAGGGTAAAAGTCCATACCAGCTTCTCGGAGACTGGCTGGACGTGGTGGAGAAATTCTCCGAAGATGTTGGATTGGATGTAGAAGAAACCGATGCTGCCAATGCCGAGTCTGATGCTATAGACGACGAGGATGAAAACCCTTTGAGCGCTCGAAAGCTCAATATAGAGCGCATCGTTCAGAAGGATGGATTGGAGGTATACAAGGATCAAGCTGGCCGTCTTTGGACGGGTTTGGCTACGTACTGGATCAAACGCGCCGAATTCGACCGGGCGAAGGATACTTTTGAAAAGGGCATCGCGACAGTGCTGACGATCCGTGACTTCACGCAGATCTTCGACTCGTATGCGGAATTCTGCGAGTCGTTAATTACTGCCTTGATGCAAAGTCTCGAAATCGAAGAGGACGATGAAGATGCGGAAGAGACACAAAAGGACTTGGATCAGCGGATGGTCGATTTCGAGGATTTGATGGATCGCAGACCGTTCCTGGTGAATGATGTGCTTTTGCGCAGAAATCCCAACGATGTGCAAGAATGGGAAAAGAGAGTTGCTTTGTGGGGCGAAGACGATGAGAAGGTATGATTCCACCGACTCGCAGCGCTTCATCTAAGCTTATCGTTTCCAGGTGGCTGCGACTTACACGAAAGCATTGGAAACTGTGAATCCTCGGAAAGCGACAGCCAACCTACATCGTCTCTATATCAATTTTGCCAAGTTTTATGAGGAGGGTGGCACTACCGGCCAAGCCGAAGAAGATCTCGACAGTGCCCGGAAGATCTTGGAGAAGGCTGGGAAGGTCAACTTCAAAACCGTCGAGGATCTCGCAGAAATATGGTGCGAATGGTCTGAGCTGGAACTGCGGCATGAGTGAGTCTTGAACACGATGTCCGCAATGCTTTCTGACATGTGATAGCAACTATGACGAGGCGATTCGTGTGATGCAAAGAGCTGCAGCGGTCCCGAGGAACCCCAAAGTCAACTATCATGACCATACGTTGACAGCCCAAGCCCGTCTATTCAAATCTCTCAAGCTATGGTCCTTCTACGTAGACCTGGAGGAATCCATCGGGACAGTTGAATCGGCCAAAGCCGTGTACGACAAGATCCTCGACTTGCGAATCGCCAATGCGCAAATCATCGTCAACTACGCCGCGTTCTTGGAAGAAAACAAATACTTTGAGGAGAGCTTCAAGGTGTACGAGCGCGGTGTGGAACTGTTCACATTCCCCGTGTCCTTCGAGATCTGGAACATCTATCTCTCCAAGTTCGTCAAGCGATATGTGAGTGTCAACTGCTAAAACTGGCAGGTCAACTAACGACACTTCCAGGGTGGTTCCAAGCTCGAGCGAGCTCGCGACTTGTTCGAGCAGGCGCTTGAAAAGTGCCCGGCAAAATCGTGCAAGCCAATCTTCTTGATGTATGCCAAGCTGGAGGAGGATTATGGACTTGCGAAGAGGTCCATGTCCATCTATGACAGGGCTACGCAAGTGGTGGCTGACGAGGATAAATTCCAAGTTCGTTGTTGCGGTATCTAAACTGCATGCCCAATGCTGACCGAACCCCAGATGTTCTCGATTTATATCGCGAAGGCGACTGAGAACTACGGATTGCCGGCCACGAGATCAATCTATGAACGAGCTTTGGAAGGTAAAGTTCGCGTGACTTTTCGGAGTGATGTCGCTCAACCTTCGCACAGTCCTTCCTGACCGACAGACGGCCGAGATGTGTCTCCGTTTCGCAGCGCTAGAGCGTAAGCTGGGCGAAATCGATCGGGCACGGGCGATCTACGCCCACGCCTCGCAGTTCTGTGATCCTCGAGTGAATCCCAAATTCTGGGGCGAGTGGAACACATTCGAGATCGAGACAGGCTCGGAGGACACTTTCAGAGAGATGCTGCGGATCAAACGAAGTGTCCAGGCCCAGTTCAACACCGAAGCGAGTTACTTGGCAGCACAGACGATCGCTGCGAAAGAGGGCAACCAAGTCTCTGTTTCCAGTGCGGAGCCGCTGGATGCCATGGCTGCTACCGAGAGAGCGAACGCCCCGGCATTTGTCGCTGCAAAGCAAACCGCGTTGCCCAAGCCAGATAATCAAGCTGATGCGCCAGCTGATGCAGCCGCTGGTAACGCCGACGAGATTCACATTTCTGACGACGAAGACATGTAAAACAGAATGTGTAATAGCAGTGCAGTATGTAACAGTGAAGGCTCAGCGCTCAAGGTCGGGCCTTTCACTGAGTGTGCTGATATGAGTCATGTTGATTACGATCAAGAGCGCCGAGTCGACAGTTGTTCGTTGTTTACGCCGCATTGCCAAGTCTTGCAACTGCGCTGCACGGTCAGCACACAGCACTACACGAACACCAGCCTGTCTTCTTCTACTTTCTGCAATACAAACACTCCCCATGGCGAGCAAGGGCTGGTTCAACCTTGAAAGCGCTGGCAGCGTTATTCCCGAGACCCAGTACTTCGAGGGCGAATCGGCGTTCAAGTTTCTCAATCTCTCACGCACGACGCGATTGTATGGATTCGTGGGCTGGTGGATATCCTCACTCCTCCTTGCTTCTCAGAGCTTACTGTGTTGCTCAGTACAGCGGTCGGGTTTCTGCTTAGTATCCTTGGTGGCATTGTGCTCTTCCTCGGCCAAATTATCTTGTTCGCGTGTCAGTGTGCACTCCCTCAGACTCTTCAATGATCTAAAATGCTCCGCTAGTCCTCTACGGTGTCGGAACCCTCGTTTCGCTAGCTGGGACTGGATTTCTGCTCGGGGTACGCTCACAACTGGTTGAATGTCAAGATTGATTTACAACGTTCAAAAGTTTGGCACGCAGCTCAAGCTGGTGAGTTCTCGCGTGGATATTTCGGGAAACAGACATGAACGGAGCTTTTGTGCAGATGTTCAAGCCTGTGCGTGTGTTGGCTACGGTCGTATTCCTAGCCTCCATTGCCATGGTATTCGTCGGCGCATTTGTGATCGGCAGCGAGGTGCGTCTCTTGTTCACAGCACGCCTACCAACGCTCATGGACTGTATCTCCCATCAGCTGCTGTGCATCAGTAAGAGACACGGCCTCAGTACGGGATCTCAAGTACTGATTTGCTATTGCAGTTCTTGTCATCGTCGAATACTTGGCGTTCACGTGGTACAGCCTGTCGTACATCCCGTACGCCCGGACAGCAGTTCTCAAGATGATCGGGTTCAGCTAGGTTACACCTCTCCTGTTGCCTCTTGTTACAACTCTGTATATTACTGCGCCGACCTAAATTGACCTTGATCCCAGTTCTTGATGGATCTCGGTCCGCCATCAGAAGGGTGGCCGAGATCTAACTCACAATTGATAACTTAATTCCCCGCACTCTCGAGTGGGTGTTGAAGCATTCTTGCGGTGATTCTGAACTCCTTGGGATATATTAAAAACCGACAACTGGTTGAAACTCGAGATGACATTTCTCACGATCGAGTCGTCGACCCAAGAAAGCCCGAGTTGACAGGATCTGGGTCGATAGCACATACATCGAAGAAGTGATTGAGTCGCCGGGAAAAAACGGATGACATTGCGCCGTTGCACATCTATTGGACCCTCAGATGACTAGCAATGTGAGCGCGCCCGATGCCGACTCTTTTGACATGCGAATTTCCCACATCTTCGATACTTACCACAAGCAGTCAAATCTCTTCAGTTCGAGTTTAGTCCTTCGGGCCATCCTCAGTGAATCAGAATGAAGCAATATTCGGATCGTTGGACTTGAGCGGGAAGACTGCAAGCCCTCGGATGCGAGCGAATGGGCTACCTGCGCAGCTGTTATCACTCATCCGTCGTCCAGTCCACATCATGTGGGTAACGACCTATGGAAAATTCTGCTCGAGGGTAGCAGAAACTCGGGCGGTCGTTTTCTCACGCAATCCAAATGTATGCTTTGGGGACAAGTTGGTTGCTATCTGCGTATGCTGAGACACGTGATGAATATACAGCAGAAATGCCTCCGTGGCTTGGGTGTTGCTCAGAATTTGTTCTTTGCTGTGCGCAGAGCGTCCATGACGGCCGACCTTGGTGCGTCCTGTCCCACATTCACAGCACGTCTGTCAGTGTGATTAAGAAGGATGATTGATATGGGACCGAAGGGCCGTCCTCTTACCTGACCTCAGCATCTTGAAGACGGATAAACACATTCCAAGCCTTCTCGTCCGCGATCGTAGTAAGACCAGTCGTGATCGTGTTCGCCTTCACCAGGGCCTCCAGACGCGCGACGTCGGGATTGTCGGGCTCAATGGATTTCGCGAACGCGACGTTGCCTGCGGTATACTCGTGTCCGTTGTAAGTGATTGTCTCGTCGGGCAGCGATGCGAGATAGGACAGCGCGTTGTCCATCTCCTCGCCCGTGCCCTCGAAGAAGCGACCGCATCCGGCGATGAACAGCGTATCGCCAGTGAATACCCCGCCCGGGTGCGTCGGGTCAGAGGCATCTGTTGCGTGATAGCAGATGGAATCTTGAGTGTGACAAGGAGTAGCTAGACACCTGGAATCGAATGAGATGGTTGCCCTCAAGTCATAATGCATGAGCAGCTGCTCCAATTGCGTACTTGATGCGGATATTCGAACCGAAGGTGAACTCTTCTCCGTCCTTCAGGAGCTTCGTCGCGGCCGGAGCTTTGTCGGAGCCCGCATAGATAATTGCGCCCGGGAACTTCGCGGCCTATTGAAACACTCGCGTCCAATCTCAGTCGCCCCGAAACAAGTGTTGGGCGCACAAAGCTTGCATTGCCTCCCGAATGATCTTCATGGTGATGGGTAGTTATCGCCGCTACCAGGGCCACTCCCAGGCCTTTAGCAGCGGCGCTGACTTTGTCGACCTCCGAGATTCGCAGTGGTCAGATGTAGTGGTAATGTAACACCGGGTGCATTTACTCACATCGAACGGATCAACGGCGGCAGCGGTCTTAGTCGCATCGTCGATGAGCAGGTAAGCGTAGTTGTCTTGTCTGACTGGGACGGGCACGATCTTCATTTTGCGCGAGAGCGATGTGCTGAATAAACGAGCTCGAGTTGGGAACATTCCTCAAGTTCTTCAGTCATGAGAGAACATCCGCGGCACCGCGCCGGCATGATGTGACATAATGTCAAACACGTCAACTCTCGCGATCGTCGACTCGTGCCACGATCGTCCACACCCACACAACTGGGTCGCTTAGATCATGCAATCGAATCTCAATTGGCGACGGTCAACAGAGCGTGGGTGCAGCTCTGTCGTCTCTTGCCTTCGCGGCTTTTCTGCCCGTTCCTCTGTTCTTTCCTTTCCTCTTGTTTCTTGTCCTTGAATCTCTGTTCTCTTGCGCTGGATCCGCATGCTTGTCGACTTTATCAGGAGACAGCCGTTTCATTTCGGACCCTTTGGCCAGGGCGTACGTTCTCGTGTTCGAACTGTTACCTCTCATCTTCCCTGAGTCCATTCTCCAGAAATCTATAGTGGATGGACTCCGCAAGGACGCCCAGAAGTTTAAGGACTTATTTCACCCTGGGGCTGGTAATTCTCCAGCCCAAACCCCCCTTCAAACCCGCCGCCCGGATCCAATAACAACGCCACTGGTGGAGGAGCAGCTGCCCCGTCCTCGACTGGAACCTCGACATCGGCTGAAACCTCGTCGCATACTACAACGCATGCCGATGCAACTACCAGTAGCACCTCGACTTCAGTCCAAACGGATTCTCCCACACAAACGCAATCTCCCACCAGTTCGACCACTGTACCGTCCAAAACCAACACCACTCCTTTCACTACCTCAGCGCCTTCTCCTTCCTCTGTGAGCCCAATTTATCCGAAGAAAAGCCTCCGGAGTTGATCAACATCTGCAGCCACCGGACGCGATTGCGCCAACGTCGGTCTCGTCTCAGGACTCTGTCAAGTCTTCTGCGAGCCTAACTGCACCAGCGAGTTCCGCATCGGCGGTACAGTCGCAGTCCATCTCACAGTCCTCGGCCTTCGCACTGTCGACGGGCGCATCTGACATCGCTCCAGAGAGCACAGTGCAGCCAAAAGCGTCGACGAGTGCCACTTCCCACGCCCCAACTGGCGCGATAGTAGCCGGTATCCTTGGCGCTCTAGCGCTGCTGACTATCTTGAGTCTGGGTGCCTTCTTCCTGCTGCGAAGACGGCAGAGACGTCGCACCGCGCCGTCCGAAGACTTCATCCGAGAGAACTTCAATGTCGTCTATCCTTCGGCTTACTACGCAGCTGAATCACAGTCGTACCGGAGCAGCATGTCCTTTACAGATCCCGCTCTCTCGGTCTATTCGGAGGAAAAGTCTAGCCACCGGTCTATGATCGATTCCCGGCTGGAATATCCTTGAATTAGTGGCAATATGTTGTATTGTACAAATATGTACATTATACCCGCTTTAGTTGGCTAAAATGGCTTGAACAACATTAGCGACTCTCAATTGCCGCAGATCGGTATACGTCTGGAGCTAATCAGCGACACACGACATGTCGACAGCTGTTGGGCACACACCTGTCCGCAACCGACGAAAATGATGGGCTGGCCAGTAACGTAGGTCATCGACAGTGCTGCGCCGACTTTATCGTCTACGGTGTCCCACTTGGTCACAAGCATCCCGTCTATGCCGCGCCCTTTGCCAGCCCCAGATGCAGAAGAGAAGTCACGCAGAGCTCGGTCGAACTTGGTCAACTGATCGACCGCTTCGTTTCCGACGAGGGCTTCTCCCACGAAGATGATCTTATCCGGGGAATTGACCGCCACCAGCTGTGTAGAAACGGTCAACATCAGCGATCAATCAACGAGCATCGGACAGCTATGTATACCTTGGCGAGAGCACGCATGAGAGGCTCGTTGTCTTGCATGCGACCAGCCGTATCTATCAGAACAACATCGAAGTCGTTGTCCCGGCCTGCTTTCGGTCAATGATGGCCCCAGGAAAGGTATCCCATGCTGACCATAGCTGATGGCTTCCCGTGCGATGCCAGCCGCGTCCTTGCCGTATCCCCTTTCAAACAATTCAACTCGGCCCTTGCTATCAGTGGCGCCGTCCACTCCCAGCATGCTTAGATTGCGAACATGCACTCGGAGCTGCTCAACCGCTCCACTCCTAATGAACAATGATGAGTCAGCTCAAGCGGGCGATCGAAGAAAAAGGCGGACCGGAAGGTGTCGCATGCAGCAATCAGCACTCGGAGCCCGTTCTGGATCAGCCAGAAGCAGACTTTAGAAAGATTGGTGCTCTTTCCCACCCCGTTGACTCCGACGAACGTGATGCTGTATGGCATTCGCTGCTGTGTGGACGGCAACGGCGAAGACAGCTTTGTTCTAATCGAAAGGAGCAGGTCGGTCGAAGTTTTCGGAGTCAAAATACGTGTCAAAGACGTCGACAGGGCCATCCTGACAGCAGCGTTGGTGGCTGGAGAGTTCTTGAGCTGGAGGGTACATCTAACAGAAAGTCACGTACTTTGGAACCCGCCCACTTTCTTTCCTATCAAACTCTCACCCACTCCCTCGCATACTTTCTCAGCGATGTCGACCGCGACGTTCTTCTTCATGAGATGCTGCTTCATGCCGTCGAGCACAGGCTTCAGGTCTTGTTCAGTGAGCACTTTGGACCCTGTCAAGCGCGAGAACAGGGATCCCAACGCGCCGAGAGAGCCGGTGGACGCCGCCGGCTTGACCTCTGGTCCTTTCAAGGCAGCCGCGATCGCACTGTCTTCCTCTTTGGAGAACTCCCAATCTTTGACCTCGTACATTCCATCTTGAGTTCGAACCCCAAGTGACGCCTGGTCGACAAGGGCTTCGAGGTCCTGCGAAAGACCTGCTTCGCTGGGTGAATCCATGCTGTAGTCTAAAGACGCCATGTCCGATTCGGTGGGGACTTGATCACCCCACTTGCGTTGTACCTTGGCGACTTTGGACTTCTTCTTTGAGGGAGTCGATTCGGTACTGGAGCGTCGGTTTAGACTGGGAGGGGCTATCGAAGAGAAGGAAATTGCGCACTCGGAGCCAGGGACGCTCTCCCTGCCGCTTCCGGCCTCCGACCGTCCCCCTCGCCCCCCGCGTTTTCCACCTCGGCCTCGTAAGCGGTTCTTAAGTGCCTGCACGTTGCGCGCGATTTGCTGCTCGTCTTGCGGAGTGTCTGAAGACTGTGTGGGGACTATAGTTTGGAGTATCAGCACCCTGTTACTCCTACACGAGAGAAAACTGACGCGTTTCCAGCTCTTCCGAGGGCGGAGAGCTGGAGAGATCATCCACAAGGGCCTTCTCGACTGGCCGCAGACGTGACCGCCGGTCCTACGAGAACAGGTCAAGCCTCGGGCCGAGGGAAGGACAGGTAGGTCCACATACCAGAGCGGCCTTTTCCTCCAGACTCTTAAGCAGTTTGTCGAATATCTTGTCCCAGCCATCGAAAGCATGTGCGAAACTAAGTGCCGTGGTCGCTTCGATGATAGTCGTCTTCCCGGAGTTCATAGCGTGCAGCGAGGCCACAAAGGTCGCCAGAAACGGTTGGAACATCTTGACGAACAGCGTCTTCAGAGCAGCGAGCAGATCGTCGACATAGGTCAGTTGCAGGATACGCTGGTATGCGACCTGGGATCTCATTCTTGGTATCCGGGAGTAAGCATACGCAGGTGAGCGTGACGCACCACGAATATGAGCTCGAGGTCGTTGACGAACGTCCATTTCACGGCGTAGCCGTCCTTCTCATACTTCTCTTCTGCTGTGCGGCCCTCGATCAATGCCTCGCGGATAAGCGAGTTGACGGGCGATGCGGAGGAGGCAGCCAGGTGCGAGGCGTCAGGCGTGAAGGAGCGCGACCAGAGGACGATGCCGCCTGGAAAACAAGGTTGAGGGGAGTGGCCGTGCATTGTTAATAGAGGGCACACCTTTGTGCGAGATGGAGCAGTGGTCGAGCATGGTGGGGAAAGCGGAGCAGAAATTTAGAATGAGCTGTGCACCGTCGACCGAGCCATCAAGCGATGATCGTGTGACTAAGCGCGAGATTTATCTTATCTTCCACTACTTACGGCCGATCAGGACGTCAACTCAAGATAAGACTGATAGAAAGGCACGGAGATGACGACGGCCCAGCCAGTCTTACGATGTTCGACGCTGAATACTCGGGATCTAGGATAAATCGAGGCGCTCATCCGCAGCACCGGCGCTTGCATGTATGTACTCTAGATCCGAGTGGTGTTCAGCTGCTGCGCACGACTGCGGTTCCCGTCTCCCGTGTGTATACTGTACATAGAGAGTTTAATAGATAGCTGATAGTTATAACACGGTAGTTTACGCTCCGTAGAGCAAGATTCTCCAACATGTCCCTTCTGCGCACCGGCAAGATGTTCCACTCTGCCTGCATCTGGACTCGACCTCACACTGGCATCTGGCCACTTTTCAGTTGCTGTCGGGGTTGAGACTCGAGTTCGACCGGAGAACAATCGGACCGGTACCGCCCACACATGCCCACAGTGCAACAAAGGTCGAAAGCTCAACTAATTGTGCTTGCCTATTCTCTGATTCTGACGCGCGCGCACCTCCAGCTTCCGTTTTCTCGAGCACGAGCACGAAAGAGGTCGTCCTACTGTTCGTGTCCGTGGCATCCTGGAAGGGGGACTCCGTATGGCTTTGCACCACCAGGGGATGTGGGTGGTCCGCATCAATTGACGAGGATCCCTCGTAAGTCTCCACTAGCCACATTATGCTGAAACCTGGGCGTCTGAGTATGATTGTGCTTAGGACCTGGGAGCCCGGCGTGGGAGACTTGATGAAATAAGCTTGTGAATGACTACCCGGTCGCGTTGTTAGTGGATAATACTGGATGAGACGGTGAGGTCAAGGATCAATGTATTTGGTTAATGTGCAAACACTTGTATCTAGTATCAAAAGCTACAAAAAGTACATGCTCCCCTGGATGTTAGAATGGACCTGGCGAAACGCCTTGCACCATTGATCGAGGTTGATCTCACGCTCTCCGCTTGCGTTGCTCGCGGTGTCGAAATGCAGCCCCTCGGAAGGGTCCATGTGATACTTGCCGCGAGCACAGGCGAGCTAAATGCGAAAGATCAGCCAAGCAGCGGACACGAGCTGTTATAACCCTCACATCAGCATCTACGATGATCTCATCAGTATAAAGTTCGGAATCGCAGACACCACGGCTTACAGTAGACTGGCGCCGGAATGGACACCGAACGAGTCGCCTTCGCATAAACGTGGCATAGCGCAAAGGACAAGTCTTGCAATCTGTCACGTCAATCAACACGTCTCCCCCGTCCAGTCAGCCACGCGTTGGACTCACTGCTGCATGCTGTCCCCCATCTCATTCAGCAAGACGGTGTAATGCGCCGAGCGCGATGCTGCGGAGATTATGAGCTGAGATGTGGAGGCCCATGCACTCGATTCAGCACACTCACTGCCTTTGATAGCAGCATGCGACTGCAGGTAAAAGTCCTCGTAGTACGGATTCGCCAGTTTGTCCGAAACGACGAGTCCGGCCTTGCAATTGCCCGTCTTGTCACCAGCGGAAGGCCTGTCGATCGATTTAGTTGTGCGTTCGTGAAAGAACGGGAACATCGACTGACTTGTCGGGAAAGAAGGAGACGTGGTGCCTTGCGTTGGTTTTAGCCACGAATGGGCCACATTGACAACAGTAGAACTAACCGTTTGCCAACAACGATCAAGGTCAACTTCGGCTTGGGATCCGGGATATTGAATCGTGTCCAGACTTGGTCTATCGCATCTTGGAGCCAACCGGTGAGAAACGCACGAGGCAAACTCTTGCAGAAACACACCTTTGATGGCCTTGATCTCGAACGCCTTGACATTCTCAAACTCGCCCTCGGAGACGCCGTCGCGGTAAAAGTAGATGCGCGCAGGCGACCTTCTGTTCCGCTGCCCGAACATGGACAGCGCACCGGCGACCATCTCCTGGAGGGATTCGGGCTCGATGATCTCGAGGCGGGGCGCCTGGACCCGGGACGTTGCACAATATCGCGTGCCAAGCTCGTCGAACGACCAGACGACACTGGCGACGGAAACGCTCGACGAGCCCGGGCTGGGGTGGTTGACGTCGGCGCCGAATATCATGACAGGGACGCTGCATGCTTTCTGCAGTGCGGACGAGTTGGTCCGTGCGTTGACACCCCCGAGGCGAGCGTTGATCCTGTGGATCTGATTACTCCATGTCAGATGGAGTGCAACTTCCTCCTTACTTGAGAGCGATATTGTTGAAGTATTGGTTGTTTCCGCGACGCAGCTTCTCCTCGTTGAGACATTGAGTGCGGACGCCTATAACATATCAGAACGAGTTGCCCTTTACGCTACGAATCAGACTTGCCCAGTTCTATGTCAGCGGTATTTGACGGCCACTCGTGGATCATCTGCTTTGGCTGGGAGCAGCACGATAATGATCTCCACTTTCGCGGCCCCGCCTAGGTCTCGACAGATGTTTTCCATCGCCTGCAGGGTCGCTCAGTATCCTGCAATGAACGAGACGCCATCTGCACCTCTTTTGCTTGCATCGGATTGACGGTGTCGACCTTGGTGGGTTCTCTGACTGCTACAATGAAATGATTGAAGTGAGGGTCAGCGATGAGACAGAAAACATACCCATGCCTGGTAACTGTCATTAGATTCGCTCGCAGCCCGGGAGTACCATTGACGGACTCACCTAGTTTGCGGCAACAACCCATCAAGTCCCCGATGGTTTTGGCGAGCAGATTCTGGTGGATTCCGCGCGGGTCGAGGTTCAGCACAGCCCACCGGTCGAGCGCCTTGGCCTTAAGGAACGTCGTGTTCATCACATTCCAGGCGCCGTCGCGCGGTGTCTACGTCGCTCAGAGACGCGTCCATATCGCAGGGAAAACACACTCACCACCGATCCCGAGCCAAAGTCCAGCGCCGGCACGCCCAGATACGTGCCGTCCACGACCAGTGGAGCCGTGTCGATGTCCATCCCGGCTTCTCGCATGTGCTGGCTAGCAGCAAAGCGGCGCACAGGAGAGTGCTGAGCGTTGGTCCCGGCGATGCCTTGGACGGTCGCGAGACGTTCTTTCGGGGGCAGGGCCGACATCTTGATCATCTCCGACGTGGCCTGGCCGCTGAGCTTCTTCTTGTAGAACTGGCCTTCGACCATGACACAAAGCTCGACCGGGATGATGACCGGATGGTAAGTAGACTTGGGTGTCGAAATCACAACCCCGAACAGCTCGGGGTGTTGCAGGCGGATGTTGTACTGTCTCTGGAAGTATTCCTGACGGGAATCAGTCTACAATCCCGATACTGGTGTGGGAAAGCCTCACAGCAATCGTTGTGCTCCTCCCCATCTTGTCGTTCTTGAACGAGTAGCTGCCGACTGGCCCCGGGTACAGCTCACGAATCGTTTTGATCCTCGACTCGGCCGTGCGCGTCCTGATATGCCGCTTGTGGAAGAACGCGGCAAGCGTGACGAACGCCCGGTGGCTGGGATCCGAGATGGCCAGGTCGCGAACGTTGTTGGACCCGAGGACCTCGAGCGACAGGTCGATCAGGGACCCGCGTTTGTAGAACGCCGCGACCGCGGTGTCGACGGTCACGAGCATGCCGCCTCGGGCCGGGCGCATGGCCTGGGAGTACCCCGACCAGAGCTCGATCGGCATGCGAGTCGGCGCGCGCAACCCGACCGGGGTGAAGTAGCTCTTGCCTTTCGAAAAATACTCCTCCTGAGACGCCTGGATCAGGACCAGCTGCAGCAGATTGGTCGCAGCGAGCTTGTCGGGGTGGTTGCCCGGTCGCAGCAAAATTCTGCGTCGCCTGGATGAGCCAGTAACAAGCGGAAAGCACTTCCAACGCACGTGGGATCGATCTCCTGGCCAGCCGTGCGGATAATTTTGATGTTGTACCACCCAGCAGCCTCGGCAGATGCTTCCTGGCGATGCGCATGGACGCGGTACTGCTCATGGTAAACGAGTGCCTCCACGTGACAGGCATGCCAGGCTCACGGTTCCAGTTTCGATGGCGGAGGACGAATACATCAGGCTGCCGCCGTCGTAGAGGGGACGCGTCTGGAACTTGTTGGCGTACACGAGCAAAGCTTTCTGGATCAGCCTTTGCCGCTTATCGACGTCCTTCCCCGTCTTGCGGGTGAGCGCAGGCTCGAACACTGGCGATCGGTCAGAGATCAGCAACTCGAGAGAGCGGTCTCAACTCAACTCACCCACTGTTCGTCATTGGAATTCATCGATCGCAAGCAAAGAAGTTATTCGCACCTTCGTATTGGAGATATTTTTTGTCCGATAACCTAGATCAATGATAAGGAACACAACAGGCGGATAAGTAGATATCTGGATCGGGGGCGTACTTTTTGACTCGAAAAGAGTTCGTGATCACCTTGACCGGGTTAGACATAGTGAGCCGAAGAGGGGAGGAGAGGCCAGTCCTCGAGGGCGGCATCTTATACAACCCTGCCAGTTTACACCTATGCACAGCCGCTGCACTGGCCTGAGGGCGACCCTGCATGATCTGCGCAGCAGCACTTCGACCCTTAGGGAAGAGGCAAGACGACGACTCACAGAAGAGCAGGTCCAGAAAAGCAGAACAAAAATGCATTCAACAATGTAAAGACGCGGGTGGCGCCGCGCAGTACGCTAATATAGAGTAAGAGCGGGAAATAAAATGAGCAGTCCGGCGCGGTCCATCGAGGTGCGATATTACAGGCGAATACAGACACCTAGCAGGGCAGCACTGGGTATCAGGCGGTACCGGCCACGACTGCCAAGTGGGGGACAGGAGCGACGCACTCAGCAGCAGCCGGATGATTGCTGTTGCGTCATCGTCTGCCCAGGAGTGATCGTAGACGATTTGCCGGCGGCGCCAGCGGGTGTCGAAGAGGACCCCATCCTTTCAAATGCATCAGCGGAGTCATACGGCAGCTGACGCAAGCCAGGCGCACCGGTCCTTGATCTGCTTGGCCATTGTCAAGAACGCCTGCTCGACGTTGGTGGCGTTCTTGGCCGACGTCTCGAGGAAGGGAATCGTGAGCTGGTCGGCGAATTCCTGATGAGGTATCAGGATCAGTTACGCGGCCCTTCATATCAAATACAACGTGCCTTCGCCACCGAGTACTCGACGACCTTCTTGCCAGTCAAGTCCGACTTGTTGCCGACAAGAAGCTTGTTGACACCTTCGGAGGCATAGCGGTCAATCTCCTGCAGCCACTGCTTGACATTTGTGAAAGTGTCTGAGTGGCGCGAGTCAGAACAAAGCGTAGCTAATCTGTCGTAGAGAGACGAGCCCACCGTTGTCAGTGACATCGTATACGACGATGATACCATGGGCGCCGCGGTAGTACGAGGAGGTGATCGTTCGGAAGCGCTCCTGGCCTGCGGTATCCCACTGGAGCGTCACAGTCAGTCATGGCGTGGTCAGGCACAGAAACAAATTGCGCACAATCTGGAGTTTGACAGTCTTTCCCTCGAGCTCAATTGTCCTGATCTTGAAGTCCACACCGATGGTGCTAATGTAACTCTCCGTGTATGTGTCGTCGGCGAACCGGAGGAGGAGACAGGACTAGGAAGAATGAGAGCCTGAAACGGGCGTCCGATAATAGAGCCACCTTTCCGACACCGGAGTCACCGATGAGGAGAAGCTTGAAGAGGTAGTCGTACTCGCTGGTGTGCATGGTGGAGAAGGGGGAAAGGGTGAGGCAAGTGGCTATGTGCACTTGTTGTGATGTGCTTACGATTGGGCTATGCCGCCTGCGCGCGACGCACCATCATGCCTCTCCGCCGACTGAAACCCGTTGCAGCCTTCTGGGCGCTCATACCACTTGTGTCTTGCTCATTTTCTGGCTTTCGAATCCCGCTCGCCAGAGTGCCCTCTCTCTCTCCACGTCTCACTCAATCGGTCCCGCAGATCAAATTAGGCAACGTACAACAGTAGTGAGTTTGGCTCGCGCTCGTTTCAGCAGGGACGCCGAGCCTCTTCCCAGTACATATGTGCTTCCAGTCGGCATCGGCAATCAGCTCTTCAATCTGGTGTTTGATACCGGCTCATCCGATCTCTGGGTTGCTTCACACAACTGCACTAATGAAGACTGTCGTGCTGTGTCACTCTATGATCTTAGTCCGACCTCAGTAGGGACAGGGCTTCCGTTCAGACTCGATTATCTTACTGGTCAAGTGAGCGGGCAACTGATATTCGACACAGTGGATCTTGGGCCGTACTCAATTCAAAGTCAAATTCTCGCCATCGCCGATCGCACTGCAGACTTGGGTCTCGAGTCAACTTCTACATCTGGAATTCTAGGAATGGGACTCATGGGCTCAGCGTCAATCCCCGACACAGCTGGCCAGCCCTTCCCCGTTAATCTCGTTTCGCCGTTCCCCGAAGACGAGCAGTACTTTGCGTTCCATCTTAGCCGCCAATCGGGATCCGATGACCCCCAAGCGTCGTTTACTGTCAGCTCTATCGACACCGATCTCGTCTCTGACCCCAGCCGCATCACTGTGTTTCCTGTTATCCAGACCGGTCGGCAATATGACTACTGGAAACTATGCATCTTGCACTTCACTATCAATGGTCATCCGCTCTCGATCTCATCTTCTCGAGTTCCTGGTGCTCCATGCCCGATGGCCGTGCTGGACACTGGAACCACGCTCTTTCTCGGACCTTCGGCCGACGTGGATGCGATATATCGCTCGCTGAACATCTCTGTCCGCAAGGATCCTGACGTCGGCTACCAGATTCCCTGTACCTTCGCTGTTCTCATCGGCGTCGTGCTCGGCAATCCGGCTCAAGAGTACATCATCGACCCTGCTGATATGGCGTGGAACGGCGGCTCCGACGACGAGTGGTGTACGGGCGGGATCCAAGCTAACGACAATGTGAATTCTGGCGACTGGCTTCTCGGAGATGTGTTCTTGCGCAACGCCTATGTCGTCCATTACATGCGTCCACCCCGCATTGGCCTCGTCGGCCTTACGGACCCCGTAGCTTCAATGAAAGCATTTCGTGTGGAGCGGGGTCCGGCGCCAGACGGCGAGGCCGACAGCGACGTTATGGAATCCGAAGAAGAAGACGCGTGGAATTCGACGACAGCTTACGTCAAACGATGGCAACATCGAGCGAGCAGCGAGACCGCCCTGATGTTCGGTGTGTTTGCCGGGGGAGCCGGCTTCGTCATGGGTGGGCTAAGCGTCGTCGGATGGAGAGCCTGGCGAGGGGTCTGAAATCACACGTACGTGTGCACGAATTATTTTGAGTTGGGGCATTTATGCACGCCATTTTGCAACGGATCCATTAGTGATGCTACTAGAAATTGAAAATCTCGCCTCGAGCTGGGACTTGAAGAAAGGAGTATGAACGCAGCCTCAGCACATCTATGCAGGAAAATCAAAAAACGCCGCGGCTGGCCTGTTGTCTTCAGTCAATGCGCTTACATAAGCCAATGGGTGCACCCATCACAATCGCATCTAGCTGCACCGCCTCCAACTCGGGCAACTTGCCATTGCACTCATAATCCGACACTGACAATGTCACTAGCAATACAAACCTCAATCTCATCGTCCGTCTTCCTTGTAACCAGCCCAATTCATTATCTTGATACTCCTCTATTACATTCATCGTGGTTCTCGTCAATGTCGCAAGGGTCAGCGCCACATGAACTTTGAAGCGCTGGGCAGATCACTGCGGCAGATGTCGCATGCAATAACGGCAAGAAGCAGAGAGGTCTCGGTGATAACCAATCCTTTCCTTCTGTCTAGGCTCCTTCGGCATTGTTCTATCGGTACCTTTTGCGAACTGAATTGCTCTGGCTTTCAGACTCAAGGATACTATCAATATGTCAGTGCGTTCGATATCCCCTGCTCATGGCATCGGGTTCTAAAAATTTTCTCATTGGGTTGGATGTCATCTCTGAGCGCGGCTAAATTCCGGATCTAGTTATCATACCCGACGACATGGCAAAGGTCCCCGAGCGACGCCGCCGTCCAGCCCATGAATTCCAGATCCAGCATGCTCATATGCGCCATCCTCCACCGATCTTCGACGGATGCTGTATAATCTATGCGCCATATCCAATAACAAACCACCAAGTATCGACCGGATCTTTCTGGGATGCAGCTCTATCTCTCCCGCGTCTCTGGCTCGCCGCGAACGTCTCGGAGAGTTACTGGACGCTTCGACCCAGGGTACATATCAAATTACTATCAAGCGTGCCGGGAGCGATGCTATCGACCCCCGGTCCGTGATTTGACATTGGAAATTACATCCGTTGTCCCATCCAACTTGGGACCACTGCACAGGCACATTGTAACACCTAGAAACAGCGAAACGCGAGCATCGGAAGCTCTGACATTGCTCCAGCTCATTTTATGCCAAGCCAGCGACATAGGTAAACCCGTTCCAAGTTGCGCGTAGTGCATCCCCGCCGGAAAGCCGATACCCGTGAGCGCAATCGATTGCATCGCCTTGTGCGAATGGAAATGCGTTAGGAAGTGTAAGCGATTCAGTGGCTCTCATCCTTTCCCATAATTTGACAGTCGAAGGCCATCCGCCGAGTATGCCATCGTATTTCGGGTGCATACAGCCTACAGGGTGGCTGTTACCTTTCACCGAAGAGGAAATCTGCAAACCAATCAAGTATGTCTACGACGTCGCGCAAGGTGAACAGCATAATTTACGACGCCTTACACATCGTAACCGCCATCCCAGGGATCCGTTCACCGGGCCTTTTTCCGTTCAAATTCACAAGCCTTGACTCTCCATACTGGAACGCCGTATTCCTCGTGTGGGCCGGTCCACCTCATGAATGGAGGCAGCGGCTGGATCTTGGGAATTTCATGCAAAACTTGGAGGAGTCAAATTTGCCCCACAATCCCCAACATTCACTCGCGCACTAAAACGCCTACACTGCGTTTTCGCGGGGGTCGACGTCGCTTATCCAGACGCGAACTTCATGCACCCATCCGTAGCCAGTTTAGTCTGGTCGTACGATCAAGATCTTGCTCAATCCTATTGTGTGGTCTCGCATTCAAGCAGCTCGCATGGAGACTATCAAAGATCTTGGGACATGACTGGGGGGAAGCTCGGAAATAGTATCGTCAAGAGACGTTACCAGGAAAACGCTGCCAGAACGAACGGTCTTTCCCGAGAGGACGTGGCTGAAAGCTCGTTCAAGAACAGACCGTCAGCTAGGAGTGGCGGCCGTTCTGAGCATGCGCACACGCGGTACAACTGTTTGCAAGTGCTGAGGCGCTGGTCTAGGGGCAATCCTAGCAGTCATGCGACCGATAGACAAAATGCCTACTTTGACGTTAATTGTCATAGGCAAACGGTGCGCCTCCTCCTGTCCTTCATCTCCGTGATTTTCATCCCCGCAGCCATCACGTGTCCCTTTCCGAAATACGCTTCTAGCTCGAGCCATACTCAGTCTTTTGATCTTCTCTCTAGTCTTGGTGACCGCGAAACCCGTCTCCGAAATGATGACTGCTTGCTCGGTCTCGTTGTCTCCGACCTTGCTAATCCAGCTTACCCGCACGAGTTGTATCTTCAGGCGGCGAGTCGCATTCCGCTGCTATGACCCAGTCTCTGTGTCTCAGTTTCAAGCCGCTGCATCCAGGAATTGCGCTGTCGTCTGCGGCAAACATCTCGATCGCTTCCCATAGATTGTCGAGCCTTCTCGGCGTGGAGAAATCGCTCGCCAGAATTTCAGAATCTGGGGTGTGCATATGCGAATGGCGGCCCTTGATCCTCGAGAAGGTTGCAGGAAATATTGTATGCCTTGTGTCATGGCTACGCTAAAGCAACGAGATCTGTCAGTATCCCCGCTCTCGTATTTTGTGAGTCTGCGGTTGCCATTGATTAGACGGCTTCGCACTGATGCAGACATGTAGGCGCTGATGCTGCTTCCGCCGACGAATCCCGTTTCGATCATTCAAACTTGCCTGTGCGCGCCGTAGTGTCCACGTCAATCACGACCAGGGGCTCCAGTCTCGATGATTCCAGTTCACAGGCAGGTCGGGCCCCGAATGCTGCTGAGCGGATGAGGAGATTGAAGGCGGCCTATAAGGATATCCGAAGCCCGATGTGTTTTCTTTAGACTATGCGAAAAAGAACTGGAATCCGTTGATCATCGCCGAATTGATGGATCCGAAACCCCGCAACTTCCTTTCATGGCGTTTTAACAAATGACTACCCGCTCAGGGAAGCACCGATATGTCCATCTATGCACGAGCTGGGCAGCAGGAACGCACTAAGAGCACAGATCTAGACTCGAACGATTGCATGCTCTGATTCTTGCCCACCGTAATATCACACAGACGGAACTTAGCAACTGTTAGGGAGTGAAACAGAATTCCGCCGAGAGCGGGACGCCGAAATTGACGCGGACTGTGTTTCGGCGGCTTTCCAAAACACACAAGCAGCGAGATACCCCGGCAAATGCTGGTCATGCGCGGGGAGTAACCCCGCCAGCTATCAACGCTCCGCAGCTGACGGCACAGCAGTTGCCAGTGTCATCGAAGTGCGGAAGAGCGGAGTCGGCAAGGGCTTGTGTGTGGACACGCGCTTGAATTGAAGATCCCAGCCCAGCCAAGTGGTGATCAGCCGGTGCCCGCAAGCCGGAACGCTGCCATCTGTTTCCATATGACTTGGGCAGCTGTGCGCACCCGAGTTACCGCGCAGAATCAAAACAAATGTGACACGGAGGTGCAGGCCCTGAACAGGCCTGGGATATGGCAGCATGATGCATGTGCGGAGACTGCGACCTCTGAACACT